TTTTCTCCAGGACAACCCTGAAGGTTAGGAGGGTGTGGTCACTGTTTGACTCACCTTCGCTTCGTCTCCCAAACTACGAACTCCTGCCCTGTACTCCCAGACCCCCTACCGTCTTCAACCGTTTACGCATATGTATCACTAGTATCTGTATTTCCTTTATATTAGATTCGTTTTTGTTATAAGGCCACACCGATTTAATTTTATGGATGACATCCTCTGAAGACCCCCAAACTAGTGCGTGCGGGCGAAAAAAAGAAAAATCCAGCCAAAAATAAAAATGCTACTAAACCACAGGAATACACAGCTGGTATTGTGAATTTGGCGCATTACACAGCGACGTATACGACAGGCCGACACATGCTGGATTTTTGCGGAATTTATGAATCGACACTGTACGTATGTACTGAGTTCTTGAGTCTTGGGGCTTCGGTAGCCTGGCTGCCGTCCACCAGAGTTATCACCACCATGGACTACCCAGGCCTAAAGCCAGTCCAGAGCCTCGGAAGACGTGATCTTTTTTTTTTTGAGATCGGGCGAAAATCAATGCGCGCGCGGATGTCATCCATAAAATTAAATCGGTGTGGCCTAATGTATCCTCTCGTTGTGTGTTAAGTGGTAGCATTAAAATAACTAGTAGTCTTGGCTACTTGAGTGTGCTACCACTTTGTATTGTACTATTTTCCTCAATGTGAACAATGAAAAAGCGTTTACGTTATAAAACACAGAATAGTGATACATATAGATTAATATCACAAACCAAATTAGCCAGATTTCTCTTGAGATCATATGTGGATTATGCAAAGCATACACAGACTACCACTGTTTAATGTCTCATTAGCTACATGCAAATATCTGAATGCTGTATATCAGTTTTGCTCAGTTTTGATAAAACATAAATTACGTGAAAACACGACCAGGTATTTTCCTCTGTGTACCGTGAATGCACAGGTCTACATCATCTGATATTATTATCTTATTGTATATTTGTATAATATAATTCTTGTCCTTATTGGTACAAACTGCAAAATGGAGCATTTGCAGCTAAACATACAAAGCGTTTTTTTTTCTGAATATACGGGATGTGATATTCATAGCAAGCCCCGTTTGAAAGTAGTACCTTTTTTCTCACAAAGGTCTCTAAAAGATTTATTGGTTTCTGGTTGCTCCAAGTGTCCTGGGAGTTAGTAGCTAAGCCGTGTACGTGCAAATTCGCCTCAATGTTCTTTCGTTATGTCCCTAGGCAGAAAGGACTTAACGTGTTACGCATTTCATTGAAAATATTCTACTTTTTCCAACGGAAAAACATGTACTTAGGCAATCAAAGATAAAGCATATTCTACTCCTACATTGCTTTGTGCATTGTCTTTTGTAGAGCAGATTAGTTAAATCAGAATAAACTAGAAAGGCCAATATTTGCTTTGGAGCAAATACAGCGATGGGTTCACCACATTTTACGACATGGCAGGGAAAGAATGAGAAACACAAGGGAAAACAATGATTTACATTGATATAACTATAATATGAAGTAAAATACAACTAAAACAACAGTTGGATAGCTATTCCCTACTTTATTGGTTAGGATTTTTAATTGCATAATGCAAACTGTTGATTTTCAAAATAAAAAAAAACGTTCATGCCCCGCATTCCAATGCTGGAGCAGAAAAGCTTGAAATACCTACCAAAACACTTGAATAAAGACATACTGTCAGTATGGAAATGCTCTGTGCGGGTGTTAATCAAGTTAAATCCCAACAGCCAATCAGCAAGAAGAATAGAGGAAAGCTGCATGCCTATTGGTTGATGCCCTGCATTCCATTGTGATGACTCATGCCCAAACTGGTAAACAAGGCACACTAACACAGTAATACATTTGCTATAACACAGCCAAAAAACTCAAATAAAACCATTCTAAAAGCCTGTATCACAATAATTTAAAAAACGCCTAGGGGTATTTGCCCACTGTACCTCCATACCAAATTTCAGGACCTTGGGCCCTAAAATGAAGAAGCTGAATCCATTTTAAAAAATGGCAGGAGGAGGAGAAGAAGAAGAAGAAGAAGAAACATCAGAAAAAGCAATATGGTTTCACCACACCACTTCGTGGTGTGGTGAACCCATAATAAATACTCTTCACTATGTCATATTGGATTTTAGTTCTTGAGCGATGAAAGTTCTGATTGTTCTAGTAAAAAAAACTGCGATCAGCCGTAGAGTCTACGAATGTCTCAACCAGCACACACCCCCACCCCCACCCTTATCGTGGGTTTTCCATCGTTCTTGGCAGGCGTAGCAGAACCACACTCCAGTAACTCCTTAGGTACTTCATTCACGCCCTCACCCAAATTTTCCATTTCGCTCACGGCGCCGTCTTTTGGAAAAGTTGTAAACGTTCATACAAAATGACAGCGGAGACGTGAGGGGGTTGCAAATGTCAGCAGAACGATTTGCCGCCCCCAGATGTCTCAATCGCTGCTTTTGGTAACTATCTAAATTTAGATCTAGAATAAATAAATCTAAAATAAATAAGGTCTAAACATAGAGTCATGTATATCAAAACAATTCGTACCCGTTGCTATTGAAGTGTTGTTTAAACAGTTCAATGATCATTTCACGGGAACATTATTTATATCAATGTATGAAACGTTATGAATAAATGAATATATAAATCAACAAGGCCCCCAAGGCAAGAAAAGCTGTAATTAGCTCACATACATATATATTATATCATTTCATATATATTACAGATTCATGATATGACAATTTTAAAATATGGTTATTTCAAACAACGTGTGTGAGTAAGTGAGTGAGTGAGTGAGTGAGTGAGTGAGTGAGTGAGTGAGTGAGTGAGTGAGTGAGTGAGTGAGTGAGTGAGTGAGTGAGTGAGTGAGTGAGTGAGTGAGTGAGTGAGCGTGCGTGCGTGCGTGTGTGTAACTGCGTGCGTGCGTTTTAGCAGGTATTTGAATGTGATAAAGTGGATGGGAGAGGGGGCGGAGATTTGGTTACCGCAGATAGTCAGCAGGCTGGGAGGAAGTCCACCCACACTGTTACTGTGGGTATACCCACTAAGGGAGTGTTATAAAAAGTAATACACTTTCAGCTTAATATACTAAGTCACAAAAGCTCTTAATGCTTCCGAGAGGTTTGAAGTCTCTTTTTTCTTCCCTTCTGTCGCCATTTTTTTGCGTCATATAGAACTCTCACCGCATTACGCCACGGTTGGGAACTTTATTTTCTTTCCTTCGCCAAGTTTTCGGCCCCGGCTGGAGATGTGAAGCGGAGCGTGTTGGGATTGAACACGGCGCTCCTGACACGAGAAAACTTCATCTGCGCTTCCATAACGTTACCCACAATCGATACCACTTTTGCGTGACGCAGACGTGAATACAGATCCTGGACTTTCACTGCAAAGTAAGAAGTTACTAGCCTCTACCAGGCTTCGCGAAGCGGCTGGAAAGATTAGAACTTGTCCAAATAGAGAGATAACATACCGAGGGAGTTTAAAATTTGCCTGCTAGAGAGAGGCAAAATGTACTCTCTAGCGGGCCAACTCCCCCGGCATGTTATCTCTCTATTTGGCCATTTTCTACTCTTTCCAGCCGACCCGAAGCCTGGTAGAGGCGAAGGATTTACAGCAATGTACCCAAAGGATCACATTTGTCATATGCAATTTTATTTTTACGCTCAAATTCTCCCTATTACACAGTTGTAGTTATCTTAAACTAAACGATTTCACTACTGATTCAAACTGCATACAGATAACATCATCATCTTAAGTGCCTAATTCTGATCCTGTATATCGGACTTTTCCCTTTTCATACTTTGGTCTCATGTTGTCATATTTTCTGTGGCCATATTCCCTCGCATCTGCTCGTATATGTTCGTATATGTAAAGAATACGGAAAAGATACGGGGCGGGATATGAGTGTATCCGAACCTATTTCATCCAGTGATATATTTTATTCCATTCTTGTACATTCTATCTTACTGAGATTTATACAGTGAACCAATCTGATCTAGACGCGTGCCGTTTGTTCAAGTCGTGATGATAAAATCGACCCCAATCTTTAAGGAGTACCAATCACACCGTTTGTCTCTATTCTAAGACTTCCCCGTAATTGGAAGGCAACCGCCGAGTCCGTATCGATCGTCTTGCGACGCCGCGCTGCATACACCCTCCCACAGGCCTCGAAATCAACTCTTCTTCTTTCGATAAACGCACAAAGCTGTTCAACCTTCTCTCCGCTTGCTCAACAAAATTTGTTACATTTGATGCTATAGATAAATTCAATGTCATTCTAGAATAACCCTTACTGTGTATAAATAGGTAAATATATCAAAGAATGTTTAGACCTTAAAACAAGTAGTATAAGTTGATTCATATATTGCCTTGTATGTAGGTTTATCTCGTTGTATTGTCTGTATGTCTACATGTAGTTTAAGACCTTACGAAAGTCGCTGTACTTTTGTTGTGTCAATAAAGTTCTTCTCGTGCTGGGACAATATATTGTCCCAGCACTGTCCCAAAAATAAATTTCAATTGCCCCGAAGTGAGGATGAATTGTCTCAACCTGCTTTTTGGGTATGACTTCAACTTTATTTTGCTTATGTTCTGACTCCCAGGCGCACTAAAATTGCAGTGTAGACAGGGAATTCGGGAGACTTTTCCGGATCCAAAAGCCGGGACGTGTGCCTGATAAACAAAAGAAGGGCCGACATTCTGATGTTGATTATTTTTCTATTGTCCCAAAACTGTCCCAAAGTGTCTTTTTAGTTGTCCCAGCCTATATGTTAGTGGTCAGTGGACCACCTTTAATTTCGAGCCCTGTCTCCCCTGTACCACCCGATCTTTAAATATAAGGCACCTCATCAATGTTAGAAAACTCATTACCCTGAAGTTACGGCACGCTAGCTGCTTCAAAAACATGATCATTGATCAACGCCGCACGATACGATGGGTAGATTTTTGTTTTATTCATTTGGTAGACACACACACACTCGCCAGCGATGTACATACATACATACAGCATGGGAAAACAATACAGACACATAATGTACTAAAGATTACCTAGCATTGTACCGGCACACATATAGATGCACTGTCAAAATAATGTTACACTAACATTATATATTACATGAAACGTTCGTATTCCGTCCCTACCAGAGGGATTTGGTAAATATTTTATAGTCGCCAGTTCAGTGAGACCTAAGAACGACACGTATCCTCCCCATCATGACATTATGAAACAGAACATCGATGCGAAGGGGGAAGTAATTTGGTAAAATGGTTGGTACTTAATAGGATTTTGAGGGCAGTTACGGCGCCTGGGGGTCTTAAATCTGCTAGTAAATCTACCCTGGGTTACAAATTCGCCCGTAGATAACCTCTCCAGGCCGCTGCTGCATGCTTATGAAGCCCCGGCAGTGCAGGCGGGTCGTCTCTACCCGGGCAGGCCTTTTTATCGGTCGCTGCCAAATTGTTTCTGTAACGACAGCGATCCGTCAAAGTCGCCCGGGGAGCGCTCCAGGTTGGCCGCTCCTATCGGGGAGGGTTGTCTGATTGGTGCTCTATGATATGCCTTTATGATCATAATCTCAGAAGGGCGCTGGATTCATGCAATAATAATGAACACGTTTCGTCAAATGGCAGACAGCAATATTATATATATGAACAGCGTTTTTCATGTATTGGTATTAAGGCGGAAAAAATGGCGGTGGCTAAATGAGGGTCATAAATCCCAATTAGGAATACATCAGGATGATTTGGAACACAAACCCAATTATTTGCTCGTCAATATTAAAAGGCGAGGCATGTCTCTGGTGGTTTCCGACACACACAAAGGAAAATTCATATTCAGAATGTTGGCAGATATAATATTATATTAATATGCAGCTTGAAATGACTGCACACGTCTAGGCTGTTCACGCCGCGTCGTTTTCATTGCCAGTCAGTTATCGGCAGATTTCTCAACGTCAACAATTGACGTACGGCCCGGGAACGCTTCAGTTAAGCACAGAACTGATAGCATCGAATTTCTATAGCGGCGGCGGCTGGCGTGGGGTTGACAAAGAACAGATACTCGGGCTAAGCTTCGTAAATATGCGCCTGCAGTGATTGCTGGTTCAACGTGGTTTGTACACACAAAGAAAGCAATCTTGTACGCCGCTTGGGCGCTAGATATATAATTCTATTTTACCTGTACTCTCTATTGCAGCGGCTACCAGACTAAGCTAGCGATTTAGCTGTGAGTTAAGTATTGAAGGTAGATGCTTATAACAAAACGTGGCTGTAGAAACGGTAGCATCATATAAGCCAGGTACCTACATGTAATAATGCGTCTGTCGCCATTGTTGAGCCGGTTCTTATATTATATCTGCCAGGAATCAGCCCGGAAAATGTCAAACATATGTCACGTGTAACAGAGAGGGATATTTTTGGCAAGCCTGCAGTCTTGTTTGTGAGAGGGCCTATCTATCATATTGCTACCTTCTGTCATACATGATCAGCGCTTCGTGCCTCGTCATTGCTTGAATGTACGTCCTCGGTTAGAGCAGTCTCAGGAGTATCTCCGAGAGCTTCAGGCCTTCAGTACGGGTCTCTCCGCACCATAGCGAAGTGGGTGAGCTCCATCCTTCCCTCGGAGCGGTCCCCCCGCTCTAGCGTCCCCGTCAGTAAGTAACCGTCGCGGAAATCCGCGTTAGAAACATGCGACGTGAGACACAACTCAAAGTCGGGATCCTTCACGCCTTTGAACCTGCCCCTGATCGACATGTACCCCTTGGCGAACTCGGTCACCTTCGCGACGGTCGACGCCATGCGGCTGCCGCACTTCTCCGCCACTTTGCAGCGGGACCGGCTCCACTTGTGCAACTTCAGGGTCCACGTCACTCGCAGAGCCGAGGCCGCCCAGCCCTCGTACGGGAACAGGAGGATCTTCACCGGGTAGTCGGTCTTGGCCAGAAGCTTGCGGCACTCCGCTCCGAGGTTCTCGTAGTAGTATAACTGCACCATCTCGGTGTCTTCCTCTTAATCTAGAAAAACACAAACACAAAAAAAATGTTTGTATCTCTACTCTTTTTCCACGTCGTCGCATTTGTACACGTATGTATTGTTTATTTGAAATGAAACTTTAAAAAAAATTTAAAAAGAAAACACACAGAAAAAAATTCACATCAATCACCTATAACGTCAAAGTGCTGTACGTGTGATACTAATATCAAAGGTCATGACCAAGTGACATTATAGAAAAAATTACTACTGCAAAGACATCAATAAAAACATGTCGTGCATTCAAAGTTTCCAACAAGAGGAAAGATCTATACATGTAGTAGGCCTTACCTGAACTATAACGTTATCTAGAGTCCTGTCAACCCTCACGATGTATGCTGAACTATGGGAGTATTGTAGAAGCCATGTGTACACTTCACCAGGAGAAATATTCTTGCCGGCACGTTGTTACCAGTCCTGTTCTGTTCCCGGTCTCTATTCCAGTCTACCCTCTCGGTTCGGAGATGCTACAATGTCGGAATGTTGCTGCGTGAGTTGCGGCTGGGCTTGCCTGCGGGGCCGCATTCCGATCCTCTCATCAGCCCGGCCGGTGCCGCGGTACGCATGTGACGCAGCCGGTCTGTAATTCAGGTGTTCACGCACGGCAGGTGTACGCAAGACAGTAGAGGTCCCCTGTTTCGCCCCGCCCTAGGTCTGTACTACTAGGGAGGGAGAGAGAACGTGTGAGCCCGCCTGTTCCGGCGCTCCCGGCCCCACAGTGCCGCTTTGAATCACTGCGTATAACCGCCTGCTGCAGATAATGGCCGTTTGCATTGATAAATGTGAAATTACTCCTGTGGCCTTTTACGGGATAGCAGCGCTAGCACGCCGCGTGCCAAAACTCCTCTACATACGTGAGCACAGTCAGCTGATCATGATCACATCTAGCAATGTGGGATAAGCACTTATAACAGTTTTTTTATTGACAACTAGACTCACCCATATGACAGAATGTATACTCTACAAAAAAGTCTCTGTAACGATAACTGTGTAGAAAATGAAGCGCATTTTGTTTTAGAATGCACAATATACACAGGCATGCGGAATTCTTTAATCATTTGCTTAAAATTAGAACAAAAATATACGCACTTACCGAAATGAGAATTCATATTATGACGTCCAGGAACTTCGATGTAAATGAGTAAATGAAAAACTATGTAAATTTGTTCATGCTTATTCAAAAAAGAGACAAGAGATCCTGTAGATATAGATGTAGCACAGTAATGGAGCACTTGTTCCTCTTACCCTTATACCTCAGTTATCTAACGTAGTGCATTTGGCCCATGTCGGGCGTGAATATGTAATAAAGTTCATTGTCATTGACATTGTGTTTTCATCACTCAGGTTGAAAATTCTGTGTCCTTTACCAGCGATAAAAAAGACGTTCTTGATTATTAATGACCCAAACATTATGGCAAGAAACAAGGCGAGTGATCAATACTACGGACTGCAAAACGTTTTAAAATCCCAGTTTATTTATCATGCGTTATATCTCCCTATACACGCTAGTTGACTATGGACAATAGGCGCAAGATCAATTAATCAATAACCTTATATTAGTAATAAAATAGGTGATCAGTGCATGGTGTAAGCACTGCTGTTCCTAAGAATGAATCGCCACGGATCAATATTGTATATTGTGTAGAAATGCTCTTAAAGAAATTCTTTTGACAGATTCCACGCAAGAATACATCTAACTTCAATATCGCAAGTAACGGATGTCAACCCGGGATGCTCACATGTCTCTTAGAATTAATTATTGATGCATTTTAGCGCCCAAGTTTTACACATGCCTTCAGGAGGTTTATTACAGGCCGTCACACGAGGCGAACAACACGCGATATGTTCTCTCCCAGACTATCAGCGCGACTGTGGAGAATGTGTCACGCTTGGAGAAGAAATCGCCTGTTTGAATTGGTTTTTGACCCTCAAGAATATCACAAGATTCGACCCATTTACTTCCAGAGCGAATCGAAGATAGCCTGATTGTGCCATCTGTTGGGCTGATCTTCTCGCCTACAAGGCTTCGCACAAAACAAAAGACAAACCCTAGACAATTCCAAATTACATCTTTTACTCAGAGATTCTCCGTTAAAGGCATCCAATGCGATTTTAGGGCAGCAAAACTGGATTTTCAAAGTCAATTTGCTGGTCATTCTTTTAAAGCAGTACTTTAGATCATTCCTATCCTGTAATTAAGCATACTGATATCTGCGAGACAAAAATGCGATGTCACTGACGGAAAACGGTTCCTTGTTTTTTGTCATAGGCTGGTTCTATCTATTTATGGGTGGTACCCCCCAAAAATAAAGAGATGCCTCAGGTAGCTTGTTTGGGGCTATTTCAAATGTTTGTAGTATGAAATGATGAAGAAATTGCAGTAAATGACAGATTTCCTTATCCAGGGAACATTTTTGTTTTGCCGCCCTGAAATCGCATTGGATGCCTTTAATGCATTATGATGACAATGAAGAAACCAGGCGCTTCTACCTCTATTGAATGATGTACATGTCTCTCAAATAGATATAGAAGTCAAACACTATATTTCTTACTCATTATATACTAGTATATCGTAAGTAGCTTTGTCAATTACAACATAGGGTAACGTGAAGCGGGCGCACTGTACCGTACAAACCAGTTGAATGGTTAGAGTTAGATGTTCAAAGGTTAGGTGTAACACGTCGTTCGGTCTAATGTAGCCAGCTGCTGCCGCGCCGCGTGCCTGCGAAGCTAGTGTGTTACGCCGAAGGGCGGTTGTACCGGCTATACAGATACAAATACGGAATATTGTCTTGTGTGTATGTCAAGTAAGTAACTTGAGTGTTAGCCCTAGATGTATGCTATCAATTGATACTTTGTTCCGACAAATGTTAAGGTATGACTCTAAATGAACGTAGTTAAGGCAGATGATGCCTACCGCTTGTGTAAGTTGACAAACAAAATCTGTGGCCTTCTGTAAAGACTTCTCCACACTAGTTATCTGTATCTGTATCTGTATAGCCGGTATAACCGCCATTTGGCGTAACACAGCAGCTTCGCAGGCACGCGGCGCGGCGGCAGCTGGCTATATTACACCAATCGACTTGTTACACCTAACCCTTGAACTTCTAGCTCTAGACTTTTGTTTAAAGCTATCTATTGACAATGCCCCTACTGTACTTGGTGACAGAGTTCCACTCTGCAATAGTTCTAGGAAAGAATGAATTCTTGAACACCTCAATCCTAGGTTGATAACTCTGGTACTTGAAGGCTATTTCTTGTTCTCTTCTGGGCTGGTATTAGGTACTTAGTAGTTGGGACATCCACCAGTTTATTAGTTATATAGTAAAGTTCACAAACGCGAAAGGTCATGAGCGCACGTACTTCTCCGGAATGTTCAGACATGTTATTCCACCGTCGATCAGACGTAATGGCCATGTTGGATATCAAGGTGTTTTGTGAGCCTGTTGTGGCGCTCTCAGTAATCAGGCTGATTCGGTCCAATCTAAACGTCGATAGATAGCTGAAGTGATGTGTGGAATAGTCGGTTTGATGTGTTAGCCTCCATAGCGTGCCAAAAACTGGGGGTTTTGGGGGGTCTTCGTGGTCTTTGGGAGCTTTTATGTGCTATTTTCTGATTGCATATAGACAACATAGCCGGCCTGATTGAATTACCCCCATTTATTTTAGAACTGGGCTAATCAGAAAACAGCCGAAGACCACCAAACCCCCAGTTCTATAAGCCTGCTACGGAGGCTATAGATGTGCCCTGTTCCAACATCGATATGCTCCGGTGGTTTCCTTGAAGTCATTGCTGTAATAAAAATCTGGATGGAGCCAGTCTGGAGAATCGATTATTGATAAAAAGTTGGGATTACTTCTTTAACTTCGCTCCGGGGGTGGTCATGATAAATTTCTCTGATCTCCAAGCAGATGTAACGATTGGGCTCAGCCTAGCTGACTCTAGTTTTATACGTTTATTTCAAGTTTCTGCCCGAATTCGAAGGCTAATTGCAAATGACAAGGACAAAATAACACTGAAACAGAGTACAAAATAATTGTAAAATACATATATAAAAGAGAAGTCAAACCCTTCAGACATAGTTTCAGACAGTTACCTTTATTACTAGTGTGGATTTTGAAGTTATTTTGAACTCTGTTTCTATGTTCTTTTATCCTTGTTATTTCTAATTATCCTTCGGGCAGAAATTTGCAGTAAACTACACCATTACATATAATAAAAGGTAATCGTCAGAAGCTATGTCTGAAGGGTTTGACGTCTCTTTTGTAACCGTGGAAGACGTAATGTCCCACACTTTGCGTGTGTTTGTGTAACCTTTGGTACACGGTACGTCTTTTGTAGTGGTGCATCTTTTGCTCTTCGCTTCCTTCTCCGAGATAAAAGGTTTACTCATGGAAGGTATAATGGTTTACTAGTAAGACCTTCTAAATGTTGCAAAAAAATGTGGTGGATCCTTTCTTGGAGCATTAAGCTTCTTTTTTCCATAGATTTTAAAGAAGGAACAGGACTCTCTTAAGCTGATAGATCCTGGTGGATCCTTTCTTGGAGCATTAAGCTTCTTTTTTCCATAGATTTTAAAGAAGGAACAGGACTCTCTTAAGCTGATAGAACGCGGCTGTGGTATCTTTATTACCTTCGCCAAGAAGGTTATGTTTTCGTTGGCGTTCGTGTGTCTGTGTGTGTGTGTGTGTGTGTGTGAGCACGATAACTCAAGAAGGCTAAGATGGATTGTCTTGATACTTGGTAGGTGGGTAGGTCTTCATGAGACGTGGAACTGATTAGATTTTGGGCCCCCTAGCGGCTTGTTATGGTACTGCAGCTGAACTTCCGGTTTTGATATCTCGTGATCTAGACATGCTAGGGTGACGAAATTTGGATGGAAGGTAGCTCTTGTGCTGGGGAACAAGTGACGTGAGTTTGGGCCCCCTAGCGGCTTGCTCTGGAACTGCAGGGACATTAGTTGAAAAATGTTTAAAGGCGGATAACTCAAGAACCGACTGATGGATCGTCGTGATTTTTAGCATGTAGGTAGCTGAAGCGATGCTTGACATAATGATATTACAATTATGCAAATATTAATGTAATTTGCATAATTAATGAGGAAATTCTATAAATCAGCTGCATTCCATGATAGGACGATTCAAGCTTGTGACATGTAATTCAGAACGGCAGAAATACAGGCAGATATTGATTATGCAAATGAAGACTTAATTTGCATAATTAACAAGAAAATGTTATAATTACATAGTGGTAATGTCTGGAATTTCATACTTGGGATATTTGAAACTAATGTGAAGGTGAACATAATTAAACATAACTTATTCAAATAAGGAACTCATTTGCATAATTTATGAGAACATGCTATAATGGCATGCATTGATAAGATAAGACTTCTTGTGTAGAATATGATCAACAGATATAATTGATGCAATATAGGATCCTATTTGCACAATCAGGGGGATTCATCTATAATTTCTTAGTCATAAAGGCTAACATCATTTGGCGAAGGTATGAGATCGTGGAACTCTAGTTATAAGTATCATTCACCGTTTACAGGATACAATAGCTCCTACACATTTTACCCCTGCTGTCTTCACTTATCACTATTCCGTAGCTGTATTAACAACTTTAGCCTTTTATATTTGTTTAAACGTTTATTTTCAAGCTTCAAATGTTTTTCAATCGAAAGGAGAGACTGCCAGGCCTACAAACTAATATTGAAGGTATGTTAACCACAGAAAATGCAGCGTATATAAAAAGTAGACCACCTGAATAACCAGAGGGGCATTCAGGGACACCTGAGAAAACACTGTGGAATGTTTCCGCATAGTAAGCACAGAGAATGTAGACTTACAATCAGCCTTATTTCAGGTCTTTAACAAAAACGTTTCGCACTTTTCCGTGGAAAGCTTATTGCTATTTCTGTCGCCGGCTTGACGCTTGCAGTAAGACCAGGCGATTTTTTTCTCATCCGTGTTGTATCCTCAAACGACGGCTTATTCATGGAAAGACGCGGAGGCAAGAAAGGTAGAGCTAAGGTGGGATATTCGATAAGAATGGCAGGGATTTGAATCGGAGCGCGGTGCGTGTATATTTCATGTAATCGGCATTCTTAAGGGGTATTACTGACTAATCTTACACTGGCGCCCTTTTGTTAAGGCGGGCTGCCTGGAAGGGAAGTCTGTCGCCGTGACGTCAGGGAATTGCGTAGACACCCTCCAACAAATTGGAGAAAAACAGGAGAACAATCCGCGAGGTAGTTCATATAAACACCGACAATGACGGGATGGCTGTCTGGTGTAATCACTGGTTGATAAAGACGGCGTGAAAGCCAATATGATCTACGCACGCTAAAATTATGTGGAGAACTATTGAATACTGTTAGGGCGTTAACAAGAAAAACTGTAACGAAAGCATTGAAAATGGGCATATAGCACGCACGCAAACATGGTTTGTTTCTTTGTGAAAATATTTGACCACACGAACAAGGGCCTCATTTGCTCAGTTGAATGTTATGTGATAATGATAATGTCGACTCTCTATGACAATAAGCTCAAGGTAGGGTTTAAGTTACATAGCCACTACATCCTTAAACAGGTACAACATAACATAGGATGGCTGGAAAAGACTTTATTTTCAAACAATTTTTCTATGAGAAATGATCATATAGAAATATAAATGCCATATATCATATCAAATTGTCTGTAAAGCAGTAATAAAATTTTCTGTTCTCCTTGTACTGGTTCAACAGTATCTATGAACAACTGAACTATTCTTTGTAATTTGAAATATACAACAACTTTACTGCTCAAGGCTGAGACGCCCCCTGTTGATAGTTTGCATAGCTGCATTCCAACAAATCTCACTGTTATAACGTCATGAAAATAATCACAGAGAACGAAAAAAACTCCACTGTGATCTGATTTCAAACTTAAAAGGGTCAGGGCTAATGACATATGGTCATGATATTGTATCACATTGTTTGCCATGTTGTAGATAACAGTATCTACGATAGATACAATCTTACAACTATTATAGCTACAATATATTTCTGGCCACAAGCTTAGTGTACATGTAAGACTGGGCTGTCTACAGGTGGCCTGGATGGAATCTTCATTTCTGTCTCAGAACAACACACTAAGAGACCAAACAAACCCTGTGAGATCACAGTGAAGAAAACAACAAAAACTATGGGCCTAAGTTGGAAAATGACATTGTTTGATCAAGGGTTAGCTTAAGGAATGAATCCCCTCTGTGTATAATGTCCTTGGTTTGATCTATTTCAATCATTAGACCCACAATTCTTTACTTGTCTTTATGTCTTTATTTGTAGCCTCTACCAGGCACCGCGGATCGCTGGAAAAATAGTAGAAATCCTATTTTACCAGAGAAGATCCAATTTGTGACCCATGGATTCTGCCAATTTCTGGAATTTTTCCAGCGATCCGCGGTGCCTGGTAGAGGCTATTTATTTGGTTCATTTTGTCTCAGCCTGCTTTAGAAAGTTGATTATCAGAGCACACCAGTGTCAACCCCAGGAATGTGTATCCGGATGGGGTAGGTTTTATCCAGCAGGTCCTGGGGAGGGTACCGCAGTTTGGTCACAATGAAGAACCTGAAGTGGGGAATATTATGTTTATTTAAAGCAACATAATTGTATATCTAAAATTAATATGATGATAACTTTGAATATAATGGTAATTGTAGATACAGTGTGTGTATTACCTGTGGCTAAAGCTTTTAAGCGACGCAATTTGGATCTTTTTGCTGTACTTTGTTTATATGAAATAAAGCAAAAAGAGAAAAAAAATAAAAGAAATGGAGAACCTGAAGTTGTCAGACTTGGCGTGAAGGAAGTTGGACGGCTGGTACTCTTTAGGGTCAGACTCTTTCACCAGGGCCATGTACCTGTGGGAACATTTAATTATCTATTTTATTTATGAAGATTTACCACATTTGTGGAAGGATATATGATATGATATGATATGATATGAATCTTTATTGCATGTTCTTGCCCAGATGGGCTAAAATGCACAAGAGGACAAGCAGTATGCAAAACATGAGTATTGCATACTGGAACGCTATATTCTAATGCTAATTGCTAGGAATTCATACATTTATAACAATACTATATACTTTGTAACCTATCATCTACTGTTAGTAGCCCTTTCTTCTATAGCAAGTGACTATCACCTCTTCAAGATGTCAACGCTGAGACCAGACTGTAAGATTTTAACCACTCACACCAGTAAGGACCCCCTAAGTGCAGCAGGATCTTTAACGTGCTCAAGGTAACTCTAGTTGAAAATGATAAAATGGGCAAACCTGCTCTCTTGCAAAATTTCCTTAGTCATGATGGCATCCATGAGGCCACTTTGTACCCCGTCAAACTTCATTGAAGCCGTCTCAAACATATCCACATCCAACATGTCCAACACTGCAGGCTTCCCAAACCTACAGTACAACAAAATCAAAGTCAGCAAAATGCACTGATGAGAGGGAAACATTTGGGTTAGCACTCATTATGCTGATTTGATTGACTTATTGAAATTGCAACAGTGCAATACACGCAGAACAGAGGCAGCTGTTGCTGGTGTTGTGTCCCGCACATAGAAACAAATGCTGGACAGACGATACTCATTTTCACTTGAGTCTAGTGGGGAAAGTCGTGTTAAGTGCCTTTCCCAAGGGCACAAGATCGGTGGCATGTCAGGACTCGAACCCAGGACCTCTTGGTTCCGAGTCGCGCACACTGCCATTGCGCCACACGACCCCAATGATAACTAATTCACCTTATTGCTCCAAGTACAGCCATCCTTATCCTCTCTGGCTCCATGTGTACTGGGTTGAGGGAGTTCATGTAATTGGTGTCCTGATATCTGAGGAAGGTTGTCGCCTGGGACGACTCGTCAATCACAAGTGGCCATCTGTAATAATTATAATAAGCAACAAAAGTATTAAAATTAGCTGTAACTCCAGTCAGAAGCTCTGAGGAAGGTGCCTGATAGACGGAATGTAAGCAAGGTAGGAAGACCCCTAGTTCAACAGTGTACATTTTGTACTTGCATCTTGAGCATTCCCAACTGAGTGAATAAATTTTTTCTCGTCATAAAGAATGCTTTCCTCCCACAGCTGGATTTTCCCCAGCCTTTTTGCTGATCCATCAAAGTAAATCATGTATTAAGTGTACAATTCCTCTATAAGGATGCTCACATTGGAACATAAGGGAAGATGTACATGGACCATGGCAGCAACACCTGATCATGAGGCACCCAAAATATTTCTCTTTGAAACCTTAGTCAAACTGCAGGAAAACTTGTTTATGATATTACTTTTTACAAGTTTTTTAAACATATAATGATTGCAGTACATACTTTCCCGAGTCCTTGATCTTGTTGCCGACATCTCTGATGAGAACATCGTCCAGCTCACGAACGGTCACCTTTATCCCTGACAACTCCTCCTCTACACCATCTGGAACAGGAATATGTACATGTGTGATGAAACATAGGCTGATCATCATCTCTGTTATAACTTCATCAATTGCATCGTACCAGAAACCTTTAGAACCCAAATTTCCTCTCACATGCTAACTCATTATCCAGTTTATCGTCTGTTGTTCCCCATCTTGCAAGGCCTTATGGAGAAAAGCAACAGCCATGAAACATAAGAGACTTTAAATTATATCATCTGCAGCGAGTAAGACCAGAGTTCTATGTGAACTCAGAATACCATTTTTTATTGGGGCATATGTACAACAACAAAATGTGCTCAATTATAAATGTACATGTATAACATTTTTTTGTACCTTTTCAATCCCCCATACTTTATTATGATATTATCGTCTTTCCCAAGTACTGACCCTTTCCGAGGTTTCTCTGCTCTCGGAGTTTCAGTTTCAGCCCAGCCAGCTTCTGTCTCATTTCTTCTGCCTCGATCTTCAACAGCTCCAGTTCCCTCTCAGCTTCTTGTACAGCCTGTATAATAATAATAATAATCATCATCATCATCACCACCATCATCATCATTATGTTAACTGTCCATTTGATTGTATATAGCCAATCTTCTTCAAATGGAATTGAAAATACAGCTATATGTACACAATTAATGGTATGCCTTAATTAAGGCCTTATTTACAAAGTTATTGAGGGACTAATTGGCTGATAAACTGCATTGTCTTTAGTTTAATAGTGTACCTGCAACTGTCTTCTATTCACCATTTGTAATCATTATGATAATCCCTTTTCAACTAATGAAGTGATGGCAGAGATATAGTTTAAAGTAAATACATTTAAGTGTCCAAACACTTTGTGTGAAGTGATGATAATGCCAAAATTATCTTTGGCAGAAGAATTGGGGTGTGGGACTCATCTTCATAATTTTTCACTCGAAATTTGGAGCTGAAATTGGGGCCTATATTATAAGCTGATAAAAACAAAAATGAAATTCTATTTCTAATCTTTTCTGGTCCCAAACAATTTTTCATACAGATCTTTACTTACCGGCAGTGTGATGTCTGTGTTGAAGCCCTTGTGTGTGCACTCATCATGCTCATATATCCTCTTCTCCAGCTCTTCATATGCTTTCTTCAGCTGTACAGGAAAATAAACACAATCAACTGTTGTCTTCATTTTATTTGCATATCAATCAATAGTTAGTGCTTATAAACCTGCATTTCCCCTCTGGTCTCTCAGTCACTGACGAAAGGTAGTGGATACTAGCTGAAACGTCTGACCGTTTCCAAAATCATATCCAGTTGCTTGAGTAACTGCTTTTTGGCGTATCGTACTACCTGGATGTCTAACCTTCACTGACGTAAACACAACCAAGTTTAATGTCCTTGACACAACAATGTACAATCTAAAAACTTGATGTGAAGCTATAGAGGAACAAAGACATATTCAAATTGTAAAGTCCACTCAATGCAATTTTCATTCATTTTTTCAAGAACTTCATCAAGAGACGCAGCTCTTACACAGTAGAGTCACAATGGTTCTTCTATGCTTTAACAAGCTTAAAGATATTGAGTCAAACCATCATAAGATTTGTGGTCCCCACCTGTTTCTGCTTGGCATCATTTTGTTTGTCTACTGCAGCGACTTCGTCCTCTAGTTTGTTACATTCTTCCTCGTGTCTCCTCTGTTCCTCTTCCTTTCGTCTCTGTTTCTCTGCCTCGATCTTCTCCACTAGTTTCTCTGTCTGTGAGATGTCCCACTCCCTCAGTACCTGGGCCACATCATCATTGGCAGCTACCTAATAGTATGATAATACAACAGTTAATTATTCATGACCAAGAAAAAATTTTTTTTACAGCTCTCTGTGGCAAATGTGCGGATGTTGGCACATTGGCACACCAAATCCGTAGTGTTTTTGGCACACATTTAGACAGATGCTAAGAGGCTCGGTGGGCGTCACTCCACCGTACAGGGAGGGAAGCCGTGTAAAGTCCAGTCAAAAGCTCTGAGGAAGGTGTCTGATAGACATGAAAAATAGGAAAGTGAAAGTTGTTAGAAGCTGTGTGAGCAAAGTTTTCTGTGGTTGGGAGTTGGTCTAGGAGGTTCTCTTGCTACTGTTGTAATTCAAAGCATCATGTGGTGGATCACACAAACTATAAATAAAGCTTACTAATAGAATACTGACCTGTTCTGGAGTTGCACCATCGCTGGCAAACAGTCGTGGATCTGCACCATACTGAAGTAACATCTACACAAAACAATGCAAGCACATGTATCAGTTTAGTACCCAGGTATCTTAATCACAAAACGCTGCAGTGTCAATTTACCCTAAAAAAGGAACCAAAAGTTGCAGATAGTGATCAGCTGCCCCAAGTGACAGGACAAAAAAGATATATATGTCTATACTAATATTATAATTTAGTAACATAAATAATATTATATATTAATGAAGAACTATATATGACTATATGTTGTATTCATACTCATTGCTCATGAGTCAGAATTTATCCATAGAACAATACACATAGCATGTGTACTGGTCCTGTTTCCAACCTGTCCTTGGTACTGAAGTGCTGTTCTAAACACAGTTTGAATTTGAAAATGGGGCAATGTTTGGGCTTAGCAAGGTTTTCAATGTCCCTCAGCCTTTTAGGAAACATATACTAACGTTATGTATTTCTAATTTAAATGCCAACCTCATTGATACGAGTGCTCATATTTATATTTCAGTCCATACCATGGTATGGATGAAATATATTGTGTTCCCTCATGTTTCTCCTTCTTCTTCTTCTTCTTCTTCTTCTCCTGCCACTCGCTCTGAGGGATTCAACTCCGCCATCATTCAGCCAAATGACTTGAAATTTGGCATGGAGGTAGAGTGGGCCAATACCCCCAGGTGTTTTTTTCATTTTTTTTATACATGCCTTTGAAAAATTTTTATGAAGGTTTTTTGGGGCATTTTTCGCCAAAAAATGGATTTTTGGATCCTGAGCCCTGGTTTTACAACCAAATGATCTGAAATTCGGTATAAGGGTACCTTGAACATGTGTCTACAGAATAGCAGTCACATATTTGGCATACACCACTTCCAAATGACTCATTCGGGGGACTTTAATGGCTATTTTCAGCAAAAAAAGGGCCAAAAGTGCTGTACCCGTTCCATGTTCTATCTAAAGAATGGCCAGTTCCATCCATGGAACACGTGTTCCATTGCGGGTTACCTGAGGTCACATTGCACCTAAGTGGTGCGTAATGACCCACACATTCAATTTTATGTGCCTAAGACCTTCAAAATGTATCAAATCTCATGATTGTTAGTTTTTGCATACCTGTAATAAGATTAGTAAAGCTTTCGAGATTCAAAGTACTTGTTGTTGCATCTTTGTTCTCATATACTTGTAGCTACTATTTAATTCATTTATTTGAGAACCTTTGCCAGTTTTGCACTGGGGTAAGTTTGGAATAGTCCACTTTTGCGTGGGAGGGAGATGGACTGAAATATGCTGTATTTGCTCCCAAGCAAATGTGGCCTTTCTAGTTACATATTAAATCATTACCGCTGCAAGACATTCAAATATGCTCTTGGAAAATCCCCTTCAGATCTGAAGTAAGGCTCAGAGTTTGTAGTAAAATCTTTCTACTGGTCCAGGAGTAAACATGAACGGACCCCAGTGTTGATGTCACACTTCAAATAAGTCATGTGACAAGCCTCACTGGGTCAGTCTACTGAGGAAGACCATTGTGACTGGTCAAAAGCTCTGGGTGAGAGAACTTTATTGTGTTTGATCAAAAGTTGTAACTTTAAACATGAATCTACGAACACAGATGAACTTTTTGATACTTACTGACCTCAATTGCGGCCAAGTGACCTCCGAATGCTGATCGATAGAGTGGCGTCCGTCCAAACTGACCGACTGTGTTTGGATCTGCTCCTCTTTCTATCAGCATCTGTGGGTTAACGAAACGAGTTGATATTACCAAGTAATACAGACAGTACAAAACTTTTTGGTGTGGAGAAATATTTAACACTGATATCTTGAGATCTTAAAAAATAATTTTAGTAAAATATAACAATAATCTGCAAGCTCCCTTAAGTTTACAGTAGTGGCATCATCACTAGATAGCTTTAAACAATGTTTACAGTTAGATGTTCAAAGGCTACATAATTATGTAGGTATAATAAGTTGCTTAGTGTGCATGCTAAACTGGTGTTAGTACTGTTACAAGTGGGAGCGGTTATACTGGCTATATAGATACAGCTACAGAGACTTATTGGAAGAGTCACCTTGATTGTTTCTGCTTGCCCCCCTCCCGCTGCCTCTGACAGTGGAGTGTTGTTGTTGGCATCTTCACACTCAACAACGTCAAGTAAATGTTTGGCACGGATAGCTCTCCCGGACATGTCATTTGGCACATTGTTCTTGTTGTCTAGCTCTTCAACCTGGAAGCAAAATCAAGTCTACATTGTGCTATGATCATTAACATGGAAGTCACACATCACAAGGACTATTATTTAATAACAGTATTATATAATGCTCTTGGGTATCTAGAAGTAAGTCAAAATAATGGTAATCCAATTTCATGCATATAATAAGGTTTTGAGTGCTTATGATGCCCCGAATTATTTGGTTTCTTGTCAAACACACTTATTAGGTTACCCTAAGTTACTAGTATCTTGATTTCATTGTATGATTAGTAAATCAGAATTTTTATTTATTTATGATGAATATACTGTAATTATTTCAGATGGTTTCCTTCTCAATGTGATCATATATTAACATTTCATACTCATTAATTCTAAAGCTGTACCTCCTTTAAAACGGAAAGAATCTCATCATTGTCTCCATCAAAGGCTGCCTCAAGCATCCTCTTTCTCCTCTTCGCTGCTTCTCTCTGTCTCCGTCTTTCCTCCTCCATCTTTCGCATCTCTTCTTCAGCTTTGGCCTGTTCCATCTTCACCAGCTTTACAAAAGCCTTTAAGAGAAACCAGGACGTAGAGCTGTGATTGATAATAAGCTCTAAGGATAACGAAGATGATGAAAGAGAAAACTAACAATTATGGTGACTCTTAATGGAAGGATATCAGATTCCTACCTTAGTCTCCCCCAGACTCTTTTGCAGGCTGAATAAATAGTAGAAATCGGCCTAAAAAATGTAGCTGGCCAAATTTCTACTGCCAAAGAGTCTGGTGGAGACTCTATGACCGGCCAACTCCCCTGGCTAGCTACAACTTTCTTTTTGGGCTGGTTTCTACTATTCGTTCAGCCTGCAGAAGAGTCTTGGAGACTCAGTCTTACATACAGTTGGTTGGAATTTGACATACCTCCCTTTCCAATTTCTCCATCAGCTTGAGTACAAGCTTGTAGAGTGTTTTTGTCTTTGTCACAGTCATACATTTTTGTTTTGAAAGACATTGAGAGAAACCAGGAAATAGAGCCATGATTGCCAATAAATGCTAAGAATGATGAAAGACAAAACATGGTGATAATTAATGGAAGGCTTTCAGGGTCTTACATACAGTTGGTTGGAATTTGACATACGAAGAAGAAAAATGTCCCGTTCCACTCCTTGTGGAGTATAGGGGTGGTGCCCATCTCCATTTCTGTAGCCCTTGGGCCACACTGTTGTGCAAGCACTACAGCAGGGCCTGGGGGCTAGTCCGCTGGTAGTGCTGTGTGTTTGACCTTCCCACACTCTTTTTCATAGATGCTGAGTGTTAAGCAGTTAAAGCAGTATGTACTATTTTTAAAGTCTTTGGTATGACCCGGCCGGGGTTTGAACTCATAACCTCCCGGTTACAAAGTGAGCACTCTATCCGATTGAGCTATTGCTGGTATTTTGACATACCTCCCTTTCCAGTTTCTCCATTAGCTCCAAGTAGTCTTCCTTCTCCTTCTTCTTCTTCTGCAGCAACTTCTTTGCCCTGTAACCTCGATAGACTTTCTGGATCTTACAGGCTGCCTCATCTTCCTTGGTCCAGACCTATGCACAACATTTTGTACATCAAATTATCATTAAAGTTCACCTGTGTTAGTAGTAATCATAGTAAGATGTTGAACTTTATTGAGGGCCTGCAAAGGGGGGTTCCGACAATGCTCTGCGCTGAATTCTGAAACCCTCGATTACGCTTTACGATAAATTCCAAGTGGCTACAACGCATTACGTAGAATTAAAACGGCGAAAACGCTCTACGCAAAATGCGAAGAGCGGTCCGTCTACGCTCTACGTAGAATTAAAATGGCCAATTACGCTCTACGGAAAAGGGCTTGCAGGCCCCCTTTATTATATATGGGGGGGGGGAGAGACCTTAGAATGTTGACAGGAAGGCATGATCAGATTTTTGCAAAACTAACCTTCTTCTGAGGTTTGTCTTCACCCTTGGCGGGTGCTGCCGCTTTCCCCTTCTGAGCTGGAGCCGCTCCTTTCTTTGCCACAGGAGCTCCTGCAGGTTACAAGCAAACAAACAAATAAACCAGGGAAAATATATCAGTGCAGTGGTACAAAAACTTTTTTGCAGTGTTGTGCAATATTGTGGAATTTTGCTTTTGTCACGTTGTAGATGGAGTAGATGACGTAACGGTTAATTTAATATCTATATTAATCAATATATTTTCAACACTGAGGACATTCAAGGTCATCCACCATTCAAGGACACTGTTTACACTGTAAGGACATCTAAGGACACTGCAGGAATGTAAGGGTTAATTGGTGGAACACTGAGGTTACACGTGTATGGTAGGTTACGTAAGGTAGGATAGTAAAACATAACCAAATATGGTAATAGTCCCGGTTTCTAGGCCACATAACACAGATTTAGGGACAACTTCAAGTTCAGTTATAAGAAGTCCATTCATTTAAAAAGAAGTAAACAAGTCCCTTAATTTAGTTCAAGGTTAAACAGAGTTGTCATCAGGGAGATAGATGTTTCTTGAGTCAGTCTTCTCTTGAGCGGAGTGAGAGAGGCTCATACTTTGTGTAACTCCGTTAACTGGGGAATAAACCACATTAACAACTACAACTTTCCGACTAATCTTTTGTGGACGACGCTCTAAAGACCACCGTACTAAAGGGAGCATCGCCACACTTTGCAATTCGGAAATACTTTGTGCAAATGAAAAGAACCCCTATCTTGATTTTTCAGTCTGCAAAACTGCAGGTTATTTAATTTTTCTTCTGCAAGATTGAAAATTTACAGAAGTACAATTCAGAAGTCAGTGGCAACTAACACGCAGAATACGTTCATTAAAAAAATATATATTATTGTCTGAACTTCTCAAGCTTGGGCATCCCCCTTACACGCCCCTCCCCCTTGAATCCTAAACATTTTTAAAAGTTGTACAACTTACCCTTAGCTGCTTTAACGGGAACGTTAGTCTTTTTTGCCGCTGCAGGCGCTCTGGTCGCCACTCTTGGTGGGGCTTTCGCTGCAGGAGCGGCCGCCTTCTTTGCAAATTTTGGCGGCATGTTGAAAACTCAAAACAGACCCTCCCCAATGTGTGACGCGGTGACCCGAGTAGTGACCCCAAAAGCTACATGTTGCTAAGCAACCATTTCGGCCTAACCATTTTGAATGCAAGGGTTCAATGTTATTATTTTATTAAATAGGTTTTTGACTAATTCATTTCAGAAAAATACGTTTGCATTATACAAAAAATTGATTTCATGAAACATATGGTTCATAATTATAGATCTAGCACATTTATAGTCCTGAATCATGATTTTATTGTTTTCACTATGCACCCCCTCTCACACCCAAAACAATGGTCCCTTCCTATCGGGTATCGCAGCTAAACATTTTGGAGGTACCGGTATTCAGAACACGTTGGCTTATGTAATGTTTTCAACCTTTTCAAAAATCAAAACATAATTTTTGTAACCAGATTAAAGCATTGCATTTAGTATTAGATATCTATATCTACTGATTCAAATGAAACTTGACATTATTTCAGTTTTAGGTTTTGCTGTGATCTATGTTATTGCGCATGTGTCATAGGTCAGCAATTTTTGTCTTGTGTATTTTCCGTAAGTACAAATATTTGTTTAGTAAATATGATACAGTATAACGGTAACGCTAATGTATATTCTAGGATATTGCAGATATGTTCGTTATTGTTTTGGTAAGGAAAATTATTGTCCTTTAATATGTTGCATGATATGCCTCTTAAATAACCTCCATTGTTGTTATAACGTTATGCTTAAAATTAACATCACGGCTGGAATTTTCATATTGGCGTTTTTCGTTGTTTACAATATATAAATTTTATGGACAGTGTCAAAGATGGAGGCCACCGAAAATTATGTAAACAAAGGCGTGGAGAAAGGGTGTAAACAAGAATGTTATTGTGTAAATAAAAGCATTGTCCTGACATCTTTGTTTACATTTTTGAGGCCTTCACCTTTGAACTTGCATCCTTGTGTACATTTGGGGGCCTTCACCTTTGACCTTAGACTTTGTGTACATTTTGGGGTCCTTCACCTTTGACCTTACATCTTTGTTTACATTTTAGGGCCCTTCACCTTTGAACTTGCATCTTTGTTTACATTTTAGGTCCCTTCACCTTTGAACTTGCATCCTTGTTTACATTTGGAGTCCTTCACCTTTGACCTGACATCTTTGTTTACAATTTGGGGTCTTCACCTTTGACCTGACATATTTGTTTACAATTTGGAGGCCTTCACCTTTGACACTGGGTATGCACACTGTCAGACCTATTTTTGATATGCTCATATCACAAATTTGTTATGATAATTGTTTTATAATGTAAATTTGCAACATTATAATTAATATAACAGACTTTTAAAATAATATTGCAAATTCATAGCCTCCTTCGCAGTCTTGTTGGGCGTGGGCGTAATTTTTTCTCTGAGCGACGCGAGTAATATGCCGCCGCGAGGGACGATTTGCTGCCGAGGGACTTTTGCCACGGAGAGAAGGTTTCCGCGCTCCAACAAGACTGCTTCCAATCGGCGACTAGAAAGGGCTATCAAAAAACACTTAGGAGCGATTGGCATGGATGTGTGAACTTCCCGCAATAAACGCCACCAGTGCAGGGAGGTGTTCACGCCCCATTCCTCGACGAGCCGAAACTTGCAACTTTCTAGCGGTCGCCGATCAACCCGTCGGTAGAACGCCAACCATTCCCGAAAACCGAGCCCTATCCACTCGACAAAATCCCGTAGTCATTGCTGCTACGAAAAACAACTTTAAACAGATCACTACCACAGGAACCCGCAAGCTAAGCGATATTGCTGGGGGACGTGGACAGATAAACAAAGTGCCGCCATGTTGTTTGGTGGCGGGTTGATCTCACTGGTCATAGGAGGGTAACGCACCGCTCCGCAGCAAGTTGTGTAATAAAAAGAATGGCACATTTCACCAGCAAAAATAGTACTGCAAAGTTCGTCTTGGTTTGTTTGCATGGGATGCTTAAATATGCACAGCAATGCCTTTGTTGTAACATTACCAATGTTCAACCTTTCTCTGTTGGAACCTTCCACTATAACGCAAGCTAATAAAACCAACCGTTGACAAAAGGCGAGCGCTCCATGCGTATCTGTGAATTACCCTTGCGCGAACATGTGAATTGGACCTGCGCGAACATGTGAATTGGACCTGCACGAACATGTTAATAGCCTCTATGAAAGGCTGGCTTAATCCGAGGTCCTTTCTAGTCGCCGATTGGAAGCAGTCTTGTTGGAGCGCGGAAACCTTCTCTCCGTGGCAAAAGTCCCTCGGCAGCAAATCGTCCCTCGCGGCGGCATATTACTCGCGTCGCTCAGAGAAAAAATTACGCCCACGCCCAACAAGACTGCGAAGGAGGCTAGCAAATTCAAGTATTAGTATTTATATCAAATATGATTAACATTGCACCATGAATTAAGAGATTTGTATTATCAAGTGACGTATCAAGTCAGTCAATATTTGCCATGGAGATCCAGGCTATTAATTCATAGGAGCTGAGCTTAATATGATAATGAATATTTGTAAGGGTTAGATTAAAATGCTTAAAAAATGCTTGTCAGTCAGTGTGATCACTTTTTCACCATCAAACAATGAATATGTTACATGGTGGGTATAATATAAACAGTAACTTTGTTTACTGAACGCCGTGGGAGAGCAACCTTATTTGCTAGAACAACAATTCACACCCTGCTAGGCAAAGTCCAAACAGCAAAGACCACCTGTCTGCGAGTGCTACCATCAATAAATACCACTGGAACAGAGACACTGCGTATCTGTGGATTTGTGCTTACTAGATGTTGTCTGTATTGTCCTCAGAGGTGACTATGTGAACATCATGTGGACCAAAAACCTTTCCAGAGAGGGTTGGTGGCAGCTTGTCTACCTGTTCTGCTGTACAGCCTCTGTATTGCTGCAGGGTAAGTGGAACTTTAGTCCTCGTGTTGATGAAAAAATTGTTTTATCTATATAATTAGTTTGTTAATTAGGAGTCACATACTAGTATAGAACCCTTATTTTACCATGCCTGATTAAGGAAGGGAATTAAATTCAGAAACATATGATATACAAGTATTGAAATTATTTTCAATACTTGTAAAGAACTCAGGTGTTACACCTTGAAGTGGTTTAACAGCTAACAGTATGATCATGATTAAACATTTTACATGGACTAAGAAAAGTTTGAAGAGTGTCTGATGTATGATGATGGATTCTAACGTATGTTTCAGGAGGTCCTGTCTTTGCAGAGCGTCCTGTCTTCACTGTTCCACCCAGGCCAGTGTCAGTGTCCACTGGGGGAGCCGCCATCTTTGACTGTGTGGTGACAGGCTCCCCTGTCCCTTCTCTGTCCTGGACTGACAACAACAACGCTCTCATTGTCAGCAATGGAAGGGTTATCATCTCCCCAAACAATAGCCTGGTCATCACCGATGTCCGGGACACAGACGCCGGTTTTTACACTTGCCACGCGACAAATAGTTTTGGGACAAACGCTGCGAGCGCCATGTTAACTGTCTTCAGCACCGCAGTACCAGTCTTCACCAGAACTCCAGAAGACAAGATAGTAAATGTGGGCTTATCGGTAAGGATATCTTGACAAGTGATGCCTGTGACAGTTTTAACTTTTCCTTTATAAAAGTTTAGTGCCCAAACCTGAGTGTACAAAAGTAATTACCTCTATAAGGCTTCGGGAAGTGACTGCAAAGAGTAGAAATTGGCCAAATATACAGATGTTATGCCAGGGGAGTTGGTCCACACTAAGAGAACAGTGGAAGCTGCAGACTGTTGTATAATATAATAGCTTGGACCTGGCATATCATCTGTCTATTTGGCCAATTTTGCTCTTTCCAGCCGCTTCTCAAAGCCTGGTAGAGGCTAGTGCAAAAGTACAAGATAGCAAGCTTAAGAATTTACAGAGACCATATTATACAGGTGACATAAGCCTGGAGTCCAGCCTTGTTAGCTTTAGTCCACTTCCCAAAATCTGCTACCCCACTGGTGAGGTAGCAGATCTTGGGGAGTAGACTTTAAAAGCTAGCAAGGCTGGACTGCAGGCTAAGTTGACATGGTATATATTACTTCCCATGCCAGGTTCTGTTCGTGTGTGAAGCCAGTGCCAGCCCAGACCCTGTCCTGAGCTGGGGGAAGGCTGGAGGAGACCTGCCTGCTGGGAGGGTGGAGTTTGTCAGCAGTGGCTGGATGAGGATACGGGATGTTCAACAGTCAGACGCAGGGGTGTACACATGCACCGCTCAGAACTCACAGGTACAGTTCAGTCATTACGCCGGTCCCTTAGTAGCCAAGTACATGACTTGTGTGCTTGGAATTTGAAATTTGCTGGCTACGTGGACTTGATATAGGTAATAGAATGATATTGTTATAACCTATTTATACTTGTTTATGTACTAGACTTAGCCCATGATGATATAGCCTGGTTACCAAACCTATTATAGCTCCCGAGTCCTACATCTATTTGCGAAGAGGATGTAGGACTCAGGAGCTATGTTAGGTTTGGTAACCAGGCTAACAATGACACTACTTGTCACCTGCCAAAATTGCACAAGAGCTTTTGCTAGTCACATCATTTTCTGACATTCTTTCCGTCTCCACTGTTATTGCAGGTGAACCACTGAGACTGTTCTTTATAATAGTAACTCGGGTGATTCATAAAAATAATGTGTATAATGTGTTTTGTTTCTGTCAGGGAAGTGTCCGTGCCAGTGCTTCCCTGACTGTCCATGTGGCTCCCACCTTCACACACACTCCTGTGGACCAGACCTGCGGCCTTAGTCAGTCCGTTAGCTTCTCCTGCCAGGCAGCTGGGATCCCCACACCTCTCATCACATGGATAACCCCTAATTCAGGTACGTCAGTGAAGGTTAGAGATCCAGGAAATAAGATACGCCAAAAACAGTTACTCAAGCAACTGGGTATGATTTTGGACACGGTCAGACATTTCAGGTAGCATCCAATAGTTCACGCCCATAAACCTGCTTTACTCATGCAGTCTCTAGCGCCACTGACGAAAGGTAGTGGATGCTATCAAAATCATATCCAGTTGCTTGAGTAACTGTTTTTGGCGTACCTAATTCAGGACATACCGTGATCCACAATGTTATAGGTAAAATGTCTCAGACCCTACCTCTTCCCTAATGACCTCAATGAAAAGCAGCCTGCAGGCTGATTGCAGCATGAATACAGAATGGTTTAAACAAGAATCAAACATTGTCAAAAGGTCCCATAGCATTTGAGGCCATAGGGGCAGGAGATTCTAATTCGCTGTCTGTTCTGAAGTCAGTTCAGTTCAAAAACTATTTTGAAAGTTAGTATAATACATTGATGAAGGTTAGATATGCAGGTAAATAATACTCATTAACTACTACTACTGGATAAATTACTGTAGTTACAGTTTATAATAATAACAGAGACTTCTGGACATTCTAATTGACTTCCATCACTCTTCTTCAGCATCACTTCAGTGAAGAGAGACACTGAAGAAGAGTGGTGGATGTCACTTGAAACATCCATAGGTAATTTCCATCAGTAATCCAGTAGTAGAGTTTGAATTACGTAATATGAGTATTACAAATTGTCCGCGGCCTGCAAAATAGAAATTCGTAGATTTTCAAAGATCTTTTCCACCTGATAGAGATTTTAAAGACTGACCCGCTGACTATTCTACAGGTACACTTCCTGCACCCAGCGCACAAGTTGGACCATCAGGAATCGCTGTGTCTAGTAACGGGACACTGACCATTGCTACTGTCAGAGGAGTAGATGAGGGTGAATACAGGTTAGTTTCTGTATGTTTTGTTTCTTATATCTATAGTTAAGCAGTATAGACTGTATCCTCTAACAGCTACAATTGGTCTGAGCATCAAAACATAAGTAACCACACAGAAATAACTGTAAACTCTGTAGCAATAACTGTAAAGTAGTACATGTAGTTGTCTACTACATGTGTAACAATGACTGTCTAACGTCAATTGAAAGTTGCTAAAACTTTAAGTTAGGGTCTGATGAAATACATACTACATATTATATACTTCAGGTGCTTGGCGACAAATGCTGTAGGGAGAGCCACATCTTCTGCAACCCTGCATGTTCAGTATGGACCATCTTTTACACGGTTTCCACAAGACACCCAGGCCTTAATCAATGAAAGTCCACTCTTGCCATGCCAAGCTACTGGTAAGGCTACATGTATGCTAATGCAGAGGGAAATATGAGAATATAATTATAATAGTTTTGTTCTTTTCTCTCCACCTTTTGTTTAGAACTACATGTAAATGTTATTAGCTTGGGCACTGTAAGTCCATAAATTTTATTGCGCCCTGTTTAATGCTTTGATTTATTTCAGCTGCATTTATTTAGCATTTATGTTTACCAAAGGAAAACATGTTGTTTCCTCTTCTTCTCCAAACCCATAAGTTCGCTGACCTGAACCAGATGTCTGTCACCATGGTAACTAGTGTTGGGTTACATCATGTTGCAATTTTGTAGCAGGAGGGATTTAGACTCCTGTCTGACCATATATATGAATGTGTTTGAGTAAGAATTAACAGAGCAGACCATATGCGAAGGAAAACATTAATGCATTTGCTTTGCAAATGTTTTCTTTTTGTGGTATAATACAGCTGTGGTCTTGAAACTCTGTCTCCTTGCCATCTCAGGTGATCCACTCCCCTCTATCAGCTGGTTCTTTAATGGCTCTCCAGTGACTGACAGTCTTAAGTACGACATATCCACCGGCGGGAACCTTCAGATCATGGGCATCTCTAATGCAGATGAGGGAGCCTACCTATGCAGGTATGTCTTTGTAGTATAAGATAGCCTGGTTACCAAACCTATTATAGCTCTACATCCTATTTGCAGAGAGGATGTAGGACTCGGGAGCTACAATAGGTTTGGTAACCAGGCTATTTGCAGAGAGGATGTAGGACTCGGGAGCTACAATAGGTTTGGTAACCAGGCTAGTATAAGATGCCTAAAGATTGAAAGGTTCAGCTAAACTAAATCATAATAACTTAGCATGAAAGTTCATCTGTGTTGGTACAAGTCATTATGAAATAAAGACTAAACTTTCCTTCCAACACTGGAATGAATTTGGACTTACCCCAAATTTTCGGCTGACTCCTTGAAACCTTCATAAATCGTGATAGTAAGAATAAGAAAGAGAGTAAAGTTGGATTGCCTGGTACCCAGATGTTTTCTTTTTACTGTTTGTTTTGGGTTTGGGAAACCTGTAACTGTTGGAAGCTGAAAATCTGGTACTGTTCTGTGTTGCAGGGCGGAGAATGTGCTTGGTTCTGTGGAACAGAGTGCGTATCTGTTTGTATGGAGCCTGCCCGTCTTCACAGTTACACCTGCAGTGGAAACAATCGTACACACTGGGCAAGACCTGCAGCTACACTGCCAGGCCACAGGTAGGATATATGCCATAAACAACTTTATTCAAGTAGATCTGTGTACTGGTACTGTGTATCGGTATTGCAAAAATTGATTACAAAAAGTACAGGTCCAATAATGTAATCCCTAATATACTGGGTACTGTACTTGTATCATGTGTGTTTAGAGTTACACTAATTATTGTTTTAATTGTCATCCTTCAGGTGATCCAACTCCTACAATACAATGGATGAAGGACAATACTGTCGTGTCACAGAGTAACATACAAGTTGCCAGCAATGGAACTTTGATTATTTCAGGTGAGAAACTTACTATTGTACAATAGTAAATTTACCTGGTTGTCATGTAATCCTGAAATTCACAAACTGTGAATGCATGCCACCTGAATGCCGTGCAATCACATGTGATGCTGTGTGTATGTACAATGCATATGTGAATGCATTTTGACTTTGATTTTGTAAGTCTTGTAACTGCATGTATGCCTAGCTGTATTTTGATCTGTTATGCATTTGCACTATTATGTTTTCTTTTAAAAACTCTTTTGTAATGGCTTTTGTATACTGTATTCTGATTAAAATTGTGTATTTGATATGTGTATAAAAGGTAATGTCATTCACACCAGGGACAGGGACAACAGTAGCTCTAGAAAGCAATTCAGCACCAGGGACAGGGGCAATGCTAATTCTGGGATACCAAATTTGACACAAGGGACAGGGGCAACAGTACCTGTATGTGTGTTTGTCTGTATGTTATGAAATTTTCTATAACATCAGATATTTTGGAATCCCCTACAGACATTGCTGAGGAGAACTTGGGCAGTTACGTGTGCATAGCACACAACGCTGCCGGCAGCCACCAGGCCCCAGCAAACGTCTGGTTACCTGACGTGCCTATCTTCACTGTTACTCCTACCAACACTACTGTAAACATCACCCAATCCATTCAAGTACCCTGCAGTGCGACCGCACGGGACACCCCTACAATCTCATGGTACAGGCAAGACAATGCAGGCAATGATGTCTTCATTGGTCAAGGAGTTGGCCAAGGGTCCTTAAAGAATTCACCATCAACCAGACTAAGTGTCAGCAACATTGGCACTTTCATTATCACAAGTGTGAGGGAGGATGACGAAAGTTTCTATGTCTGTAGAGCAGCCAATGGTGTAGGTGAAGTTGAAACAGTTATCTACTTGGATGTTAAGATCCCCCCGACGGATGTTACGTCGAACAGCCCCCAGGTTGTTATGGAAAATGACACTGCTACTTTAAACTGTACATCTAACAGTGACCCGCCATCTATGGTCTCATGGCTTCATCCTAATGGTCTCCCAGTAAACCCAGATGACGGGCGTTTCTTTATGTTCGGAAATAGCCTCCAAGTCTCTTCTACCAATGTGGGTGATGCTGGGTTCTACCGGTGTGTTCTGAGTAACATGTTAGGGTCGGCACATGCCGATGTGCAGCTGATAGTACAGGGTCCTCCACAGCTTATTTCCCTCAGCACTGAGGCCATTGGAAATGCGGTAAGGGTGAGATGTGTCTCGGTTAGCTCTCCCACTGCTGTGGTGTCGTGGTGGAAAGGAGATGTCAGAATACTTGGGACAGCAACTCCAGGCCTTACGGTGGATGAAAACACTGACTTGTACATCCATCATGTGGATATGGGAAACTACATCCAGCCATCAGACGTTTTCTACTGCAAAGCCACCAACATATTTGGCGAGGATAGCTACAAAATCACCCGACCCTGTTCCCCAGGTAAACCATCACTCATCGAGGTGACTTCGGTGAATGCCACGTTAACATGGAGGCATGAAGACTGCAGTAACATCCCTTCATCCTCTTTCACTGTCAATTACCAGACTGCTGGGAGCAGGAACTGGATTGTTGCTAGCCAAGTGACAGGACCACCGTACACTGTCGCCAACCTGGACCCATACAGGTCTTATTCCTTCCGCGTGCGAGCCAACAATGCCCTCGGTACAGGTAACTATAGTGCCCTGTCTGACCAGGTCCAGACCCTGCAGGATGTACCCTCCCCTCCGAGGTCTGTCAGAGTGTCGGTGAGCACAAACATTGTCACTGTCAGGTGGACATCACCCTTGAACTTGAACGGTCCAGCTGGAAACATTCAGTATCGAATTTCATACCAGAGGGCCGATGGTAGCAGCCAGGAGGAAGAAGTGACGGTAGCACACAGTCAGCAGACGCCTCTGGAGGAGAGCTTAACCCTGGAACATGGTCAGACCTACAACATCAAAGTTAGGGCAGGAAACACAGCTCTAAACAGGTGGAGTAGCTCTGTACAAGTCACGGCAGTGACTCCTCACTTACAGCCAAGCGCACTGCCTACGGTCACATATGCAAGAAGTGTGTCGGCTAATTCTATACTTATGAAATGGTTGATGTCAGGAGATGATTTTGTTGTGGGTTTCCTGGTCAGCTTCCGAGCAGTTGGGATGAGCACTTTCACGACTTATCGAATCCCTGGCCCAGAGTTGTCCCGCTACACGTTTGAAAACCTTGAAACAGAGGATCAGGAATATGAGGTAAAAGTTGCAGCCTACAATGAGGGAGGAGATGGCCCATTCAGTCTGCCCCTGAGAGCAACAGTGTGGGAAGAAGAGGAGACAAGAACAGCAACCAACGAGACTTTGTCATTAGGTAAGATGTATGACTTGTTCTTGCTTTTAAGGCTTGAGTACAAGCTTGTAGAGTGTTGGCAATTGACAAAGTCCACAGCGTACTATCATAGATTGGTTTGATATAGCCCAGCCATCTCCCACTATGAGCTTGTATGATCTCACACACAAGTCCTGTTTTATAGTGCCTGTAGACGATTGATTGATTGATCGATTGATTGATTGATTCATTGATAAATCGATCAATCAATCAATCATCGGTCGATTTTTGACTGTACAACTCCAGTCTTTGTTGAGGAATTGAATCTTTGTCACAGTCATACATTTTTGTTTTGAAAGACATTTTGTTTGTTCTTGTTTAAGGTGTAATCCTGGCAATTGTTGGCGGCTGTGTGGGCCTGGTACTTCTGCTGGCAGTGGCTGCCTGTGTAGTATTTGTCCAGCGGAACCAACAGAGGAAAGACCGGCCGAGGCACAGTCTGAGTACAGACCAGCTGTGGGAGGACAGGGAACAGCAGCAAGGTGACGTGTTTGAAACAGGTATTTAGATAGCTGTAGTCCTTTCCACTGTGAGTGGCTCAAACGAACATCTTACAATCCTTTTTGTTTATTTGACAGATCTCCATTAGCGAGTACAGTCATTAAGATTACAAACACACTACACTGTAAAACCTACATGTATTAACACATAACCTAAACTTACAAAAGCACTAACAACTTATGCTTACATTGTAAGCTTCTCACAATTCAGCCCTGGGCTGCAAGGAGAGAGTAGCCAGCTAACCCAATCATATAATCAACTTTTTAACTGATGTTTTGTGTTCGTGTACGAAGGATCCATAGAGAGTGGCAGATCTGGTGTCCAAGGGAGCTATGATGTCACTGCTTTTGTCAACGACAGTTTTCGGCCAATCATAGAAGAGGAAACTAATTCAGATCCTGAAGTATCTGGTAAGCCTGGAGCTTATTTGGGGGAGCATACATTTTACATAGCATGAAAGTTCATCTGTGTTAATATAAGTCATTATGAAATAAAGACTAAACTTTCCTTCCAACACTGGAATGAATTGTTATCTGGCACGTATGACCCACTACTACGGTCCTGTGTCTCTGACGTCTTGTTTAAAGAGTAGACGGGTCCATTCCATTAACAAGGTTGATGAAGGAGACAGCCGCAAATTTGGGGTAAGTCCCAATTCAAGTGTTGGAAGGAAAGTTTAGTCTTTATTTCATGATACATTGTACATGTCGTGAACATGTGAAAATAACAGAATACAAGTTGGTGTCCGTCTAATGTTGTGTTTCTATGTGTGTCTGTTTCTTTTGTTACATTTCCAATGTGATGTTATAAAAATGGAAGAGTCCAAAACCAGAGTCAGCTAGTGTCATACATGCATGTATGCTGAAATTACTTGGCAAGCAGTTTTATTTGATATTTTGAAAGTAGATTTACTGCTGTTATTTGGTACTTCCGTAGTAAACATTTGTAACAATTCTCATGTCTGTCCTTGGTACTGAAATACTCATCAGAGTGTTATTTGATATACTTCTATAGTAAACATTTATAATAATTTTCATGTCTATCCTTGTATCATTTAAACCATTTTCTTTGCAAGTACGTGAAATTGTATAATGATTTGAGGTATCATAACTGTTAAGACATTATACTGAGAATGACATTCACCTGTTGTCTGTAGATGCTATGGTTGAACCAGTGGTAGTCCATGATGGGAGGAACACAGACTCACACATCAGGAGACCGGCTGAAGATCCTGTCCAGCCCATCCCGGCACCACGCAGGGACAACAACTCATCTCCTGTTGTGAGTTTGATTCAGCAATGATTGGACAGTTATGCAAAGAACATTGGGGATAACTGCAAAGAGTAATTAACAAACAAAGGCTACTGTCTTGGGCCCTTTGTTTTTATCTCAAATGTTGGAGATAATCACAAATGTGTATGTCCTATTAAGTCATGTTATATATTGATTAAAGTTAAAACTTTTGATCTAACACAAAAAAGTTGTCTCATCTAGAGCGTTCGGCCAGTCACTCTGGTCTTCCTCAGTAGACTGACCCAGTGAGGCTTGTCACATGGCTTCTTTGATAATTCATGCTATATGTTTCCTCTCTTAAGTTTTTCTGTGGTTTCAGATCCCAACTCTGAACATCATAGAGGAGGAGCCATCGGCCAGTCTGAGTCCATCTGAAGAACAGGGTCACGTCGGTGCAACTGGACCTCCTCTCCAAACAGACGACCAAGTCCTGCAGATAAGCTTCGACATCCCAGAAGCTTCGGACGACGACAACCAAGACGTCTCGGAGACCCCTCAGCAGCACGAGTACATGGAGATCCACGACAAGATGACTGACTTGAACAACCTGAACCTTCCGCCGCCCGCCGGTGGTCCGATCTACGCACAGGTGAACAAGGACACCAAGCTGCAGAGGAAACTGCAGAAAGAGAGGGAGGAGATGGCCAGGCTAGCGGCAAAGGCAGAAGAGAAGAGGAGAAAAGAGGCTAAGAAGTTGATGGAGAAGGGCAGTGTTGGTGGCGGCACTGCGAGGTCCCGCAGAAGGAGGAGGAAGTTGAAAGCAGCTGAACAGTCGACTCAGAACCAGAGACAGGAGGATCCCTGGGGGGTCAATTTGGAGAGAAGGAAGAAAGACAGCGAAAGCGCAGGGCTGTTCTAATATAATGTCTGTTGGCTGTTCAAGTTGTTCGGTGTAATATATTCTTTATATTCTTTATTCAAACAATGATCAACATAGCAGCAGTACATAAACAAAGAATATAGCCAGCTGCCGCCACGCCACATGACTGAAAAGCTGCATGGTGTGTTATGCCAAGGGGCAGTTATACTGGCTAATAAAAGTATACAGATACAGGTACAGAGGTCTATACTGGGAAAATGACTCTATGGAGAAACAATCATTGCTTAGACGATGGGTACATTATGGTCGTATGGTTATTGAACCTAAAGGTTCTGGGTTCGAATCCCAAGCAGGCCACACTGTTGGGAAACATTGTGTGCTTGGGAAAGGCAATTACCTCAACTTTACTATGGCTGACCAACTCTTCAGGCAATCTTAAAGGTCAGCTAGGTCTGAATGTAATTTGATATGGTGCTGTATTAATAGTAAATATAGTCAGGGCACCCCTCCAACTTCCTGTAATGGACTAGTCCACATTGGAATATATACTAGTAGTACATGTAGCTATTACTAATGTGTTGTACCCAAATCTGTTGTTTTGGAGTAACAAATATAGTACAATCATTTTGTTATCTGTCCAATACACTGTCTGTATAATACACATATCATTCACGTAATATCACACTTATATTAATATAATTTGTTTGTAAATTTTGTTATCTGTTGAATACCGTCTTGATAATACAGTACATGTCATTCACGTCATATCATACTTATATATAATACATTTTGTTATATGTTGAATACAGTCTGTATAATACAAATATCATTCACTTCATATCACTTGTAAGTCGTATCTGTGTTATTCATACATTTATCTTTTACTAGTTGTAGTAAGATCCCTGAATATGAATGTCTTTATGAAGTATATTAAAACCAATATCTATGCAAAGATATCCATTGTTCTAGCCTGACTAAAAATCGCGCTCCTGGTGGATGGAACACCCTGCCCTCCCTTTCTTTGGAGTGGAGGCCATTAACACCAGGAAGCTTACCAATGTTTAAAGTCGACAAAAAAACAGTGTCTTTGAGTACGTTTGCGAATACAGTATTTTTGAATGGTATCACTGGGAAGCAACCTGAATTGAACTTAAATGAACCTTTCCACACACGTCTAGACTTAAAAAAAAGAGAGATCTTGTATATAAGTGCATATTCATCGTCCGTCCATGGAAACTTGTAACAGTATTGTCGGTGAAGGTTAGACAACCAGGCAATACGATACGCCAAAAACTCAAAACAACTGGATATGATTTTGGAAACAGTCAGACGTTTAAAGTAGCATCCACTAGTTTCGTCAGTGACACTGGAGAGTTGTCAGAAAGGCAGGTTTATAAGTACAAACTGTTGATTGAATTCAATCAATCATTCAATCATATCCAGTTGCTTGAGTAACTGTTTTTCTGGCGTATTGTAACAGTAACAGCAAGTGTCGTTTATTCAATATTCAGGTAAAAATGCACTGCCGCTAATTGTCTACCATCATGCAAAGCTGACGGAAATTGTTTCTTTCTTATGAATGTGCATGGTGTGCGCCAGAAAATAACGTCGCAACGGGCGTCCAAACCACAAGGCATACATCTACAGTGTTGTTCCCGATGATTCCTCCATGCGAAGGGGCATCTATGGCGACGTCGGGTGACATTGTGCGGCAGGGGTACCTGTATATCAAGAGACCACCTTTTGGCAGCAGGTTACGTCGGCTCAGGGTAGGTTTTTTGTTCTTGATAACAGGTTGTATAAATTGTCTCTCTCCTGAATTTCGAGCAAATATGGGAAGGCAGATTTTTTGTACATTTTCTACAGAATTTAAGATACGAGAAATCGTCTGACTCCTCATAGTGACGAATCTATCGCTCTAGCGTGTCGGGAAAACAAAACAACAACAGCGTACACAAATTACAGTCTGCTACTAATATTTGACTGACCTCACGATGAATATTGAACAACTTCAGGGCCTGGTCTGATTTTCGTGTCAACAACGCACGCAAAACTGTGACTATATATTTTGTAGTCTTTCGGCTCGATTTTTGATATCGCTAAAACAACGTATTTTCTTATATATATGTATAAATGTACTTGCAATTTATGTGTAAAAATGATTTTAAATTAAAACACCAAAATGTCCGATGCACATAGTAACTTTTACCATTTTGTCTTGCCTTGCGCCCTAGTATAGCAAGAGATAAAGGGCTGACCTAGGCTTTACCCACGCAACCTTTCATCTTGTATGTACAATATAATAAAGATGATTTAGACCCCCCTAGTCAAAAGTCATGCAGTTTGTTTACAATAGGACGGACACATTCGATGCTACATGGCGCAAACAATGTTATTCTTTCATATCCCGTCTGTACAAGTCATCAACTAACATTATCCAAATCTGTTCTCAAATCCAATGTAATATTCTGCAACAGATTCTTCCGCAATATCTGGGCCAGACTGTACTTATAGACATATTTACCTTCGCCAAGAAGGTTATGTTTTCAGGGGCGTTCGTGTATGTGTGTGTGTGTGTGTGTGTCTGTCTGTCTGTCTGTAAACACAATAACTTGAGAAGGCCTGGATGGATTGTCTTGATACTTGGTAGGTGGGTAGGTCTTGATGAGACCTCAAAATGATTAGATTTTGGACCCCCTAGCGGCTTGTTATGGTACTGCAGCTGAACTTCCGGTTTTGATATCTCATGATCTAGACATGCTATGGTGATGAAATTTAGATGGTAGGTAGCTCTTGTGCTGGGGAAGAAGTGACGTGAGTTTAGGCCCCCTAGCGGCTTGCTCTGGAACTGCAGGGATAAATTCTTGAAAATATTCAAAAGGGGATAACTCAAGAACCAGTTGACGGATCGTCGTGATTTTTTGGTATGTAGGTAGCTTACGTGATGCTTAATATAATTATGTGACAATTATGCAAATATGGATGTAATTTGCATAATTTATGGGGAAATTCTATAAATCAGCTGCATTCCATAATAGGACAATTGAAGCTTGTGACATTGGTAATTGACAACGAGAGAAACACAGGAAGATGTTGATTATGTTAATAATGACTTAATTTGCATAATTAATGAGAAAATTTTATAATTATGCAATGATAACTGCCTGGAATTTCATACTTGTGGTATTTGAAAGTTAAATTGAGGTGAACATCATTAAACATAATTTATTCAAATCAGGACCTCATTTGCATAATTTATTAGGAAATGCTAGAATGCATTGTTTGTTAATATAAGACTGTCTTTTGGTTAAGATTATGATAAAATGATATAATTCATAAAAATTAGGTTCCTATTTCTTAAATCAGGGGGGAATAATCTAATCTAAACTTTGTCAGTCATAAAGATTAACATCATTTGGCGAAGGTATGAGATCGGGGAACTCTAGTTTTTATTGCTGTCATTGTTTTGTATTTGTTACCCCAACCTGTATTAATTTTATGTTTTTATATTTCATGAGCAAAGGATCCTTATAAGCACAAATATACGTTAAAAAGTAAAATAGATATATTCATAATAAATTACATTCAGCCGAAATCACTTGAAATTGGTTGATAATGGAATGAACATAATGACGTCATGACGTGACGTGTAATCTGTCGTCATAAAAAACAATACATCAGCAAATTGTACTTTTCACTGGTGTTTTGCCTGAAAAGTATACCAAAGGGAATTTCAACATCAATCTTCTTAGATACATGTATATGCAACATTGATAGTTTGATGTTTGATCGTACTCTCCAAGCAGAGGTTTGGGTTTTGGGGGTATTTTTAGCGTGTTTTAGGCTTTTTTTATTGGGGTTTCTCTTTAAAAAGCCTAAAAACACGCTAAAAATACCCCAAAACCCAAACCTCTGCTTTGAGAGTAGTTTGACCCGTATAACATAACCATAGACGTACGAATTCGTGTACTGATATGGGTGTGCCAAATACTAACATCGGTATTACGGGTCTGTACCAAATACACGTGAACTCGCCCCGCTCAACATCTACGTTTCTTAGAGCATAGCGTCGCGGCCTCTGCGGTTTATCAAATCTCCAAGCAGATCTTTCGGTGGCTGCATTGCCATTTTTTTTATTCAGAAACACAATGATGATTACAAATGGAAAAAAAAACATGGACTAAGAACTCCATGGGCTGAGAACTCAAGTTAGGTACAACTTATATTCTCGCAGGATTCCCGCAGATTGCCAAATTGACCAGGCAGTATCCATTTGCCAGACAGTTAGGCTGGCGTAAAGAAATATACCAGTACAAATAAAAAAAAGCCCGATAAACACGCATTAAACCACGCCAAACATGAAGAATGAACCTCTGATCGCAGTGCTTTCTTCGGCGGTTATACTTATAGGAACCGACCATTCCTTACGACACCGTTTACACATCCGGGCAGGTCATTAACCCTAAAACATACTGTTGAATTTTGCCTTTTTTAAAAAGACTATTGTGCATTTTCTGTCCTTGTAATATTCGCAGACATGGCAGAGGTACTTCGTTCTTCTTCGGGACGAATTTGAGGAGGGGAAAATTACTTTGGAGTTTTATAACCACGAACGGGCAGCCGTAAACACGGAGACAGAGGCTAAAGGCAGGGGGACAACAAAAGTCATCGAGTTAACAGGTGGGTGCGTCGGTGAAGGTTAGACATCCAGGTAATAAGATACGCCAAAAACACTTGCGTATCAATCTACACAAGTTCGTACTTATAACTTATGGCTTGCTTTTCTGACAACTCTCTAATGTCACTGACGAAAGGTAGTTGATGCTACCTAAAACGTCTGGCTGTTTCCAAAATCATATCCAGTTGCTTCAGTAACTTTTCTTTTTGCTTAACATACTAAATTGTCATTTTCGGAGATGTGATATAGTGAAATCTTGTACTTTTGTAACGCATAGTATTACAGAAAATGATCTGTAAAGTATGTACGAGTACTGGCTGTGGATGGCACACAGATCCTACGGTGGCAAAACCGTATCCATAGGCCAGAGGAGTGTAGCTAATGGACATTTGTATTACTGGCTGTAACAGTTATAATGTTAACATGGGAAAGATACGAATGCGCTCATTTGGTGACCTGCGCCTAGCCCTGGATCACTAAATTAGTAAGGATTCAGTAAGGATCGTATATTTCTGAGTAATGGATCGTATGTATTTCGTAAAATCTGTATGCTTCCTTCACTGAATCGTATGTATTTCATAAGATTCGTATGGATTCCGTAAAATTCGTATGACCCTGGGCCCAAGTTGTCCACTAAAAATCCCATATATTATCCCAAAGGTATAGCCCACGTGGGGCGAGTCAGCAAGGCCGCGAGTCAGCACGCCCACTGCTTCACCATCGTACCCGACGAAGAGCAGCCGCCGCTCATCCTGGCCTGCGACGACAACATGCGGATGCTGGAGTGGATTTCGGCCGTCAAGTTGCTGAGTTCGAAGCTGGTCAAACCGCCGGAGCCGGTCCCGCGCAGGGAGCCGCCCTCGGGGGAGGATCGCACCGAGCGCCAGTCTTCTGCTGACTCCCAGCAGCAGCAGAGCTCACCACTGTCGTCTGAAGGTAGGCATCGTCTCTCTCTCTCTCTCTCTTTCTCTCTCTTCCTCTTTCTCACTCTCTTTTCTGTCTCTCCCACTCCCACTCTTTATCTTCCTCTCTCTTCCTCTCACTTTCTCCACCTCCTTTTCACTCTCTTTCTCTATCTTTCTCTCTTCCTCTCCTCTCTTTCTCTCTCTCCCTCTTTTTTCTCTCTTTCACTGAACATGTGTTCTACATCTGTGGTAGGTCTTGCAGCAACATTAATATTCAGTCTTCTTTCATCTTCACTGCGGCTTGTGCCTTGTGAGCTCCCTTTAATAGCTCTGAGAGTTTCTTTTCTGTTGTAGGAGGGCATGGCCCTCAATGATCCAGGTCTCCCTTCAGTATACCAAGCAGACTGACAGTGTCTTCCTTTGTGTTAACTCTAGTTGCCAAGAAGGTTATATTTTTGTTGGCATTGGTGTATCCCTATGTGGCTTCTGATGGGTCAATCCTGTCTGACCATTTGATAAAAATCAATTGGCTAAGTTTACTAATCTCCAAGCAGATCCTAGGGTGGCAAATGACAGTAGCAATTTGGCCAGGCAGTATCCACTTGTCAGAGAGGGTCCATACCCCACCCCTTCCTGGCGAATGGATACTGCCTGGCCAATTTCATACTATCTTTTGCCACCCTAGGATCTGCTTGGAGACTATTATTATATATAAGTTTACTACATCTACTCCAGGTCCCTCCGTCATGATCCGGCCCAAACCGGACGGAGCCAGTGCCAGCCGAAGCCCAGGCAAGAGGCGGAGCTACAAGGTGTACGTCATGCCAACTGAGCTGGCCTCGACCATCAAGCTGACCGGGGTCTTTCGTATCAGAGTCACTCGCAGAAGTGTGGAAGGTATTGTAATCACTTCAAAGTTTAAGGGTTTTCTTGTTGGAGTTCAAGCTTTACATCAAGTGGTTCACATTGTATGTACTGTAACTGGTACAAAGAAGATTGTAAACTTTAAGTCAAATGCCTGCAATGTGCCAGTTTTGTAGCCTCTACCGGGCTTTGGGAGATGGCTGGAAAGAGTAGAAATTGGCCAAATAGGGAGAGATAGCATGCTAAAGAAGTTGGTCCGCTAGAGAGTACATTCGGATGCAGCAAACTGTATTTTATAGCAGACAAACTCCCCTGGCATGTTATCTCCCTCTATTTGGCCAAGTTCTACTCTTTCCAGCTGCCTCCCGAAGCCTGGTAGAGGCTACCATTTTCTGTCTCTCACACCGATTGTCATCTAATACTTTCTCCCTGTCCCTTTAGTATACAGTCTGTATGGAGGAGCACCAAAGCTCAACCTCCCACTGAGCTGCATCAAGGGTTATAAAGTATATCCATCTGCTGTGGAAGTGGACAAGATCTTGGTTCTTGAGACAGCAAGGTATGTACTTTAGGGGTAAATGGATTTTTGGACTTTTCATATACTGTGTGTAAGTTAAGTGAAGGGGATAAGGAGATATTATAGCTTTCAACTAGAAAGGTAACATTTGCAAAGCAAATGCATTAATGTTTACCTTCCCATATGGTCTGCTCTGTTAATTCTTACTCAAACATATTCATATATATGGTGACAGGAGTCTAAATCCTTCCTACTATAAAATTGCAACATGATGTAACCCAACACCACTTACCATGGTGACACAGATGTCTGGTTCAGGTCATTGACCTTATTGGTTTGGAGAAGAAGAGAAAACAGAGCAAAAACAATATGTTTTCCTTCAGTAAACATACTTAGCATGCCTTTTTCACCATTATTCTACCATGGTCATTTTACAAGATTTGGGTGATAAAAGAGATACAAGTTTAACCAGTCATAAATATAACAGTGTCATTTTTTTCCTCATCACAAGGCATTCGCCTGCCGGGCAGGGGATCTTCCAGTTTCGCACGGCTCACTGCGACAACATTTGTGATGCGATTCGGAGTCACACCACAGAGGGGGAGGAGGGTCTGGTTCCTCTTGATGTCCCAGAGCAGGATGATGGAGATGAAGGTGAGATTATATAACTATATAATAACTTTATTGCACAAAAGTTTTACATGGTACAAAGTATGGTATCTACAAGTACATAACTACAATTTCATAAGGCTAACCTAACTACAGATTATGTCAGGGTATGTCATCACTATTCTGTACCATCCCCAGTCCTGGTTCCTATGTGCCACCCCACCCTGTAGTATCTTGTACCATCCCCAGCCGTGGTGCTGATGTGCCATCCCCCACCCTGTAGTATCCTGTACCATCCCCAGCCTTGGTGCCGACGTGCTATCCCCCACCCTGTACTATCCTGTACCATCCCCAGCCTTAGGCCGATGTGCCATCCCCCACCCTGTACCATCTTGTACCATCCCCAGTCTTGGTGCTGATGTGCCATCCCACCCTGTAGTATCCTGTACCATCCCCAGTCTTGGTGCTGATGAGCCACCCCACCCTGTACTATCCTGTACCATCCCCAGCCTTGGTGCTGATGTGCCATCCCCTACCCTGTAGTATCCTGTACCATCCCCAGCCTTGGTGCTGACATGCCTTCCCCCACCCTGTACTATCTTGTACCATCCCCAGCCTTGGTGCTGACGTGCCATCACCCACCCTGTACTATCCTGTACCATCCCCAGCCTTGGTGCTGACGTGCCATCCCCCACCCTGTAGTATCCTGTACCATCCCTAGCCTTGGTGCTGACGTGCCATCCCCCACACTGTAGTATCCTGTACCATCCCTAGCCTTGGTGCTGACGTGCCATCACCCACCCTGTACTATCCTGTACCATCCCCAGCCTTGGTGCTGACGTGCCATCCCCCACCCTGTAGTATCCTGTACCATCCCCAGCCCTGGTGCTGATGTGCCATCCCCCACCTTGTAGTATCCTGTACCATCCCCAGCCTTGCTGCTGACGTGCCTTCCCCCACCCTGTACTTCTTTTTTTTTCTCATTTTTGTGATATTACCTTGTCCTAAATATCAATTTCAATCCAAAACCATACAGTGACTTCCACTGGGTCTCATGTGTTGTGTCCAAAGAAAAGGGCTGGCAACATAAATGTTTGTTGATAACAGACTTAAAGCTTGTCGGCCCCTACATTTTCTTAGTAACTAACGCTCAGGGGCATTCATTTTTCTTAAACTACAGATGATGCCCCGCGCTCGCCAACAATCACCCTTCGAAACATCGACGGCCTCAGCTCCTGCAGCCAACTGGACAGCTCAGAAAACGTGGCAAGCACGGACTACGCCGGCAAATGTTCCGAGGACATTGCGCGCCGTAGTTTCTTTGCAGACGGGGACGACAGAGCCTCCGAGAACGACACAACTGCGAGCGATCAAAGCTCCAGTGACGAGAATGACACACCGGAGGAGGAGGCTGGATATTTGACTTTGCTTGACACAACTCCACTGGACGACTCGGCGACGCCCGGTAACCAGAGAATCGTACCGACCATCAGCGTGAATGCGGCTGGTGCAGAGGGGAGCAAAGCATCCTCTCCTGTTGACACAGACTCGGAAACACAATCAGGAGGTAGAGAATACTAGGAAATAATCCCCAAAATAGTTTCATCAGGCTGGTACAGTATAGGGGTTTCTTTGACACAACCAATCTTGTCTTACCTTGCTTACGTTTCGGTGTCTGTCCGAAATATAAGCAAGGTAAGACGAGATTGGTCGTGTCAAAGAAAACCCCTATTTACTAGTAAATAATGTTCAGTAACACTTAAACAGTAACATTTGGAGTTGACATGACATGGCTGACTACCTTGCCAAAAAGCAGTTACTCAAGCAACTGGATATGATTTTGAAATTTCATATCCAGTGGCTTGAGTAACTGCTTTTTGGCGTATCGTATTACTGGATGTCTAACCTTCATCAACATTAAAAACATCTCATTTCATTTTGCTGTTACAGAAGAGGCCAGCAATAGTCCGATCGGTCCAAGAAAAGAAGATGAAAGCTCCTTACCAGATCCAAAGGCAACTGAGGGCAATGATCAAAGTCACAGCCAAGAAGGTGTGATCTTTTCAAAGTCACCTGTGTTGTTTTCAAATGGTCAATTTCAATGATTTCAGCTACAAGGGGGCCTTTGAGGTTCTTTCAGGTTTCACCATCCAAGATTGCAGCTTAGACACATGCAGGCACCTTATCCGTTCCTTTCCCAATAAGCCTTTCTCTTTACTTAAAGCTAACATTATATCCATTCCTCTCAGGTGCCCTTGACACTGAAGGAGACATACAAGATACAACAAAGCTGTTACAGAGTGCAGGTTCTGTTGTTCCTTCGGACGACTGCGAAAGCCCAAAAGATAACACAAAAGAAGAAGGCAATGCAAGATCTGGTGGGGATGGAGAACAAAAAGAAAATGATGGAGCTAAGTCCACATCAGAAAGCATGGCTGATGGTACTAGCCAGAGTGTTGCTCCACAAGACTGTCCTAATGTCAGCGTACACATGTCCGTCACTGACAGCGTGGCTGAACCTTCAACATCACCTTTAGGCTCCCAGGAAAGGGTAGGGCAAGAAGTAGGGGACTGTGATCCAGAGAAGGATCAGAAGAGCCTTCTATGTCTTCCCGATGCGACCGAGGAATCATCATCTGATGAGCTGGCAGAAGAGTTGACAGACACCGATGACATCACCTCTCACGGCGCGAGCCCAGTCAGTGTAGGAAGTGACGAAAAGTTGCTTCAGGAAGATAATAAGGGCAGTGCAGATCTTACTCAAACACAGAGCACAAGTATCAAACTTCAGTTGGTATCACCTACAGACCTGAAGACCTCTGATGCAGAAATAGAGCTGAAAGAAGAACCAGGAGAGGACATACCCACCCCAAAAGTCACCGCTACAGCTAAACCACCTGTTAAATTGGGCCTCACCACATCTTTGGGGGTGGAAAAATGTTCAGAAGATGAAGCCCCGATTTGTCGAGTTACTTCTTTACCTGCAATGATGCCAGAAGGTAAGATTTGCACAAAATTGTGCTTTTGGTTGTGATGGTCTTACTGAACTACTTTTTACTATTTTTTAATCATTTATACAACCCCAAAATACCTTATATTCTGCCCTGATTGTGCACTTGAGTGGGACATGAATTATGCTACATAGTGTGTTTCCCATCATAAGCACATTAGGCACTAGCCGCGGCGACTGTTGCAGGGCTTCTCTTGCTTGCAGTCTTTTACATTAGCCCTAACAACAAAAGACTGCAAGCAAGAGATGCCCTGCAAGTCGCCGCGGATAATTAGGAACATAAAAAAGTAAACCATAGAAGTCTTGTACTTCAAAAGAAAAACAACTGAGTGTATGTAATTGTATGTTGATGCCCTCTTGTGTACTCTCCTGCAAGAACAGCTATCACTGAGATCAGTAGGCAGCTAAAGGAGAGTTTTTATATTTGTATATTTGCTTTGCATAACTGATGTTGTTGGACGTATGTAAATTATTCATTCATTTTGTTTTATCTTATACCCAGTATCAGACAGTGATGCGCCCTCCGGCCCAAGAGCTGCGCGCCGTGACATTATCGAAGACTATGAAGACATCCATCCCCACGGCCCACTGCGGAGGGGGATACCGCTCAACGACTTTGTCTCTCCGGATGCCGTCTCTCGACCGGTCGCTTCAAATCTGCTTTCTCCGCTGGGTATCTATAGTCTTATCACAACTTTTGCAAAGTCTAATAATACATACATGTATTAATCTCCAAGCAGATCCTAGGGTGGCAAAAGACAGTATCAAATTGGTCAGGCAGGATCCGTTTGGTGGCATATGGAGCCATGGTGAATGGATACGGTCTGGCACCCTAGGATCTGCTTTGAGATTAAATACATGTATATACCTTTGGCTGTGTTTGCTTGTGTATTATGATTGTGGTTGCAGATGGATGGATTGTGTATTTTGTATGTGGTTTTAGGTCTTGTCCTGTCAAAAAAGGATTAAATTTTGGCCCCCTGATGGCTTTCCTTAGTAACGTTACAGCAGCAGAATTTAAAAACATTGTACAAAATGTATATTATAATACCTTTGGGCATACGCAACTTCAAAACAATCTACCTAATAGTATATGGTCCTTTCTCATCACAGATTACACGACTGCTACAGATGACAAACCTGTAGCATCGGAGAAGCGTTCAACAACTGCAGATGACAAAACTGTGGCAACAGGGAAGCGTTCAGAAATAGCAGAACCACCACCTCTGCCTCCAAGGTAATTTGTTGCCTCTCTAAAATGAAATTATAGTAGTTGGGCTGAACAAGAGGATGAACATAAGTTTGAGAGTGTAGTTTCTTAAGTTAGTACAATTTGAGGCGGTGAATGTCAGCTTCAAGTGTTTTCCTGAGCCCATTTGTTTTCATTACAGTTCGTAAACTTTGGAAAAAAATGTCCAGAAACTACATTCATTTTGTTTAGAATACTTAGTATATTGGAAGTATATGGAGTTCTAGGTCTTAGCTGAACTTGGCTGGTTTATTACACTGAATTGTGGTTATACCAAGTAAATTATGCTATTACATTTATACAGCTTGTTGATAATTACCTTTTCTATTACAGGACCTATAAGCTGCGGCCTGGGTACAATCCATTTTAGACCAAAAATCGTCATGATACCAGCCTGTTGTTCTTAGTAATCATGACTATCTAAGATGTTTGTCAATAGACTGTCCATTGACTTGTGATTGTTTTGAAACTTAGAGTGAAAGATGACAAATATAATGTAAACCAATGTAACTAAATCAAATAACTGAATGTACTTACATGTATAGACTTTTGTATATAAAAAAATGTTGACTATTGTTGTGATGCTGATATTAGAGATAATTGTCTGTAAAACCTAAAAATGATGTTAAGTTTTTCAGTGACTTCAACCGCATTCCATAAACTACTAGTCAAGAAATCATAGGGCTAATGACTGATAAAATCCTCTTCTGTAAACATATTGTTATAGTTCACTCTCTCTAATTTCTAAACCATAGACTGCCAGCGAAATAAAGGACAATGGTATTTCTACATTTTCTGTGGCGTTTTCTTTTGAGCAGGATTGGGAGGTATGCAGATCCAAAGTGAAGTTTAATACCCAGGTACATATTGTACATTTCACCCATGCAATTTCACTCATATTAGACTACAAGACCCTCCAAATGACGACAACACAAATCATTAGCATAACTGCTTTTAATATAGCACAAGGAGTAAGGATACTAAACACACCCTTTACCCTCTACTACATGTCACATGTAGATGATACTTTGGTTCAGTTCCATTACATAAAAGATACCCAGTCCTTCACTTTCACTAGGAAAAATAAAACATCCGGGATGACTTGTTGGTTGACAGACATAGATGTACTTACATCTACTGAAAACAGTCTTTGTCTCCAAACTCTTTACAGTGTAGTTACAGATAGATGTACATGTATATAGACACACAACAAAAGCAGAGAGCATGCGATGAAGTATGGATCACAGGCTGAAAATCACCATACTTGCTGTGACGCAGAGCCAAATTAAATGTAATATCTTCTTCATCCAAGTGAGACATCACCAAATCTTCATCCCCTATAATATACTACATACATGTACGTAGTAACAGATTTGATATTTATAGCATGCATTACATGCATTTCTAAAGAATAAAATGTATTAATTTATGACTCCAACAAGTAAGCAAAACTCTCCTCAGCAGCTTACAGTTGTGCAGTAACACAATGCTTCTAAAAAACACAGGTTTTTGTAGGTGTCTTAGCTAAATCTCGTATTCCATGTAATTTTGTAAAATACATGTGCAAAAAAGAAACTAAGCAATGCAAAGCTCTGTGCCTATTTAAACCGATTGGCCTGTCAATATAATCAAACCAAATAACTATAAAGGTTGCTCTGTTACAATGATTATTGTAGGTAGCACAAACCTTTGAATGAAAACAATAGTCTGAATAGCAGCACCAAATGACTGCAGAGTTTTTGCTCAGTACATTTTACAGGCTTCTACTATTGTCATGCACTTTGTGCAAGTTCACTGATTCTCATATGTTGCTCTTTCATGTTACTTTGTTCATCTAAAATCTACTTTTGATTATAGACATTTTTGATCATACCAATTATATCATTCACCTGACTGTGCTTTCTTCATTACCATAATCATAGTATTAACCTGATGAGCTAATGTCATTAAACATTATCTATGGCATCATTTGTAATTTCTATTTACTAGTATGTCTGTATGTTTGTTTGCACACCATACCAAATAACGGTAATGTGTAGTAAGATATGCTAGTACACATTATGGAAAAAAAAGTAGTCACAAAACTTTCATGAAGAGAACAACAATGGTTTGCTTGGCACAAACTCCAATCCTGTGATTTGCTATTCCACTGGACGCTGTTTTGGACTTGTGCAGATTGGGCACAGTAACTGTTAAACAGCAGAGATACCTGCTCAGCTCCAATTTTACAAGAACACATTTACATGTAGAGTGAAGTGTAGTTAAAATAGATGGGCAATACTTAAAACATGGGCATGGTTGGCATATAGGCAGATTAAAGGTATCTGGCTGACATTTTGTTATCACCTTCCTCTGGGCAATTATGATTGATTCTGCATTACACTGCACCTGGGTGGAAAAGGAAGCCGAGAAGGAATAGAACTTGAAAAAATCAGCAGTGACAGGCCACATCACCAGAAATAACTGTGTAAAAGACTAGTAGGGTGGCAAGGTCAAAGACAGAGAGGACAACAGACGCATTTGTTGGACTCAGGAGGCAGTCTTAAGAATCGACTCCAGTTATGAACCAGACATGGGGAGCTATAAATAAGATGAGTCAGGATTGGGGTTTGGGACTGCAATATTTGCAATTTAGTGACACCTAGCTGCAGTAAAAAGTAGATCCAACCATTTAACGCCCTGAAGTCGGTAGCAGGCAGTCCACCGAAACGTTGGCTAATAAGTATTACCTGACTTGCTTCGTTTGAAGACACCTTTTATCCAACATGATGTTAACCTGGTATCCAGTCTATCATGGTTGAGGCAGGCTGTCTTCAGGGCTCTAATAGTTTTCCCCAGCGCAGCTTAACAGACTGCCCTGTAGGAGTGTTACACCAATAGAGTTTGGCACCCTGGGTTTTGATTCGCCCCACCACCACGAATCGTGGTGGGGCTATTCAATCTCCCATTGTGAAAAACCTACCAGAGAACCTAGCTGAGGCAATCGGGGAAGAGCTTCAGCAGCCCTGAAGAAAACCTTCCCCAACCACGATAGACTGGACACCAGGTTAACATCACGTACCATCACCTCCATTCACTACTGTCCTTCACTCTTTGTCTAACTGAAGATGGTGTTGAGCTGTTGTGTGACTTGGATGAAGGTTGTGCGTTTCTTCATCTCCTTCAGCTTCGCAGCTCCGACATAGGTACAGGCAGACCGCAGGCCGCCCAGGATATCCCGTACGGTGTTCTCCACATCACCGCGATACTCCACTTCTACGGTCTTCCCTTCCGACGCCCTTCAAAACACAAGAAAAGGACGATCACTTAACAAGACTGCCACCGCACAACAAGCCAAGCTCAGCAATGTGCTCACAATATCCAAAGCTAACATTTTGCGTGGGGTCGTGTGGCGCAGTCGGTAGCGCGTTCGGCTCACACCCGAGAGGTCGTGGGTTCGAACCCTGCCCATGTCACCGATCTTGTGCCCTTGGGAAAGGCACTTTACACGACTTTCCTCATTTCACTCAGGTGTAAATGAGTACCTAGCTTCAGCTAGGGACGTCCCTCGGATAGGACGTTAAATGGAGGTCCCGTGTTTGGGAGAGCCACACCCCACGCACGTTAAAGAACCCACCGCACTTATCGAAAAGAGTAGGGGAGCTTCCCGGTGTGAGTGGTTCAAGCCTTACAGTCTGGTCTCGGGGTTGACATCTTTGAAGAGGTGATAGTCACCTGTTATGTCAATCCTTCCACAAATGTGGTAAATCGTCATAAAATAAAAATAAAATAAAAAATTTTACTGCCTCAGTGAATGCAATGTAAAGCTACAAACAACAGTACAATACAGAACAGGGAACTGGACAATCGAGGCTCCTGGGAAGTATAAGTTTTTTTGTTTGTTTACCCCATTTCCTGTATCTAACCATTTGCACTCCTGTCAACCAACTCTGACACACACACACACTCAAATCCACAGCTCAGCCACCCAAAAACATACTTCCATACCCACAAGTAACGACTGTGGTCCATCAGGAAAGTACAACTTCATGCCCTTACCTGTACTCAGCCACTCCCCCAGCGTACTTCTTCATAGCAGTGGCCGAGGCCATGCCGTAGAAGGACTTCATCTTCTTGCCGTTCTTCTCGATGGTTTCCCCTCCTGACTGGTCATGACCAGCCAACATCCCACCTAACATGACAAAATCAGCTCCAGCTCCTGGAAAATAAAGTACAACAATGACATCAGGCCTCTAAATACTGGGTGCATATGCACCCAACTTTGGAGCTGTGCACCCAATTTTTTTTTCTGTGGGTGCACCAGTTCACCCAACTATTTTTGTAGGTTTATTTATGTAAATATGTTAAATGTATAGTAGTATACAGCATATTCTTAATCTAAATGTCAGAAAAATAATGAAATCATTGTTAGAGCAAGTTTCTTTAGAAGTGAAACATAAATAGTTCAAGGAACTTAATACGACTTTCCTCACTTCGCTCAGGTGAAAATGAGTATGCCAGAATGATCCTTAACAGAAAAACCAAAACGGATAGAAGAAGAACTGCATCATTTTTTCGTACCGAATGCCTTGGCGACGTCTCCAGGGCAGGTACAGCCTCCGTCGGAGATGATGTGCCCTCCCAGACCGTGGGCCGCGTCGGCACACTCCAGCACAGCGCTCAGCTGAGGGTAACCTACACCTGTCTTCTTTCTCGTGGTGCAAACTGAGCCTAAACAACAGAAGAGGAAGAAATATTGTTTCAGGGCTTGAAATACTGGGTGCATTTGCAGACTTTAGCTGGGGGTAACCTTCTTCTGTCTTCTTTCTCGTGGTAACAACTAACCCTAAACAACAGGAGAGTAAGAAATATTGTTTACAACTGGCCATACACTAATTATCATACAAAGTCAGAAAAATGAAAACATAAGTAGTTTGGGAGACTTCTGGAAAAGTACAGCGTCAATTAATAGCCTGAGGGACCCATGTATTACTGAGGCTAACATGGCCACATCTAGGCAAACAATTTTGACGTCGCCTATTGGGGGCGACTGGTCCTCCCAGTGAAGATGGTACTATTAAATCAGCACCAAGGACAGATCTTGTTACGTTCTTTTTTTTTTCCTTATATATGTACATTGTATATCAAAAGACTTTGGCTGTAAAGTGATGCCCTACCTGGGCCAATTCCAACCTTCACAATGTCAGCTCCTGACAGGATGAGTTCTTCAGTCATCTCACAAGTCACAACATTTCCTGCCTAGAATACAAGATGGAAGGTGCATGCATTTATTTCACACATACAAATGGTTGTAGTAAAACAGTGACTGCTTCCAAGTACATGTAACATAACATGAATGTTAGATATATAGACTTATACCTTATGTAAATGACGACATGCAAAGGATGACAGTAATTGATGATAAGGAAAATCGGTACGAGTTCAGAGGAGTTTGTCAGATATATCAGCAGAGGCTACTTGGTCCAAACTCAATGTCAAGTTACCAACACAAAAAAAGAAAAAGAAGCATCATGAAAAATACATACTGTTTCTGGACTAAATTATTGCTTTAATATATTGTTTAATGTGGCTTTGTAGAAAAAAGTAGATACCATAATGGTGTGCTTCGGAAACTTCTTTCGAACTTCCCGAACAGTTTCCACGAAAGCCTCTGAGTAGCCGTTGGCCACGTCGAGACAGATGAACTTAAGCTGCGGCACAGAAGCCAGGATGCTCGCCAACTTGTCAAAATCTCCCTTCAGGGCGCCGGCACTTACAGCTACATTCTATACAGGGAAAAAACACTTTGTTAGGCCTTTTGTTACCCCACTAGGATATCACAATCAACAATTTCATTAGCATACAGTTGACTGCCATGCAAAGATAGGGCTGATTAGCTACACCAGACGCTGCCCATGGCCACTAAACTAGACTTAAAGAGTGCTACCATCATCTTAAACTAGACTTAAAGAGTACTACTAATACTACTACTACAGTTGACATGCACAAAGACTGAATGAAAGACACATCTTCTTACAATATTATAGTGTTTTACATGTACCAACCTGTATAACATCTGGATTATTCCGTCCAAAGTCTTCCCAGGCTTCCACCGAGTAGTGCTTATGAATAGCTGTGAAACAACCATGCTGAAAAGGATAGAATATCATAGATCAAGGGGTTCTCGCCAGAGCATTTGAGCGTCGGGGGCCCCGACGCTGTGAATTTTTACCCCGACGCTGTGATTTTGCCCCCGACGCTGTGGTGCAGCCAGCGTCGGGGGGGTTTTGTTGTTTTTCCCTTTCAATCTGTCTTGTAGTAATAGTGAATGAATAGTACTTGATATGAATTTGAAAGCAAATATTGTCTTTGCCCTTGTCACAAGGAACACCTCAGACAATGGAGAACAATGTAATTAATTGGCCCGGGGGAAAGTAAAGGTACCGCTCGGTCTCGCCCAGTCGGGAAAATGATCTTCGGGGACTCCCTTAGTATAGCAACCAATTTTTCCCGGTAAAAATACAATTATGAAAATACAATGCCAGTGAAAATCATCTCTGTTTGTATTAAAACCCATTAAGAGTCTCTAGATACCGTTATCTCGGCAAAGAATGCGGCAAATAGCTTTTTTTGTAACCAAACATCGGGCCTGTCTTGCTTATTTTCGTCCGCGGCGCCATTTTAAATTAAAATCTCGGGCCAACTCTCGCGAGAGTTGATATCCTTATATCATTAGTGGGGGTCAGGTGATCACGAGATCTTGCGTTCAGCGGCGAACTAGCGGGCCAGAAGTTAGACAAATGTTTCCAGAATTGTTTTGGGGATTCTGAACTGCCATCGAGCTAAAATGAAGGATATAATATTCTAAACAGCCACAGAGATGACATTGTTGGCAAGGCTGGTATTTGAAATGAGATTCTCCCTCGTGGCCGAGGCGCGTATGGCCGAGGAGTTTCCACAATGCGTGACTGATTTTCTACTCCCCTGGAAATCTGTTTTTGACAAACTTGTCCTTGCTGTAAGTGTAACTGATATTTTTTCACGGGTCACATGAAGCTACCACTGTATTAGATTGTTTTGATACAGCACAAAAAAGTCCCTTTGAAGGTAAGATATTGTGTTGAAGTTTGTCTCACATTACCGGCAAGTTCAATTTAATGAAGCCTTTTTTTGTGGGTGATTATGCCCCTTTTATGTTTTCTACTCTACTTGAATGAATCCTTTTTTATGTACATGAGCTTTTAAATTGATGAATTATTTTTCAGTCAAAGAAACTACTTCAGACTTGGATTTGTATAAGTTGAAAATTGTAAGAAATAGTAGAACACTGCCTTTATTCGTTGTTGCAGAAAAGTTTGTACCTTGAAGAGGTACAGTAACGGGGGGTGCCCTAATTCCGACCCATCCCTAATACCGAACTAGTTTGAAAAATCCTTGTTGCGGCGTTATGCATGGGAGCACGTGCCTAAAAATAATCACAAGAATGGACTATGTTTTTGTGTTGATATCGGCAACCTCACAAAGTTTGTTTTAGTTCCTACACTCCGACAACAGACGAGTGAAAAATCTGTGTGAATTCGACGCTTGTTCGGGGGTTGACGAGCGTGTCAAAAATGCAGGTTTTGCTTTTCAAACAGCCACTTTGGAGCAAGTCGCGTAATCGTAAAAAGAGGACTTGTTTGGGACAGAAAACATTTGTAGATTGTTTTAGTCATAATATGTGTATTATTATTTCTAAACTCTCTTCTCAGATCGACCTGTGTTAAACACTAGGTCTGAATTAGGGCACCCCTGTTGCGATAGAACGTTCCACCGGCAAAATGACCAAAAAACTGCCGTGCGTTTCGTGAACCATTACGATTGGGTGCAAGCCGCTACACTCAAGTGAAATACACAGCTGTGTAGCTTTAATCGTTGTGATCTTTATCTATCAATATTATATCTCATGTTGCGCGGGTTTTTGGTCAGATAATCTATTACCAAAGGTCTGTGCGTTTGTATGGAACATAGCACGGAATTAGGGCACCCCCCGTTAGGTTTCAGTAGCAGTAAATATGGCCTATGTTGTCAAACATACATGTGTATCACATCTTCAGTAACTTGACATAAAATTGACTACTAATGTGTTTTGTTTATTATGTAATAAAAGTTTTCCTTGCTGCAATTAAGAAGGCATTGCAAAACTCTACTTTACAAAATCTGGCCCTCAAAATGTAGGATATGGTGTTTCAGGGGGTTATATTAAGTTACAAGTTTAAGAATCGATACCGCCCAGACCCCCCCCCATAATACACATTGTGTCCGCACCGCGCTCGCCGTGTGGCTTCGCTGCATTAGGTCCCCCTACGCTGTGAAAAAATCCTGGTGAGAACCCTGGTCATCATCAAGTGGATTGCCAGAAAGGGTCATAAAAATAAAATTGCTCACAATTAAGCTCTCTGGCATTTAGTATACTGATTTAATGTCTTCTTACTTGGACATTTTCAACTTTCAGCCAAAAAAAAAACTGGAAAAAGAGTCAAAGATTTAATTTCAGACATAATTTCATATTTCATTTAAGTGTGCTGTAAACTTTAACTATGCTGTCTAAAACATCTAAAAAAGGAAAAATACATAAATATGCAATGGAATTGCTATTTTTGCAACTTTTCAGTGTTTTTTATTACCTTGGAAAGAGCTTTGGCCATCTCAAATGTCCCCACGGTGTCCATGTTAGCAGCGATGACTGGGACTCCACTGTATGTCTGTCCAGAGTTCCTGAACTTGGTGACTGTTCGAACCAGGTCAACCTGAAGAAAGACCGTACACAATGATTAATTAACCCTGATACATTCCTACTAGCATCATAAGCATTGTATACATCTTTGGTACTCTGTTATTGCATTTGAATGGATCGTTTTAATATTGTAAAGATAGCAGACGCATTGTGTTCAGCTCAGACACCTTTAGGCAAATAACACAGACCACCTCCATACTTACGGGGTAGAATGAATTATCTGTTACCTGTATTCATGTATCTGAATCGTAACTGACATTGTTAATTGTTTCTAATTGTTTATTGTCCTGTTATGAGGGCTGGCCCTTTATAATAGCCTCTGGCTAGTTGGGCAGTTCTGGCTGTATATTTGTTTATACAGTCTAATAAATCAAATCAAATCTATCAGAATGTGCAGATGGAAAAAAACAACAAAAGTTTGGATAGACTTTATGTTTCTGTTCCTCGGAATATATGGTGTCATAACTTTTAGGCCTGGTCATTTCCTATGTAAACAACTTATTGAACTGCCAAATGAGTGCACTGCGGGCAGATCCTTCGGTGTCGATCGGTGTAATATAGCCAGCTGCCGCCGCGCCGCGTGCCTGCGAAGCTGGTGTGTTACGCCGAAAGGCGGTTATACCTGCTATACAGATAGATACAGACCCTAGCCTGTCTGCTATTCTAGTCTAATTGCTTCCATGCAGAATTGTCAGTGTGAGAAATTATAATATTCGCCTTCCTTCATCTGTATTTAGTCAAGGACCTGTATTTGTACTCTCCAAGCAGAGGTTGGGGTTTTGGGTTATTTTTGGCACGTTTTGAGACTTTCTTTTTGGCACAGGAATTTTACTTTCAGCCAACAGTGCAAAAAAGAAACCCTGTAAAAAGGCTAAAAACACGCCAAAAATTACCCAAAACTCAAACCTCTGCTTGAAGAGTTCTGTATTTTGAAGCACCTTGATTTAGCCAAGGACATTATACAGAGATTTAGCTAATAATCACCCATGTGAGCGGGAAAGTGCGCTGTGATTGGCCAGTCGCCGTCTATAATTCCCGCCATGTGAGCAGGAACTGCGCGCTGATTGGCTACTGATATAAATAGGTTACCCAGCGCGGGAACTGCGCCGAAACCCTCAACCTTTTACTTTTCTCCCCATATGGCCAACAATTTCTCTTCGTTTAACGCCGAGTCTGAGGGAGCCAAAGGCTCAAAAATGGCGATCTAAACCATTATAGTTCACAGAACCAATCGCAGAACTTAGTATTTGGCACACAAGAGCTGTCTATCTAACCAAAAATAGCGCCAAAATCTTGGACAGAGAAATCCCGGTCGTATCGAGTTACATACTCACATCAGCTCTACTCCTGATCGTGCTGCGTTTTGGTCTGATCAAAACGTCCTTGAAGTCCAACTTCACGTCCGCTTCTATTCGTGGCATCTTTCAGGCTGTCTGTCGGTCGCAGCGACGCTGACTTTGTCCGTAAATACAAGTAAAATCGCTCCGGACTTTCGAGATACACAGTCGACTCGCGCGTGTGCTTAGCAGGGTCGCAGGACACCGAGATATCTATCCGCGGCCCCGGGTCACAAAATAGTGCGGAAAATAACAAATGACAAAATCTGTTCGTTATATTTATCAGAAAATGTTGGAGTGAAAACAGTTAACTTTAAGTTTTAATTTTTAAGAAAATGTCAATTATAATTTTTTGTGATTTTGCTGTTTTGTAACTATATTTATTATTTTTTTATGCCGAATGTTGGCGTCCGAATCATCTGCTAGGTTTCTTCTGATCCCTAACCGGAAACTCTCGTTCCCGACGCACGCTGGGAGGAAAAGAAAATTTAGCCGAAAGAAAGAAAAGCCTTGTCATATTTCAGCCTAACTCTACACCGAAAAAGCTGCAGCAATGCTCATTAAAGTAAAGGTAGGATAAGCTGTAAATTTTCCAGAAAATGTAAATTGTTCTTGTTGTTGGTTACGTTAGGCTAAGCATTACGACAGCGGCGATTCTGCTGCAGAATAACTTTGCTTTGCCCCCCTCCCCATAACTTGTTTCAAACAAAAAGACAGCAAATAATTAATAATTTTACTGCTGAAGTTTGTGTCATTTTGCTAAAATGCCATGTCAAAAGAGAGAGTGTAAGGAAGTTTTGAATCCCTGATAACTAGTACAGAATTTGTAATATTTGTGACATAATTTTTCAAATATCAGTATTTTTGATATAATAGTTCACAAAATAAATTCAGTACAGTATTCTCACATTTGAGTTTTTTTCTCTCTCTGCATTGCTGCTCCGGTCTTCTGTGATGGAATGTGGCAGACACTGACAGGAAAGGAGGTGAGTGTATACCCATTCAACCCTGTCTTATCAAATTTAATATTGAAAAATTCATCAGCCATTGTACACAACGGTATTAGACTATGGAATACTAGTAGTTATTTCTTTCAATTTAGCATTTCTTCCATTTTACACGGGTCGTTTTAAAGCACATGGGGAATCATTCCACGTTAGGTAAATGATAATGTTACTACATGTATGTCTTTGTCCTATATACTAGTACTTGGTCTTGGATAGGAGGGTGGTTCAATAATGATTTGCATGATGACCCACTTGTGGTTATTCTTGGAGGCATTTGTCTAATGTCAACTTCGGCCCAAGTGGGTTACACAAATCTTTACTGAACCTCCCTGGTATGTACGTGATCTTCACCAGGTATTTCTCTTCTTTCACAGATTGAAATTGACATCGAGCCAACTGACAAGGTTAGTACATATTCAAGTTCTTATATATTCCTTCTGTGAACCAACCTGCCTGAACCCAAAACACACTGTTTTAAAGGAATTATTGCAGTATTAGCCTGTCAGTCTTCTTAGCTGAAGGCTGTTTTCATTGGTGAGTGACGTGATTTGATTTTCAAGTTAGGACGTTACGGTACCTTCAGTGAGGGTATGGTGTATCATATATAGATTTAGTTAAACACTATAGTATTCCATCAAATAGTTGTTGATAATTCATGTATCTACAAGAGGTATTTTGTATTATTTTGTATCTTAAATGATTTCAACAAAGTACTTGTCAATATTGAAATGACTGGTATCCTTATTGTCCTTCTTTCATGTTGTCTAGGTTGAGCGTATCAAGGAGCGAGTGGAGGAAAAAGAAGGCATACCTCCTCCCCAGCAGAGACTTATCTTCAGTGGGAAGCAAATGTGAGCCACTCAGTCTTAACCAAATTATTCAAACCCTCGTCCATTTTCCAAAAGGCGATTTGATCTTATAAACCTATACACATACCATCAACAGTGATATTGGTCTTGAACAAATTATGGTTTCTTCCAAATGTACCCTATGCAAAATAGAACAATAGAAAATTATTTCTGTTAAAAAAAAATGGCCTATTCCAGAAACATCGATCCCAGGCCAGAATGAACCTTACCAGTTTGACATCTGCCATGCATAAATGCCGGATTTATCCACTGAAGGCATCTGCATGCAAAATAGATGGAATCTGTACCATATGCCTAGCCTGGGTGCCATCCGATTTGTTCGGGGTTGCTGTTAGAGATTGGATGGCACCCAGGCTACCATATGCCTGAGGCACCCCCAGTGTTTTGGCTTTGCTTTTTCTGTTTATAACATACACCTCTAGTAGGAAGAACAGAATTATGATCATTTACCCATATTTCTCTTCTTGGACAACTCACCTATTATTTTTCAAATAGTTTCATTTATTTATTTGCACAAATAAAAAGACAAACATTAATCAACAAATAAGAAAACAAAGGGCAAAATCAATGTGCAGGAGGAGGAAAGAACCCTGCAAGGCTTGTACAATGTTCTCCTCCTTGAAAGTTAGGAAATATCAATCATGAAACTAACAATTTATTTCTATGGACAGGAATGATGACAAGACAGCGGCTGATTACAAGGTTCAAGGTGGCTCAGTTCTCCACTTAGTTCTGGCACTGAGAGGAGGTCAATGAGGATGGGAGCATACTGAGCAGTCAGCAATGGAATGTGCTTTTCCTACGTGGCACAGGGCAAAAGACTTGTACCGTTCAAATCCACCCGTTGAGCGATTTAGATTTCTTTGTATATTTAATATGTACTGTGATATCATATGTAACTTGGTGCAAGGAAAATGTTTACTGCACACCACTCTGCCATTAAGTTCAGAAAATTTGATACTACATGTATCTTTGCCTGCACATTATGAGAAAAATTTTTACTTTCTGTAAGATTGTTTGGAGCAATAAAATGCCTATTAGGTAACACGAAGTCTGTACCTCCAAACAACATTCATAGGATAACAACCAATTTATTGCTATGATGAAATTAAATTCATTGTTTTCAAACTTTTTCTAGTGAATGTAATGAACATACATGTACCGGTAACATCCACAGAGCAACATTTTTGAAGACCGTCATATTTTTCATGTGTGGTTGGGCCACATTTGGTTATCTTGTCTGTTTTATTCCCTGGAAAGATGGACTGTGTAGCTTTTGGTTCACCCAGGTTCCTGTTCTATATTTATGTACTGTACTTGCATACACTGTATTACTGATACTGACTCTGGAATACTACCAAGATGCTGATACCAAGTGATGTGAGAGAAACATAAACTCAGTAGAGCAGGACCGATGTGGCTTTTAGTTTTCTTTATCTTGAATGTACATGTATTAGAAACAAAGATTATGTACAAGTCCACTTGTTACTCTGATAGACAATAAAACTGCATTGGTGTAAGCAAATGTTTCACTCACTGACTACCGGTATATGTCTTTTGTGTGTATTTAATTGTCTTACATGAATGAATTGTCTTACAGTTAAACTGTATGCCATAATGTAGCATTTGCAAAATAATAACCTGACTGAACCTTGCTTTTTGCCGGCTTTCCAAAAGAGTGCGGGCAAGAGCTTTTATACACAGGCTAGAAAAATATATTAAAGATATAACTTTAGATAGTTTAGTCTTAGATTAAAAAAAAAACATGTATATACTAGTACAACATATTTCTGACCGCCCCATTATGGAACACAGCTAATTTAAAAATTTTCATTCGATTGTGCAAATTAGATCTTGTTTTGCATAATGTAAGCATCTGGCCACATAACAGGACACCAAAGATCTAGGACAATCGGTTGACCCAATCTTGCGTTACAAATTTCCAACGTGTAAAAAATGCCTCTGCAGTTCTCAGCAAAGGTGCTAAGCGGCCGAAACTTGACCACTTGTTCACGATACGAATGCCAATCTACCATTCAAAAATCATGCCCCGAGCATGCCCGAAACACGAGATATGCAAATCTAACTGGACTGACCCGAACTGAACTGACCCACTGAAAAACGGGGGAATCCTCGGCCATTTTCAACATTTAGGTCGTATTCCATGGATAAGATCACAATTTTTATCCAATGAAATTTTAACAGATAAGAATTTTATTGGCCATAATAACTTGAGGTTTGATTTGTTGTTGAGCGTGTTTTAAAGTCATTATTTTACCTGGTGCCCCCCTATGTTCCAATGGATAGTCTGTTCAGAAGTTCCGGTCTGTAAAATATTCCATTACGTCACCAACATGGCGGTACACCGTTCCTGACAACTTTTGTGGTAAACTTATTTAAAGGAAAACGTCTATTATACCCTAAGGGTACGTCTGAAAGGTGATGGGTCGGAGTTTATGTGTTTGTCTCTAATTCTGTGACAGACTGACCTAGTTTACAGAGGCTACGGAGCTGAGACTACGAAGAGAAGACAGCAGTGTTCTTGACCGGCAACCGTACGCGGTTCACAAGTGTCATACAAATTTAATTTTGGGAACAGATCTAGACGGTAGGTTTTGTCAGTTTTCTCTCTTCCCTCAAGCTCGTAACTGTTCTGTTTTTGGAGTTTAGGGGTAAAGTCCGTCCGAATTTATATACATATGGCCATAAGAACTAGCCTTCATCATAATTTTCATGGCCTTGGGCATCCCTCCGAGGCAGAGGTGCTTCCTTACGTCAGCACTAAATCCCAAGGCTAACGTAATTGTCGCGGAATAGCTCTGCCGTGGGAGAATGACCTTGGCAAAATCCTTGGGAAACGGTCTTAACACCTAGCCATTTTTTTTTTTAGTTCGAACAGGGGCCATATGGGGGTGTAGCCGGGGCTTATATAGCAGCTCAGAGCCCCGGCAAAGATGATATGATGATGATGATAAATTATTGCGCAGACTACCCCCCCCCCCCGTCTCCCCAGCCAAACAGCATTTGCGTAACAAAAGGAATCTTACATACTTCCTTATTTTTTTCCTTAACACAACAGGCAGGACTTTTCTAACAGTGTGCCATCAGGATGTTGGTGCGACGGACCATTTCAGGCCTGCTGCGGCTTGCAGATCATGCTGCAGCAAACAGAGCTCTCAGGATCAGTCAACTTAAACAACAAGGTAGAAAAAAATGCTCCTCTATGGTGTTACATAGACTAATAGAGGGTGTGCTTTATGTTGTTGCAAGATACTGTAAATCACTTCATATTCATGGTACTTTTATATTCACGGTTCTCGCTGTCACTTCCGTACCACAAATTTATCATTACCTCAAAGAAGTACCCCCAATAACAAATATATAGTTCTGCGAACATGTCCATTTTTTTCAGTCAGACCATGAAATTTTGCTACTGCAAATTTAAAGTGATTTACAGTTTTTTGGTAAATCAGTTATAGAGTCAACAAAATAGGTTTGTTGACTTTGTTGGGACTTTTTCTCCGTTTATTTTGCTACCAGAGTAGATCCCTACCAAACATCACTGCCTCTTCAGCTGTTTTTAAAATCTCCATGAAAAGTAGTAAAGAGAGGAGTTCCAAAAACAGTAACTTGACCCATTTCTCTCTCCCCACAGGTATCTTCCGACAGGCGACGTCAGCAGCAGCCCAGGGTAGTTCATCAGATGTGCCGCCAATTGATGAGCTGCTGCCCCGCTTGAGAAATTCCTCCCTTGTCATTTTCGACAAGGATGGGACTTTGATATGTTTCCACTCCATGTGGGCTCCATGGGCACACCAGTTTGTGGAAAGGTAACAGTGGCAAGGCTGCTCTTCTTACATCTGCATACTATTATGGCTGAGCAAAATTTTAAAGAGGACATTGTGGCCCCAAAAATGAACAGTTGAAGAAAGTCCTTGTCTTTCTCACTGTTACAGGTTTTCAATCTCTTTTAAACTTAATACAGTGGTTTGATAAATAAGTTTGAAATCCATTGTTTGAATAACAAACCAGCCTGGTATGTTGACTTCATGGCTCTCATTGTGGCATTTGGGGCTACAAATGTATCATGAGATGCCCTAACACTCCCTATTTTTTGTGCATGAATGAGACCATAATTGGGACCACATGTACCTTTGTTTGCAGATTGGAAGCTGACACACAGTTGTCTATAAGGGACAAAGTGTACCGTCTGTTGGGGTTCGACACACAGACACAACGCTTTATACCAGGACTGCTGGCTGAAGCAACCATGTTCATCATCAAGGAACGGATGGTAGAGCTACTGGAGAAAGAAGGACTGGAGTCTGAAGAAGCTGTCAAGGTCTGATATTGGTCATGTACAAAATGTAGTTGCTCTCTGTCATTCCAGTATTAAAGGCATCCAATGCAATTTAAAGGCAACAAAGCAAAAAAAAAAAAGATATTCTGGATTAGGAAATGGAACAAGCTTCCTTGACAAGTTGTGAATTCTTCCCAAATGGGTACAACTTTAAACTTTTCAAGTCTAGGGTGAACAAACATGTGTCTGTACAGTTCCTTAATGTAAGCCAAAACATGTATTTCTAAGTGGTTCATACGAGCCTTGTTTTGAGGTGAAAAATTGAAGTAAATGAAAAAAAAATCTACCTGAAATTAGCACATTTTTGTCATTATATTTTATACTAGAAGCTTTTGCTGGTGTTTTCCAGGTAGTGGATAGGTGTTGGCGGAACTGTGATGCCACCAACGAGGCTAACCTGAAGTCCCTGGGGAACCTTCCCGATCTGTTTAAGACGTTGAGGGAGTGGGGCATCAAGACGGCCATCTGTACAGCTGACACACGCGCTGGCACTTTACCTGCACTGAAGAAACTGGGAGTAGACAAACTAGTAGACAAGGTACGTGTTACCCCACATGTTTTTGGTACTGAATCAGGGGTGAATGGAACTGCAATTCACTTTATGTTCACGACAGCAAAATTTCATTGTCTGAGAGCAAAATTTTACAGTCTGAGAAAAATGGAGGTGTTCATGGAACTATATGTTCACGGCGGCAGCAGGTGCAGAAAAAAGCAAACAATTGATTTGTTAGCATTAATGATAAGTTTGCGGTACAGAAGTACCTTGAAAAAAATCGTATTGTTTTTTAATCATTATAATGTTTGCTTCTGTGATTGCTATACTTAATGATGTTGGGAATAGCCAGCAAATGTTTTTAGAAACTTAAAGGTAACCTCTTCAATGTTGAAATATGCTAGTATGCAAACAAAAATATTAATTGTTATAACAGTTGTTAATGAGATATTTTGTGCCCAGATCATGTGCAGTGACGACCACGGCAGCCAGCCGAAGCCCAACCCCCACAATGCCCTGCGCATCTGTGAAGAGCTGAATGTGTCGCCGGACCGCGCCATTATGGTGGGGGACACCTCTGCTGACACCAGGCTAGCCAAGAACGCCAAGCTGGGCACTGCCATTGGTGGGTACCATAATTATGCTGTATTCAACTCAGTGGGGGGGGGGTAGATTGCTTGTCAAGCATTCTACATGTATGTCCAGGGCTCAAAATACTCTGCATTAGTCATACCTTCACTGGGTCAGGTAACACTAAAAATACAGACAAGACAAGTTTTACCAGCACCACCAGGAAGTACGGATCATACTGTTCAAAAACCATTGTCATCATTTCTTTTGTACAGTCAATTCAGCAAATAAAAATACAAATTCACCTACTTTGTTTATAAACCCAGTACATGAACTGGTGCAGGTTAGGTGCAGGTAGACATCAGAAATAACTGCACAGCTTAAGCTAGATATTAAATCCTCTCTGTTGACTGTAAAGTAACCTTTGTGATAACTAAGGGACATAGAGCAATTCATGCTGTATAACTGGCAATGTGTTAACTTAATGTTCTTTCAGGTGTCCTGAGTGGTGTTGGCAGTCATAAGGACCTCCATGAAGCTGATTACCTGTTAGACAGTGTAGAAAACATACTAACTATAGCAGTGAACGGGAAACCTCCCACTGGGGGTAGCTCCAATGGCAGTAGAGGCGGCCACCAGGTCATTGGGCAGCGTCAATACTCCACCAGAAGCTCAGGAATGAAGGCAGGAGCGCCGGAGTACAGCTACGTGATCATCGGAGCTGGTTCGGCCGGGTGCGTGCTGACGAATCGTCTGTCGGAGAACCCTGACACCACGGTGTTATTACTGGAAGCGGGCCCGAAGGACTACAGCTGGAAAATCCACATGCCGTCCGCCCTGATGTACAACCTGTGTGACGACAAGTACAACTGGTACTACCACACGGTGCCGCAGAAACACATGGACAACAGGGAGATGTACTGGCCTCGGGGCCGGGTGTGGGGAGGATCCTCGTCTCTCAACGCGATGGTTTACATCCGTGGACACGCGATGGACTACGATCGCTGGGAAATGGAGGGTGCATCAGGGTGGGCGTACGCAGACTGCCTACCGTACTTCCGCAAAGCACAAACACATGAGCTTGGAGCTGACGATTACCGCGGTGGGGAAGGGCCTCTTCACGTGTCGCGCGGCAAGAGCAACAACCCGTTAAACCAGGCCTTCATAGAAGCAGCCCAACAGGCAGGTTATCCTTACACAGAGGACATGAACGGTTACCAGCAGGAGGGGTTCGGAGACATGGACATGACGATTCACAAGGGCGTTCGCTGGAGCACGGCTAACGCGTACCTGCGACCGGCACTGAAACGGACTAATGTCACGACTGAAGTCAAGTGTGTGGTCACTCGTGTTCTATTCGAGGGCAACCAGGCAGTGGGAGTGGAGTATATACAAAATGGAGAGACAAAACAGGTAATCTTACAATATAGGTCAGACATTAGATAAATCTGAAGTAATCAGTTAGATATGATATTAAATATTATGTTACAACAACAGTGAGTAAAAAAAAAACAGCTGCTAAATCTGCATACCATTTCAGGTTTTCTGATCCTAGGTGCATTTGTAGCATAGTATTGCACCCGTGAATCTACTTGAATATAATATTTGGAGCTAAGATTTTGCTAGGCTTGATAGCGGGCTGCCATCAAGCCTCAGCATCAGTGTGCAAGCACGTGTAACCCCCAGGAGATGGGGAACAACAGACAATAAACCGGATAGTGAGTAGTGAGTGAGTGAGGTATTGTAACCAAAAAAGAAACATACACATATTTTTCCTTGCCCTTTTTCATAATAGAACTGTTGATTGACAGGTGCGCGCAGGTGAAGTCATCCTGTCGGGCGGGGCCATCAACTCTCCGCAGCTGCTCATGCTGTCTGGGATCGGTGATGCTGACGATCTACAGAAACTGGGCATTCCTGTGGTTCAACATTTACCAGGTTAGAAAAGTACTAAATTTTGCCCTTGGAAACTGCACTATCTGGGTTTAGAAGCAAGTATATATATATATAGTTTAAAAACTGAGGCCATATACACAGAGGCCAACACCATTGAACGGATAACCTTACCAGTATTTTTTCAGTCTGCAAAATTGCTTAATTCTTCTTCTGCAATATTGAAAATGTCTCTGCTGAAAGCAGACTGCAGGTGGGTATTTCTAACACTGGTAACACACACAGGAACTGGGCATTCCTGTCATTCAGCATTTACCAGGTAACTAAACCCACAGACAGGCTTACGGTAGCCAACAAGCATTGCCAGTGTCATATTATACTGTACATCAGGTTGAGTTTGTTGCATGTATTTTTTTGCAGGTGTTGGACAGAACTTACAGGATCACCTGGAGGTGTATGTGCAGCAGGCCTGTACCCAGCCGGTTACCCTGTACAGTTCCCTGTACCCACACCGTATGCTGATGATCGGTGTGCAGTGGTTCACCATGCAGACTGGCCTGGGGGCCACCAGCCATCTGGAGGCAGGTGGTTTCATCAGGAGCAGGCCTGGGGTGGAGCATCCTGACATCCAGTACCACTTCCTACCTTCCACTGTCAATGATCATGGTAGGGTGGCCGGCACACAACATGCTTACCAGGTAGGAGCAGCAGAAGTAGCAGTTTTAGTTCTTGCCCTCATTTTGGACTAACTATCAATGTTCCATCAGGGTTGGACAAATTTTCAAAAATCCACTTGCCTGAACAGTGCTTTTACTTGCCTGTCCATACAGACCAAACAATATACAATGATTTGTTGTTGACTGGATATAATGAGAGTGTGAGTGTTGATGACTTGTAACAGAGAGAGTATTTCCAAATATACCAATATATTGATCACTGGATAGGGAGTGAGTGTTGAATGGTGTAGGACTCAATTACAGAAGGTACATGGTGAAATGTGTTCCAGGTCCATGTAGGCTCCATGCGCCCGACCAGTCGAGGGTACCTAAAGCTCCGATCTGCAGACCCACATACACACCCTCTCCTGGAGCCCAACTACCTGTCCACAGACCAGGATGTGTTAGAGATGAGGCTGAGCATCAAACACTCGCGGGAAATCTTCGCCCAGAAGGCCTTTGACCGCTTCCGAGGCCCGGAGATCGCACCAGGTCAGACTAATTTGATTCTCATTTGTAAGTGGTCTATGTTCAGCCACCAGCAGGCATGTATCCGAAGTGGAAAGGGTCCAAGAAAGTCTTTGACAGTGAAGCCAAGCCAAGAAGAACATTGATAAAGCTAACACAGAAAGTTTGAAAACTTGATTCTGGTTATCATATATGTATCTCTGCTTTTTTTCTCAGTCTCAATGTGTAAAAAAAAGCAAGAAAGCTTGTTTGTTGATATTGATGCATATATTACGATGTTTCAAGAAGGGATAGAAAAGAGGTAGTATCCTTCAAATCCCTGTAGTTTTAAGTAGTACAGTTAAAACTTCATCATTATTGTGCTGCACAGGAAAATTTTACAAAATTTATTTGTTTTTTTTAGGAGACGGTGTCCAGTCAGACAAAGACATTGATGCGTTTGCCCGTAAGATGTCTGACAGCGCGTACCACCCCTCCTGTACATGTAAGATGGGCGCAGAGTCAGACAAGATGGCGGTCGTGAGCTCAGAGGCACGTGTGTTCGGAGTAGAGAACCTGCGAGTGGTGGATGCCTCCATCATGCCCAGTATAGTCAGCGGGAACCTGAACGCCCCAACCATCATGTTATCAGAGAAGGCTGCTGATATCATCAAGGGGGAGCCTCCACTTCCCAAGTCTACTGCACCGGTGTACTGTCCCAAAACATTAGAGGCACAGCGGTAGATAGCTGGGGTATTGGGCAGAAAGAGAGAAAAAAAACAGTCTTTCAAGATATTTAACAACTGAAGATGGTCTATTTTTCTGCATTTTGTAGGAAAAAATTAGCTAATAGTATGCTTTCTCAGGTTTTGGTAGTATCTTACATTTAACTGAAATGTTTTCAGATGCAGCCTAACAGAGATTATTGCAGGAATTTTTTTTTTAGATGTCAGAAACTCCATTGCTTCTGTGTTATTTATGTAAGAACACAGCAGAAATGTTTGGGTGCTACATACACGTAAAAAATAAAATCTAATTACAGATCTTACTGATCCTCATAGTATGAATCTGAAATGGGAGCAAACTTCAAAATCTTAAACAAGTACTACAACAAAGATGTTATTACTTTTTTTTTTTGATACTAGATCTAAGATGCCAGGAATATCCTGTATACTATTATACACTATTAATATGTACAAAAATACCTACCAAAATATTTCAGAAAAAAATTGGATGCACAGCTCCAATTTTGGGTGCACTAAGGTTCACATGCACCCAGTATTTTGAGCCCTGAACTAGTACTGTAATGTACACACACGTCTTATTATAGAGAAACTTCTCAGTTTGGTTTGTCATGCTCAATAAGCTAACAACAAGTATAACCACACATACATGTACTCTTATATTAGACTTTGTTTTGCATTCTTTTGAATACCATATGGGGTATTTGTTGTAGGTAAACTGTTTGCTGTATTGCAGGCAGTCAGATACAAAAAGTGGATGACAAGTACAGGGCTTATGTAATAAGAGGAGCTGACTTTTCTATGTATTGAGTTTCTTGTTGGCTGATAAGGTTCATAAGGACATTAAGTCTTTTAAATTGCTCAGTAATATTCCTAAAGTATGCTGCTACAATGTATTCATTTATGTGTACATGAGTCTGTGTACCAGATATGAGGGACTCTATTATGTCAGGAAAGATGTTCATTTGAATGCAGCCATGTTGTCTTGTGGCTGTTATTGTATTTCTGTATCAGTGCCGGTATAACTGCCCTTCGGCGTAATACACCAGCTTATTTAAAGATATTTTAAAATTTGTGCCAACTATAGGAATGCAAGGACTTTCTTCAGCTGTTGGTGCTAAAATAGGAGCTTTTTTGTGCTTTTCGTTTGTTGGTATTTTTCTTTCAAATCAGAAAGAAATGTGGTAAAAAAGTGGTAAATTCAAGATACAACACTTGTCTTGGAAATTAGATTGTTATGTCCTAGCAACAAGGAAACTAGGTTTATGTATTTTATTTTGCATAATTGGTAGGGAAATGCTATAATTCATTCATGTTGAATGTTAGAAATTTCATTATCATGACTTAATAGGTAGCTAATAGTACTGATGAATATTGCAAATTTAGTCATTGTGATGTATGCATTTTGTATAATAAGAAAAACATCCTTGTGTGGCAAAATGGTGGGAATTTTTCCATGTTTGGGAATGTCTATCAGCACTGTAGCAAGTGTGGACAGACCTGTGCAATGAAATGGGGATAGACTAGAACTCTGAACTTCCTGACTCCGGATACAATGTACATAATAGCTCTAGTTTCAAAATGAAATGTGAGCTTGCCTGCAATGTACTTAGCCATTGCCATAACCGTCATATTAGCATGGAGTTTTGATGAATTCCACTGTACGTAACATTTTAGATACTTACTAGTACATGACTGTACATGTAGTATCATGAAAGCTCAGTGAAAAATGTCAACATTAATTTTTATGTAGACACATTTAGCAATATGTCACAATACAAGATTTCATAACACAATCTGTGTTTGGTTGTGGTCAATCTACCGGTATTCATATTTTGAAAAATTAGTCTTAAGGGGGGCCTGTGAAGTACATTTGTATCTCCCATTCAGTCACAAGACCACATTGACAGTCACACATACTAGAGCAGTTTTATTACATTAATATTGTAGACCTCTTTTCTAAAAAGTACATGATCATATTTAAGATTCATAACACACAAAAACAACTTAAATCAGTATTGACTTCACTTGAAACATTTATTACATCACTTTTTAAACTTCCATTGGTCTATACACCTCGTAGATATTAATGATATAAGTACAATAGATAAGTGTAATATTTGGTCACCCTTTAAGTTTAAGTTAACACTGACAAGCACAAGGCTCAAACTTTCCACAGTACTGCCAACATCTCATACTTTTTCATTACTGATTAATAAATATAGAGCTCACATTTTTCAAGAAATATTGTATCTGGAGTATTTGAATTGCACTAACCTATGCCTTGGTCACAATTGCCGATTGGCCTAGCCAGGTACTAATCATTTTCTGGCTGTTTTCACTTTTGGGTGGGAGCTGCTTTGGACTGTCTTCAACTGTTTTAGGGCAACAACAGGCCCCCATTTTATTTCGGACAAAATATCGGGCTATAGCCTGGGCTGTAGCAAAAAAAAAGTTTTCTGTCAGTGTCCATCGCATTTTGTCCCAGAAATTTCAGTATGCTATGGGATAGGGCGGATTCAACTCACAACATCAGATTGAAGAATGACCAGAAAATTTACTTTGAAAATCCTGTTTTTCTTCCCTGAAATTGCACTGTATGCCTTTAAACAAAACAACCCAAACATGCCAATGAAAATCTTAATGTGAACATGACAGCCAGTGTTGACGTCACACTTCAAAGAAGCCACGTGACAAGCTTCACTGGGTCAGTCTACTGAGGAAGACCAGAGTGACTGGTCGAAAGCTCTAGGTGAGAGAATTTTTTGTGTTGGACCAAAAAATTTAACTTTAAACATGACAGTCAGTGTCTGCTGTGCCTAGATCAGCTCCACCCCTGACAGACCCCCTCGCAATGGCATTGTGAACAAGGCATTAGTTTCTCTTCATACCCTCCAAATGGCACAGTTGACAATGATTGTTCTTCTCTACCGCAGTGGCACAGCCCTGAGCAGACTAGTCTTTACATCACTGTCACAGAAAATATTTCCTATCATACAATCAAGGTATAGTGGTCATATACACATACACACTAAATTCTATATAATTTGGTGCATACATGTACTATAGTGGTGAATCATAGATCTGCACAAGCATTTCAGGGCTTGAAATACTGGTAGTGGTGCACCCAAATTTGGAGATGTGCACCAGAGGACCCAAATATTTTCGTAGGTTTACGTATGTAACAATGTTAAATGTATAGTAGTATACTGCATATTCTTAACATCCAAGTGTCCAAAAATTATAAAATCATTGTTGTAGTACTTTTCTTTTGAAATGAAATATAGTCAGTTTTTTTTTTCTGACATTCTACTTATTTATTATTAAATGGAGCATCCAAAAAAAATTTGTGCAGCCAATTTTCTAGGCTGGGTTCACCAGTGCACCTTTTCCGAAAAATGAATTTCAAGCCCTGCATTTAATTTGTACTGATTGGGTTGTTTCTGTGTTTGATATGCCAATGAAGTGACAACTTACATGTACGTTGTGCTAATATTAATAATACACATTCAATCATTGTATACAGTTAAAATAGGATGATGCTGATAATAAAATGATAACTAGAAAGGCCAATATTTGCTTTGGAGCAAATATAGCGATGGGTTCACCACATTTTACCACATGGCAGGGAAAGAATGAGAAACACAAGGGAAAACAATGCTTTACATTGATATAACTATAGTATGAAGTAACATACAACTAAGACTACAACAGTTGGATAGCTATTCCCTACATTATTGGTTAGGATTGCATAATGCAAACTGTTGATTTTCAAGATAAAAAGAAGCGTTCATAGCCCGCATTCCAATGCTGGAGCAGGAAAGCTTAAAATACCTACCAAAACACTTGAATACAGACATACTGTCAGTATGGCATGGCTCTGTGCAGGTGTAAATGAAGTTAAGCCAGTTAAATCCCAACAGCCAATCAGCAAGGAGAATAGAGGAAAGCTGCATGCCTATTGGTTGATGCCTTGCATGCCATTGTGATGACTCATGTCCAAATGTGGTAAACACTGCACACTTACACAGTAATACATTAGCTATTACACAGCCAAAAAACTCAAATAAAACCATTCTAAAAGCCTGTATCACAATAATTTAAAAACGCCTAGGGGTATTTGCCCACTGTACCTCCATACCAAATTTCAGGACCTTAGGCCCTAAAATGAAGAAGCTGAATCCATTTAAAGATATGGCAGGAGGAGGAGGAGGAGAAGGAGAAGGAGAAGAAGAAACATCAGAAAAAGCAATATGGTTTCACCACACCACTTCGTGGTGTGGTGAACCCATAAATATCAATTTGAAAGCTTAAGTCAAGTGGTGAGTTACACGTCTGGGAAATAAATCATATAAAAATGGAATTTTTCAGATTTGTTTACATCGGGAAAACAGGGATGAGGATGAATTTGAGCATCAAAATAATGGATTTTGTGCAGAAAAAATGTCTTAAGGAATGTGTAGCTTAAAGTAGAAGACAAGGTCTGACTTTTTGTTTGAATGAAAGGTTAAATTTTCCAGCCTTTAACAGAACTGCTTAAAATGTGCATTTTACTACGGGCAATATTATTATTACTCACACTTTGTTTACTCTACCTTACAGTTCCCATGAAGAAAATTAGATATCCTGTACATGACATGCATGAATGTAAGACATATATAATACATGCTCACAAATACATATTGGCCATCACTACATGTATGTACACATGTATACCTTGGTATCATCTACTAGTACTTACTGACAAAAATACAGAAGGCATATCTCATGTATACATGTACTTTATATCCCTAGAACTACTCTGCAACATCCTATTTGATGTAATAGTATTACAACAGCACATATATAAGGTCACACTTCAAGGATATTACTGCAACGGTTACAGACTACTTATAATACATGTAATATTTTAACAGATGTGGTTCCAATGAAAACTCAAAAGCATTTTGACACAGCATTTGGATCAGATTGGAGAATATTACACTTCAGAATTCAAAGTCATTGATTGCCAAACTTAAAAACTCTAAAATCAGTGTTTCAATGTGGTTTTTGATACCTGCTTGCCTTAGCAAATTTGCCATGAAACCTGCACAGCTACTTTAAGTATTCAGAGTGCCTAGGAGGAGCAGCTATTCTCTACTAGACCTGCATCTAGCAGGTGCTGTTTCAGCTTGTTGAAGACCACCAGCTGGAGATCTGGCCGTAGCGCCAAAACCTGCTGTACGATTTTGCCTGGGTTTGGAGCTCTGGGAAAAGAAAGACAATAAATTATTGTAATGCCGTTAGTCCACATCAATTTTCATGCAAATTATGTTAAATCCATCCATGGGGCATCCATAGATTGTAATTGTTTAATTCTTTGATGGAAGCATGCCTCAAGCATCTTGAGCTACTGGAGTCTTTGAAGAACGAAGAAGGCAGTGTCTTAATCATAATGCTGCAGGGGCCAAACGACATAGACTGATAGAGCAGGAACAACAGCAGTCCTGAGTAAGTCCTGACTATGGATCACCAAATTGAATGCCGTAAGTGTGGACAATTGTCTGTCTCAAACTTATAATATAGGGCTTAGAAGCCACATGAGGTCACACACCCCATGAGTGAGGATGCTAACAGTCATCTTTGACTACGAAGGACTAACAAGAAGAAGAAGCATATATTACCTACAACCTGATTGTATGTATCCATTCAAGGGAAGGTACATATAGCAGTTGTGGGTGAGCTTACCTGATAAAACTGTGGTGGTACACATGTACAAAGGTGGCCATGAGGTACTGGCAGTCAAAACGATCCACCATCCCACCATGTCCCGGAATCACGTCAGCAAAGTCCTGCCAAACAACACATGGGAAAAATGTAGCTTAAATTTCAATTCTGCATTTATAGGAGAACTCAATCTTAACCCCTGTCCTGCTGGCAATTTTTTACAGAATATTTTCAAATAATTTGATGTCTTAATCAGGTCACATACCCTTGACTTTTTTTGCCCTGTGATGGCGTAGTTACTTCTGCATTTGCTGCGGTGTAATACATTTCACGAGAAATACCACCAAATTGTACATATACAGGGCATGATATAGATGGTAACTGTATGCGCAACCCATATACACATGTATATAGGCTTTGAAGGACAAGGGTTAAACATTCAACTGAAACACAATGGGAAACTTGGACTTCTAAAGAACCTTAATGTCTACATTTAGCACAGTAACAAACTGGACCAAAATATTCCTGAAGTATACATTTGACAAAATATTTATACGAATACACACAACAAAAGTTCAGCTATGCTGGGGAGCTTTCGAGACGTACTCTGTCTCTTCATCAACCAGATTCAGATCTCATCTTGGAGTTCTCTTGTCACGTGACTTGATGGGATAATCACGTGACAAGAGACAGTTATATACAGGTTTTAGGTAGTGACGCCCCCTGTCCTTGTTTAAGGTACTGCGTTGTCAGCGGATCTGGATTGCCTCCCGGACACCCCTTGCAAACCTGAAGTATACAGTTTGGATGTAGAAATCTACTCACCTTTATTTTAAATGCTCGTTTGAAGCCGCTAGCAAAGAACCCTCCAAAAGGACCGATTAAGGAAGCAAAAGTTGCCAGGTATATGGAGTGGATCTAAAAAGAGGCATCATCTTATGATTAGTGCTCAGCTGTATGTTATGAAGAACAGGCAAAAAGCAAGGTGGTAAGTATTTAAATCTCAGTTACCAAGTACTAACTCATAAAGGCTTTAACTATTTCTTGATTATGGCGGTTTTGAACTTGTTGTTCCAGTGAATGTGTTGCCTCACCTGGAAAGGATATATGTTGACAGTCTTCCACATCAAGCCCATCTGTAGGAATATGAAATATACAAATTACATTCAATTTGTATGATGACATGACAGTGTTATTTCCCCTGCCTAATCTTGTACATTTCTAAGGCATATTACTGTATTACAGAAGGGAAAATTTTCAAGGCATCCAATGCAATTTTAGGGCAGCAAAACAAAGATATTCTGGGTGAGAAAATCTGTTTGATATTGACATGTACTCACTGCCATTTCTTAGTACATTTCCGTCATCATTTCATACTTGAAGTGTTTAAAAAAGCCTCAAAACAAGTCACGTGAGTCCTCTCTTTATTTTGGTAGTACCGATACTACCCATAAATAGTTTTTCTTTGTTAAAAATTCCTTACCACGTGCAGTATTCCTTGTAGCCATAAGGGTAGTGTGTACTCTGTCAGCTGGAACAGGGGAGCTGGTGTACACTCCATCATCCAGGAGTATTCAGACGGGCCGACAAACTCCACCGGACACACGAAGTACTCATAGCCGGACATGAAGTAGGCAAGCTGTGCAAAAAATAGGATCATTGCTTACTGATAAGATGGAAATGTTGCAAATATATCATACAGAACAGACACATGTTTCATAACAAACTGCAAACCAAAACTCTCACTTTTTAAGCACAGACTAAACCAAATTATAGAAATAGAACATAATGAACAATGGGAACATTTTATTTGATATCATTATAGATAGACAACCCCCAGATAACGTTATCTTAAAAAAACTGTCCTTGATTCTTATGTATCATCCCACACGATTGTACATGTATGTCAACTATGTATCTCTTTTAATGTAACATTGTGGATATTAATAAAGTTTGAAAAAAAAATACAGAACAGTTGTAAGGTAAGGTTAGAACTTCCCTTAATAATAACCAATGGTACCACAATTGTAATTCTTTTTATTCAACATAATTATAGAGGATTAAAGGCTTCGAAGTTGATGCATTTTTAAGTATTCCCTCCCCCGAAGAATACAGTCATTTTGGGTCCAGCACCACCCCTATTTATACTAGTATACATGTACATGTGTATGTGAAAAATAAATTAAAATGTGTCTTGAACAACTCACCAGCCAGCCAAACAGCAGAGTGGAAAAGAAAGCTCCAATGAAGCCTTCCCAAGTTTTCTTGGGTGACAACTGTGGGAAAGGAAACATACACAGAACTCGGGTTATCGCACAACTTTTTTTGCCCTGTACATTACTGCAGAAACAGTACTAAATACCTTGAAATGTCGGTGAAGGTTAGACATCCAGTTAATAAGATATGCCAAAAAACAGTTCTCAAGCAACTGGATATGATTTTGGAAACGGTCAGACGTTTCAGGTAGCATCCACTACCTTTCCTCATTGACACTAGAGACTTGCAGGAGAAAGGTAGGTTTATAAGCACGAACTATTGATTGATATGCAAATAAGTGAATACAAATTCCTTGAAGTTGAACCTTGTACAATAGAAATTAGCAATGACATGCCATTAGGATTTACTTTCATAGCCTTTTCTTTTTTGACAAAGTCCTGCTCTCATTTATGAAGAGAAAAGTACTGTTTCTTTGGCGCTGGCATGTAAGCACCACATCATGGCTATGTCATCAGAGAGAATGTATAATTATTTATCTGATTATTATCCATAATTGCTGGACACTTACCTTGATTAGGGACGTTCTCCCGAAGAAGAATCCGAAGATGTATGCCATGACATCGTTACAAATCACCATGGATACAGGGACAATCAGCCTGCAAGTTACATGTATAGAACATGGATGTGTCAAATATAAGGCCACAACAATATAACTTGTTGCTTCTCATCAGCAATATATTTGTACATTGTGTATGCCCTTAGGAGTGGAGACCTTCTTATCTGAACAGTATGAACATATATGTAAAATGTTGGAATTTATCTATTTCTATGTACATGTACATTGTATTTCTGTATTTTTAAACAGGGTAGATGTTCTCAGTGCTTGACAAACTGCTTTACAAGGGCATACAAGTTAACATAAACAGTGAAATTTTTAAACAAATCATTCAACAAGGAATCATTTCTCATCTTACCAAACAACAATTTCAAGTCTAGTTTGGGTAACATTAAACTTGTCTCACCAGATGAGTCCTTCAAAGATGTTCTGTATGATGAGGTGGGACTGAGTCACTACAATCAGCAGTGTGATGTGGGTCCATCCAAACTAGACAGGGGACATAAGAAAGGTCAAAACTTACTTAGACCTAGGGAAAAAATGTTGTGTTTCCTGTTTCAGTCCTGAAAAAATTAGGGTCGGTAGGTAGGCATTATCTTTTTTTTCTTTCTGTTTTTTTTTTTTAGACTTTGGGGATCTCTAGTGATCCAACTTGTACAATATAGCACAAAAAAGTCTAGGGTCTGCACTTTTTACTAGGGTTGGTCAGGAAACAGGAAACACATTTTTTTTTTTCCTAGGCCTTATTACCATTAGTCCCAGTCCCAGTGCATACTCTGCAATGTCAGCTTGAGCACTTTTAGTTTTAGATGCTGCTACACTGTAGTAGATTACCATAACGTTGTCATGCAGCAGACGATATGACCTTTTAGTGTTATCAAATCTAATCATAGACTATAGAACTAGGATGAAAGGATGACATGCTACATGTGGTATATTACTGTGTAAGACTTTCTGATCAATGTTAGTTTCTCAGTCTACAATCATGTAATTAACACTTGTGAGTAATGAAAGTGAACATGCTGGGGAAGTTGACTGTTATCACTAATGTTTGTAAAAGGTTACACAGCAAGACTATGGACATCCTCCTAAAGCAAAGATATAGATAGACCTAGCATGTTACTGGTTATACTGTAAGTCTGTCACAGTTCTTTTAAAATCAAAGTTCAGCCATTCTATCACATGAGAGTCTCACAGTTGATCACAAGTGAAGACAACGGTTCTCACCATGGTGAACTGTTTCAGATAGTGTCTTTTCACCAGTGTCAGGACAAACATGCAAAAACCTGAAAAAGTCCATGCACAAAAGATGTAAATCACAAGTTATATCGGGGGGGCATTCAGGTTAAACAAGCATAACTATCACAAATTCTATAATAAACATTTGTGCCACAATTTATTGTTATGAAAATTAAATGGTCTCTGTTCTGATGTACATTAGCTCCTTTTAAATTTTAATTTGAAAATACATACAATCTTGTATTTTACATTCCTGTGATACAGTCCATAGAATGATATATACATGTATGTACATTGTATTACATGACAAATTTAGTCAGTCACAATCTCTAAGTGAGAACAATCCCTTGTGTTGCAACAAAAATTTCAACTTCAGTCATGTACCTATTGAAATGTGAAAATGTGAATTTCATAATTTATCCTTATATACTAAGTTAAGTATTTCCAAAATGTTGATCTCTACACTCACCTGCTACATACATGGTGAAGGCAACAAATCTCCTGTACTTGATGAGAGGACGAAAGAACTCCTGAAAAATAATTGCATGTATAAATGTAAATGTCAGCTACCTTCTGTGATCTTCTGTCTTATTTTTATAGTTAATTATACCCTGATTTCTGTACTGAAGTATTTTGAGCCTTGCACAACACCCATACTCTCCAAGCAGGAGTTGAAGGGGGGAGATCGTTACCTTTCTATATATGGCCCTTTTTTTTTTGTCGCTACCCCCACCAACGCATATTGGACCCTCTCTGGCCAATGGATACTACCTGCCCAATTTAATAGTCTGTCTTTTTGCCACCCTAGGATCTGCTTGGAGATTAAACACCCATACCAAACTACAACTGAGTAGATAAAATCAAAACATGTACCTCTCGTTGTAAGAAGTGGCCGAAGTAATCAGTGATGGTTTCCCCGTAGAAGAAGTAGTTGGCACAGAGGAGGAAGTACCATTGCAGTGTGCGGAACCAGGGCAGATCGTGAGACTGGTACACCTTGTGGCCGATACTGATAATCTCCTGAAAACACTTCAGTTGGACAGTCATCACCTGGTCAGGGATGGAAAATAGACAATGGGGAACTGTCAAACTACACAGTGTCACCATTATGGTAAATAATTATAAAAAAGAATAGCTTTTACCTTTTCTTAGACCTAACATATTAGTCAAAAGCCTCAAAAGCTGGAAGTATTTTTAAAGTACGTACATGGAAAATTCATCAGCAAGTTGACGTGTACATATTACTGTGTCTACTATCACAATTTTAAGTGTCTTGAGCACTAACAATAAATACTGGGATCGTGTGGTATAACAGCAGAGTGTTCGCCTCGGAACCAAGAGGTCACGGGTTCAAACCCTGCCAACATGCCACCGATCTTGTGCCCTTGGGAAAGGCACTTTATACGAATTTCTCCACTTCACTCAGGTGAAAATGAGTGTGTCCAAGGACATGTCCTTGGTATGTCTGTTTGTCTGCGTTGGTGGCAGCGTGAAAATAAGTTGGAAAAACTTGAATTTGCTGTCACCATTTATTGTGATAAATGTTGGAATAGAAAAAAAAATTAATACTCACTGCAAAGGTTAGGTAAAACGGCCCTCCCCAGATCAGCCAGAAGAATCCAACCACCATCATCATTCCAAAAAAACCTCGGATAACCCAGTTCCGCCATCTAATGGTCAACAATGGGAAAATGTGTTACATGTATTCATAAAGAACTCTCTCTAAATAGGAACAAAATGTATAATGACAGATCATTAATATAATCTTTTGTCCAATCTACAGCACGCATAAAAATCTCACTTTCAATACATGTATTTGCAAAGTACTTTTTTATGTGCCATGTATATGTCATACCACTACTGGCACTAGCCTGTACTCTTTATTACTGGCTTGTGTGAAAAAAAAAAAGAACTATCAAAGTTCCATTTCTATACCACTTTATATTTGAATATCAACTGCCTGAGCTCATGATTCTATCTGCATAATGTAGGCAGCTACTACAGAGTGCAGATAACATCAGAAGTGCGCAGGTACATGTACATGTATTACTGCAGGGGTTTTTCTAAACTGGGGAATAAGGGTGCTACTCCCTCATGTAGCCAGCTCGCCCATGTCAATTTTCAGATTGAACGCTTTATATTTTTAAGTGGCTACATACAACATAAAGTCTTTCTCAAAAAGATCTTTTTCTGGGGAAAATACAAATGAAAACAAAACGCCATAACAACGCATTCTAGCATTACAATACAAACTGTGTTAATCTTGTAAAAATTACAAAATTCTGCGCCAACCCCCCGCTCGGTCGCTTTGCTCCTTCACCAAAAACTGCTACTTGTAGTGATGCTAAATTTTTATAGAAAAACCTCTTTCTGTATTCTAGTGTTCACAGATATACTGTATTCAACTTCAAGTATGTACAAAATGTACATAGATCTATCTGTACCTTGGTGTTAATGAGGAGATGGGCAGAGCTTTTTCCACTGTGTCAGTCAAGCCTTCCTGTGGAGGGGCGGGGTCTACGGGACCAGGCTGGTCACCAGCATCACTCTCCTCATCTTTCTGTACACAAACAAACAAACAAACATAGGCATCACCATTAGTCATTGCCCATTTTATTTAAAACACTGACCATATATTAGTATAATATTCCTCAATCGTGGTCAAGATGTATAGTAGAGATCGAAAATTTGGAGGTACGTGTTTTTATCTTCATAAAAATGTCACTGGTTGAGGAATATTCTACTTACTATGATATACACATGAGGGATGAATCTCTTTGACTGACCTCATAGCTGTAAACATGTCAGCCTGTTTTTATACATCCATCTAATCTACAATGCTTATTACCAATTCAGGGCTCAAAATCCTTTTTTCAGCATACTTGCTCTGGTGTACTAGTAGGTAACACTGGAAATGAACATTGCTGTTTCCAGCCCTGCGATCAATGAGATAAGAAAAATTCCCCAGTTACGGCTGCTCTGATATAATCAGGTACCTCAATTCGGCAGCTGACGGCAAATGATTTGTCTTACAAATCAGCACCAAGGACATCACTCAGGCCACGTCATGTCAATTTACTGGTACTGGTAATGTCATTTCACTGCACTTGGCACAAGCATCTCGTGACAGATTGGTCACTTGCCTTTTGACATTCAATAGTCATTCTGTACATGTGACTTGATTCTTGGATTTTTGTAGGAAAAGAATGTAGCAGGCAGGCAAAATGATAGAGAGGAAACAGCTATCGTGTGATAGATCTATAAATGCATAACAAACAGTGATATACTTTGTAAATGGAGATACAGTACCTTTTTTTGTTGTTTTGACATCATAAGCATTTGTCATCATTATCATCATCATAAGATGCCTGGTGTTATATACATTTTTGTACCATTGATACTGAGTCTTTTAGACAGCTGGTATGTTTTCAGAGGCAATCACCCTCTCTACCCCAGGTTTGCCTCTCAAAAAATTATGCAGGAAATCGTTTTACAGGGGACTAGAATTTATAAATATTAGAAAGTACAAAACGTCTTTGCCCCACCCCTCCCGAAAAAAAAATTGTTGCGCCAACCCATCCTTATTTTCAAGCTGTCACCTCTGATAATGTATCACAAAGATGGCAGGCAACAGGTCTCATTAAGGGCTATTATGATTTTAACATTACATTTTGTTTACAAATTTGGTTGGTGTTTTATATATCTTTCGATCAGCCCATTTCTTCCACAGTTGAAACACACCACAAGATCTCAAGATTATTAACAGAATCAGTGTATAGTAGTTATACATGCTTATAATATGGTTCAGCACATTCTCCAAAAAACATTATCATGCAAAAAAAAGATGGCTGATTCTGAAGATATTATATAATCCCTGTACCTTGGAATTGACTAACAACATTGGTTTAAAATTCTATGCTTTTGGAAAAAGCAAAAGGATGCAAAAATTCATGATGATTCGTACGAAATGCCTGGTTTGTTATGGCTAATAGCGGTGAGGTGTTGTGAGAAATCGGCGTCAAATGTGACGTTAATGCGAGCTGGATTGCTGTCATGTCCCACCTGTTCATCCAGAATCTGATCGTCAGAGCTTTCCCCCGTGTCCTCATTCGCTATGACGCCCTGAGGTCGTCTCTCCGTTTCTGGAGCACTCATGGCGGCCGGCCGGATCTTGCTGGGTTTTTGCTGAGCCCCTCTGTCGTCTGTGTTGCCTCCAGCTGGTGTATATTGGGGAGAAGGGCGGTTATAACATACAGTACTAGTATACGATACTGATTCACTGTTGCTGACCCGAAAAAAATATCAGGGGTTGTACCAATAGTTGAGATGCTCGGGGGAGCCTGTGATGTTAAATTTTTTATACTTTGCTTTCTATGTTTTTTATCAACATTTATTTATCAATTGACCAAAAATTATAGATTTTATTGATATTTTATGGACGGACAAATACATTTGTGTTCAAATCCTGTCCTAATTAGTGACATTATTTAAATTTATGACTACAATTCCACCCTGAATTGAGATGGCCCCGTCTTCATTCTGATTAGACTAGCCCATTCTTGCTATGGGTAAAGCCTAATGTCATATCATATTTTATCTGTAATATTAACGGGGTTAAATACTAGCATGAAATGTTGAATGTTTATAATTTTTAAATTTTTACAAATATTGATTGGTAGTGAAGTTAAATTTCTTGACATATTATATATTTGTGAATTTTTTTTTTAAGTATTTTTCTCCATCGATACATTATATGGCCCCTCCCAATAAGTCTTCAATCGGAAGTGACGCACTTCATAGAGGATTCTGGGGGATTCGGGCAGGCCTGGGCTAGCACACAATTATCAACCAATCAGAGACTTCGTTTCATTTCTGACCAATCATATGGGATTATACTTTGACTTTCCCGCCTTTTGATCATTTTGGCGCGAACAGTCATTCTAGCCATCTTGGGTCGATCGACGAAGACTGCAGCAGGAATCCTCCTTCATCTAGGGCCTAATTTTCCCTCAAACATTCCGGTTTCTGTCTCAAATCATTCCGTAACATTTCTATTTTTCGATTCTAGAGTGAGTTTTGTACAGCAATCCCGTAAAAATGTTTGAGGCACGTTTGGTTCAGGGCTCTCTGCTGAAGAAGGTTTTGGAGGCGCTGAAGGATCTGATCGAGACGGCTAGCTGGGACTGTAGCAGTACGGGGATGTCCCTGCAGTCCATGGACAGTTCTCACGTCTCGCTAGTGCAGCTGGAGATGAGGAAGGACGGCTTCGACACCTACAGATGTGACAGGAACATGGCCATGGGAGTCACCATCGCGTCGTAAGTCCGCAAAGTCTTTCTACATGTCAAACTGGCGCTTTCCCGCCAAAATTTTAAACAAAACATCTAGCCATCTTTTTTTCATTCCCTTGCCCTGTCAATCTCCCGATAGACCACGGATATAAAGTAGATGTGGATAGCAACAACAACAAAGGGTGATATTTTGTCCACTCCGTTTACTTTTACAGAGTTAAAAGATCATCACTTCTTAGTACCTCTTGGTCACTCGGGAGGTGCTAGGTGGGGGTGGGGGGCACACATCTGGTTTCTTTGTTCTGAAACTATTTCCCGCGCGAAATTTCGTCCCACAGTCCCCAAGGATTACTAACGAAGTAGTCGGACAACTTGTAACTTTCCTATTGTTCCTTGTAGCCTGGTGACAGTCCTTCAATTATGTGGAATAAGACCAATATAAGGAAACAAATTTGCAACCCTTAAAATCATGTTTTGAGAAAATGTCAAACCAATATTGTGCTTGTATTGTGATATCAGTTGGATCTAACTGTACACTACCTGTTTGGGACCATCCCCTGCATGTCCCGAGCATACACCCCCTCCCCCTGACTGTACAGTACCCCCCCCCAGGGGTCTTCCGGGGACTCTTCCCCCTCCTGACTTTGATACCCTCTAATTCTTGCAACCTGCAATATTTGTTCCTTACTTTGATACCCTCTAATTCTTGCAACCTGCAATATTTGTTCCTTACTTCACATGATTTACTTTTGACTGAAGATGACTATTATAAATACATTTTCATTCACTGTAGTTTATTTTACTTTATTAGGGAGCAGATTTCCAGTGATAAAAGAAGTTCTTGGTTGAAACAATTATGAGACTAGACTATTAGGAAATATAACTTTTTATAAGCACAAATGCAGTGCCATGATTTTATACAAGAGGATGCCATGTTTAGATGCAAATGTTGACATGAATGTATCATAAGTTGTCCACATATTATTGAAGTACGAACTAAAAGAAGCCATTTTGTAACCTGTTCCAGGATGACGAAGCTGTTGAAGTGTGCAGGGAATGATGACATGGTCACCATCAGGGCAGAGGACAACGCAGACGCCATGACTCTCATCTTCGAGTCACCGAGTAAGTTTCAGTTTCAGTTTGTATATATTCAGTAGAAGAGAATTATAGGCAAAGAAATGTGGATATATAGTTGTGGAATGTCTGCCCTCCTAAATGTGGGTTTGTCTTTACAGACCAGGAGAAGGTGTCAGACTATGAAATGAAGCTTGTGGACCTGGATGTGGAACAGCTCGGTATTCCTGTGAGTACTGTAACATTGTGTAAAACAAAGATGACAATTTTGCATGTAACCCTGTGTGTGTCAGTGTTGACAGCCACTCTTGAGAGTATGACAAATCTACTAGTGATTTCGGTCCTGGGATTGGCAAGCTTTCCTGGTCCATCTCTACAGTTTGTCAGTACAGCTACCCTCAAATGTCCAAACATTTGCATATGGTTGCTGTAAGAGTGGATAAAGAGCACATTGTGCAGCCAGCACACCTATGACACACACAGCACACTGGGTCATGACATTGCCAATCAACTGAAACCCTATCTCCACCCGCTCGATTCCGTTTGCTTGTATACTCAAGTCTACTATTATACCATTCTTGTACATGTACCTAGGAACCCAAACATATACCCCCCCCCCCCAGACCATTGTCACCCAAAACATTACTTCTGTCACAGAAGTAGTAAGAAAAAGTTCTGGACAGTTGTACAAGGTACAATGTATGGCAACAATGACAATGTGATCAATACAAAAAGAGTATTCTAAGAAACTAAAATGATGGAATCAGGCCATTGAATGCTTGTTTTATCGGCACATACATTGTTGTATGATGCTGCCCACATTTCAGGCCAAATCCTGACGATCTTTTTGTTCACATCCAAGGACCAAGAGTACAGTTGTGTGGTGAAGATGCCCAGTGGCGAATTTGCGCGTATTTGCCGTGACCTGAGCCAGATCGGCGAGGCCGTGGTCATTTCCTGCACCAAGGATGGCATCAAGTTTTCTGCCAGCGGGGACCTGGGGACAGGCAACATCAAACTGGCACAGAGCGCAAACGTGGACAAGGAGGAGGAAGCAGTGAGTGAATTCTGAACCTTGTGTGGTCATGGTGTGTTTGCTTGACGTGTGCTTTAAAAACTGCCAGTGTACATGGCTTGATTGATTGATTGGTAAACATGGATTGTATTGGAATGAATACAAGTAAAATCTGACACAACATTTAGACTTATAAAAGCCAGTGTTTGTACCTTAAAGTGGTCTTCCAAAGGTCTAAGATACAATCATGGAGTGATGAGAAGTACAGAACTGTATGATACAAGCCATCATAAGAGATACATGTGTATATTGTATTGTTTTGTCACCAGTTAACGATAAGTATTTTTACAGTAGATTTCTTTATTTTCATGTTTGTATCACGTCTGTCATCAGCTACCAGTTTTGACGTATTGATATGTTGTCACTTGTCAGATTCTAGGTAAAGTAAACATACTAACAGCCTTGCCTTTCCACAGGTTACCATTGAGATGAATGAGCCAGTGTCCCTGACCTTTGCTCTGCGTTACCTGAATTTCTTCACCAAGGCGTCGCCCCTGTCTCCCTCTGTCACACTCTCCATGTCCGCAGACGTCCCCCTGGGTAAGGTTTCTGTTCTGGTTGTTCATTCTTGTCAGAAGAGACCTACATGTAGTCATTCTAGAGCTCTAGCCAGCACCAGTTTTTCTGTCAATTGTAGGAACTTTGTGGCGAGTGACGGAAAATTTTTAAAACCAATCCATCAACCTTGATGGATGAAATTCCAAAAAATGGCAATGGTTTCTATACAGTTTTTACCATGATCCAATTTTTCAGGTGCAGGTAATCATCAGTGTTACCCACACCAGTGTAGGTATGCTGAAAAACAGATTTGAAGCCTTGGTATAGACTTCAGTATGTTCTTCAAGCATATTGTGACTGACATATGTCATGTTTTTTTGCAGTTGTCGAGTACAAGATAGGAGACATGGGGCACATCAAGTTCTTCCTTGCTCCCAAGATTGAGGAGGAGGACGCCACAGCCTGAGTGAATCAGTCAGCTCAACTCTGAGCTGAGGATTAGAAGGATGTACAGACTTCGAAGAGAAACTTTGTGTTTTAGATATTAATGTTAATTAATGTGTACGGATCTAAAAACTGTGTATATCTACCATGAACTTATCAGGAGAACATGTTATCAAAATGGCTAGCCTTTCTGTTTAGACCAAGTCAGTTGCCCGTATTTTGAAAGAAAGATTATTGAAATTTGGAACTTAAATAAATGGTGAAATTTACATTGATTCAATTGCTGTATATTGATTGCAAAAAGATGGAAATTTACTTGAAACGTTACCTCAGTATTTGGAGCTGGAGAATGTATTATCAAGTGTGGGTGACTGGGTCAATCTTTTCAACTATACACAATAAAAGGTGTGTGAATGAGAGTTGTCTTGAGTTCATGTTTTTGTCCCTTTAGGGATGTCCTTTATGAAGGCTAACATAATGTACATACAATATCACCTAGCCTGGGTATCATTGTACACAGGCCAGCTTTACACAGATGCAGAATTAAGTCTTTTTTCTTCAAAGGGAACAACACAATTCACTCAGTAGACATTAATCCCACTTTATTATAATACAAGTCACAGTTAATGTTTGAACAGTTTCTGACAAGTTTGTGTACTTTATATTGGACCTTACAGTGACCAAAAAATACACGTACAATTTCTGCATCTGATACTAATACATATAAAATATAGATTTTCATTTGACGTTATAGTAGTATGTACATCTCTCATTAAATTGTTAAATGTATTAGGCATCAACCTAAGTTGGTATGTACAATACATAATTGAATTAAAAAGGCCACAAAATATTCTTGGTTAGGCTTTTATAGACGGTTGATTCTATATGCTTTTCTGTAGTAATGTGATCCAGTAGTAATACAGAATTAGTATAACATTGCTAACTGAATCCTGGTATTATGCCATGTTGACTTTATGATGAAGCACCCTAATAATAGCCTGGAGTCCAGCCATGTTAGCTTTGGTCTGCTTACCCTGGATGCCAAAACTAGTATCGGGCCGTTAGCCGTTTCCCTTTGGCAGCTGAGAGCCCTTTGCCCGCCTGCCTAAATTAGCGCTATGGGGGAGTTGAGCCCGAGGGGTTTGTCCGGCCCTTTACTTGACTAGGGCCAGCCAAACTCCCCCTGGGCTAGACTCCCCGTAGCGGTAATTTACACCAGCGTGCGAAGGGCTTCTGCGGCCTGGAAAACGAGTTCTGGATTCCAGGGTATGGTCTGCTCCCCAAGATCCACTACCTCGCCTGGGGAGCGGACCAAAGCTAACATGGCTGGGCTCCAGGCTACCCTAATATCAACACTTTTCTCTAGACTGTAGATTCTCTCTCATGAACCAGCATGTGTCCTTCGGGATTTCCGTTGTCTGAAACAGAAGAAGACAACAATTTGCCTCAGGTCTTAGACAGGGAAACATGATTTGCCTCGCATGTTTCTATTCCTTGTTGGGTACAAATGTACATGATCTAACAATGATACACACACACACACATGAACTATGTAAAACAGTGCCTCCAAAATGCAGGCAAAAGATCATCTCCAAGCAGATCTGAGGGTGGCAAAAGACGGTATCAAATTGGCCAGGCAGTATCCATTGGCCAGAGAGTGTCCAATCACTCCCTGGCCAATGCAACAGATACTGCCTGGACAATTTTGCTAGCCTGGTTGCCAAACCTATTACAGTTGCTTATATGCAGAGAGGATGTAGGACTCGGGAGCTATAATAGGTCTGGTAGCCTATGTAACCCAAGCCCCGTGGGGCTCCCTACATAGTCCGCCACCCAAGAGCCGGCTGGCCGGATGTTGGGCGACCGGCAAAAGCGATTTAATCAGGCTAATAGGTCTGGCAACTACAAATGTAGGCTAGTCTTTTGTCACCCTAGGATCTGCTTGGAGATTAGGCAAAAGACATGTAATGTTAGGTGTGTGCACGTTTCACAAATCACTTGTACCTAGAATGGCTCTGGGAGACATTTCTAACAGTGACACAGGTGTCATCGTCACCTCAGCTCGGTTCAGAGCAGGTGCAGACAGCTGACTGGAGCCACCTGGCCCAGGTGCGGAATGAGACAGGTGCCTGACGGCTGGCAGGAGTGGAACACTACTACGGACATGCAATCGTTTTGCACCGACCAGCCACCGCTTACCTACATGTACCAAAGCCAAATAGTGAAGAGAATTATTGGAACCAGTCTTTTCTACCAGAGTGCATCAGGTGTTACGTGCTGGTGTGTTACGCCGAAGGGCGGTTATACCGGCTATACAGATACAGATGTGTGAAACAAATTAGAAGAAAGAGGAAGACAAAAAATGTTGCTACAAACGGATTTTGAAGAAATTGATGAACTGCATGCAATAATACATGTTTTAATACATGTAGTAAGATTCACAACCGTGTTGAAGTTTCTAGTACTGTAACAGGAATCAAGAGAGTAAGACAACCACACGGGTAGAGCAAGGATGTTACTGACAGGCATGTAAAAGAACAACTTCCAAGCAGATCTTTTGGTGGCTGCAATACAGTATCAGACTGGCAACACAGAATCAAATTGGCCAAGCAGTATCCAATATGCGCCTAATGGTTATTGCAGGTGACCAATGGTTACAGGCAGACAATATAGACTCTCCATGCCCCAGAGAATCTGCTCGAAGGCTAAAAAGGAAAGGTTATTACCTAAACTGGCCCTGACAGACATGGTGAAGGTGTTGCCTGAGCTGTTTCCCGTGGCCAGTCTGCTGATGGACTGCCCACGGGTGCGGAAGACCCTGAGAGAGCCGTCCTTGAAGTTTGATGTTGAGATGGAGTACAGGATGGGGTTGATGGAACTGTTGATGGGCAGGACCACCACCGCTATCACAGCATTGAAGGTTTCTGACAACAGACGGTAGTAAAATTTATGTATTTGCAATTGTGTAAACTGTACCATGATTATGTATACAGTGGTATAGGTTTTTATCAACTTATTGAAAAATGGGAAGAAATGGAGAAATAAGTTTTTCTTCAACGGTTACTGTTAAACACAATGCAAGCATGTCTGGTGAAACTTGTGCCAGGGAGATTTTTTCCTCCAGTTTTTGTGTTGTCAAATCTTAAACTGATTTTCAGTACCAAGAACGACTTACAGTTCTGCACTCTCAGTCCAAGGGAAAACAACAGTTCTATACTGTTACGTAAAAGCTGACATTTTGATTAAGTGCTGTCTCACCAGATATGTTGACGCCGTGTAAGACCAGCAGTTTGAGGACGACAGTGGGTATCCAGCACAGCGAGTCTGTCAGCACGATGAAGAAGAAACGCCAGCCGATCCAGTCAGCCTTGTGAGCAGGCGGGCCTGTGGTGCGCATACGTGTGCGCTGAATGCTGCGTCGTAAAACAAAACCAAAGATAACAAATCATTACAACTAGACACTTTAAGGTAACATTTGCAAAGCAAATGCATCATGTTTACCTTCACATGGCGTAGAATTGACAAACTACTGCTTTGTTTTTTTCTAACTCAAAGACACATAATAATTATATATTGTGACCATGCAGGCCCTTTGCATAGCACTTGCAACATTATGTAGCCTAACACCAGTTACCATGGTGACAGACATCTGGTTCAGGTCATTGACCTTATTTGTGTGGGGAAGAAGAAGATGAAGCAGAAGAAACAGCAAAAACAATATTCCTTTTGCGAAGGTTAACATAATCAAAACTGATAATTGTTCTCTTTATTTAGAGATAATACAGGAAACTCACAGTTTTATAATGCTTCAATATGAGGAGGTACAGTCCACATACCTGATAAACATGCAACAGTAGCACATGAGGATGATGAACCAGGCACACATGTTGAGCCCAATAAACACCACAGCTCCGTACACCCAGCCCTGGCCGTAGGGGGAGCGCAGGTGGAGAGGGAAGCACACTGAACTGCTCCCATAGAAACATGTAGAATCCTATGGAAGGAATGTGGTGATCATGATTACCAGGTGTTATTAAAGTTGCTCCTTGTGTTCTATAGAAATGTGGGCTGTTGAAAGTATGCTGTCGTTAAAGCTATTCAAAAAAGACTTTCAAATCACTCGTAGTTAGAGCTGTGTACCTAAACAAATTTTAGGTACAGGTACAGGTACAGGTACACAGGTTTAGGTACAGGTCCGGACCTGAACCTGTACCTGAACAATTCGACCAATTTATATGCTCTTCTGAACTCCTTCAATAACAAAAAACATTAATAAACTTGTTAGTTAAGGTTTATTCTTTGTTTATGGCGAATGCTCAGATAAAATATAGGCAAAACTAAAGATGTTTTTGTTTTCATGAACACACTGTCCTTACACAGGGACCCATTTGAGGTCACAAATAGGCATAAAATTGGTGTGAAATTGTTTAGGTACAGTACCGGTACTGAGGGATTAGGTATTTTGGACCTGTACCTAATCAATTTTTCCGGTACAGTATCGGTACTGCGTACCGGTACACAGCTCTACTCGTAGTGCTTCATCATTGTTGTTGTGGGAAACCTTGTTAAAATGCCCTTCCCCCATGTCTCTTTACTTGGTACCAAAAAAAATTATGCATTTAAATATCAAAGTGCCTTAAACAAGGACAGGGGGCGTCACTACTTGACGCCTATTTCTTGTCTCGTGATAATCGCATCAAGTCGTGACAAGAGAATTTCAAGACGAGATCTTTACCGGGTTTAAGAAGAGATAAAGTGCATCTCGAAAGCTAAAGTGTGTTTAGTTATAAATATTCAAAAGTGTAGACATGCTCAAAATGTCTAGTACCTGTATAAGAAATGGTAGCGAGGCAATGAGAAAACCAATGAGCCAGATGCAGGCGATGCATGTCCGGTTCTGTCTGGCGCTGGGCTCCATGGTGCGAAACGGGAAGACGATGATCAGACATCGCTCCATGGACATGTACGTCAACAGTAGCACAGATACCTACAGGAATAGTCATCCATGTCAGACACTGGATTTAGGGGTTTCCTTTTACACAATCAAACTTGTCTTACCTTGCTTACATTTCTGTGTCTATCAGACGGACAATCTTCGGCTGACTCCTTCAATGGCGGTCTACATTAGAGCTCAAAGACCTACCCTGAATGGAGACGTGGGGGGGGGGTTATCTGGCACGTATGACCCGCTACTATGGTCCTGTGTCTCTGACAGTGTGTCAACAAGGTTGGAGGAGTCAGCCAAAAATTTGGGGTACCGGTAAGTCCCAATTCATTCCGGTGTTGGAAGGAAAGTTAAGTCTTTATTTCATAACCTTCTACAAGAATTGTCTTACCTCAGAAGAGAGCATAGCCAGGAAGCCTGCGAACTGACAGAGGACGCTCTCCTGCCAGAACAGAGCGTGTTGGATGAACTCGTTACGGTACATGACATCACGACTGGCAATGATGACGAGGTACACACCCATCAACAGGTCTGCCGCTGAGGGAACAAAGTTTGATTTTATTTAACTTGATTTATTAAAATTGTAGCAATACAATTCAGGACAAAGGCAGCTGTTGCTGGTGTTGTGTCCAACAAATACAGGACAATACTCATTTTCACTTGAGTTTAAAATGAGGAAAGTCATGTAAAGTGCCTTTCCCAACAGCACAAGATCAGTGGCATGTCAGGACTCGAACCCAGGACCTCTTGGTTCCGAGACGAGTACTCTGCCATTATGCCACACAACCTCAAGTTGTGATGGAGTTTTAACTTCAGAATAGTGTAATTCACTTCATGTTAATTAACGGTAATGTAATCATTCTGCAGGAAAGTGTCTTACCGCACAGGTTCCTTATGAAGAGAGAGTGCACATTGTTCTCATTCTTAATAAGCAGCCTGCCCAGGATGACAAAGGAGTTGCCTAGGACGGTGAAGAAGGCCAGAACCCAGACTACAACACGCAGAAAAACCAGGGCCAACATGTTCTTCAGCGAGGAAATGCCGTCAGACTTGGGAGAGCACCCGCGTGCTTGGAGGGCGTAGCGACAGGACGAGAAGTCATCAAAATACCTGGAAAGGTACCGAGGCACAAAATGACACACTTCTTAAAGGAAAGAGCTTGTCACTAGGAAACAAAGAAGTACAATCACTCACTGGAAAACAAATAAGAAATCTTCAATCAACAGTTCGTGCTTATACATGTAAACCTGCCTTTCTGACAAGTTACCAGCGTCACTGACAAAAGGTAGTGGATGCTACGTCTATCCATTTTCAAAATCATATCCAGTTGCTTGAGTTATTATAACTGTTTTATGGAGGGGGCAAATCTTGAACCTGTTACTGACATGTATACGGTACTACTAGGCATTTTCATAAAGCAGAGATGTAACTTACACGAAGTATAAGTTCTCCAGGCTAAGCAGCACCCTGGAATGCTGGCAGTCTTGAGGCATCTCTAGACCTCGCAGGTCCCTGGAGGTAAGTCGAAAGATTCTGCATTATTCATCATAAGTGTCATTGTTCCAAATGAGATTCATGTTTAACTAATGGTACATTTTATAACTGCAGATGATCAAAATGTGACGAAAACAACTCTAACAGTTCTTACAGCGAAGTCAGGTTATCCAGCCCAAAGAACAGGTCTCGACTCAGGATCATGTCTCTGTTGTAAGATACATTCCTGAGATGCAGAAACAAGGACACAATCACAATCTTCTTCAAAACTTAATTGCAAACAAAGTAGAAAATGGACACAGAACAAAACATATACCTTGCAAAGAATCACTGTTACTTAGTAGGACACTGTATGTCTATACTGTTGTCATTGCTCTGTGTCAAAAATTATGTTCATAATGGCACGTTTATTTGTTGGAAAAGCTGGTCACTATAACTATTCTCATATACATACTACATTGTATCTTTTCAAAATCAACAAAGTAAAGCTATGAACCCTACAGCAGTTTCAGGTGTCCCAGTCCATTGAAGGTTCCAATGGGGAGTGGTGCCAGACTGTTCCAGGATATGTCTCTGTTGAAATAAGGTACATTTTTCTAAACAATAATACTTTAAAACTTATACTTTGAAACAATAAATTAATACTCTGAACAGGTGCAATGGCCAAGTGGTTAGAGTGCTTGCCTTGCATCTGGTAGGTCGTGAGTTTGATCGCTGACCGAGTCATACCATGGAGTTAAAAGACACACTACCTCCATGGTCATACTTGGTAACGTTACATACTGCTTTCTCTGCTTAGCACCCAGCATTTGAGATCATAGAGTATGGGAGTTAAACACACACCACTACCAGTGGACTAGCCCCCTGCTGTAGTGATTGCACAACTGTGTGGCCCAAGGGCTACCGAATCGGAGATGGGTACCACCTTATGCACCACGTGGTGTGGAAAGGACTTAAACTTTTAATACTTTAAAAACAAATGTCAAGGGCAGGATTGGTAACAATTTATTTCTGTTTGTTAATCATTTTATACTTACAATTCCCAGACACTGGAAAGTGGTGTGAATGTGTCTTGGCCTATGGACTTCAAGGTGTTGTTTCTGAAGTTTCTGTAAAGCAAACATGACACTCAGCCATAACCTAATTCTAATCTAGTACAATGTTAAAAACTCATATTATCTTTACATGTATGTATAATGTTAAACAATTAATGAACCAAATTGTCATGCAAGAAAGGCATGTTTGACTGTGATACAAACTCAATAAAAACATTAAGTTTAAGAAATGTCATTTACAAACTTACACAAAAGTCAAAGAGCTGCATCTTGTAAATGAGGATGATGTCAGTTTTTCAATTTCATTTCCCTCCATCTCCCTGGTAAAGATAAAGTTATGAGAACAAAATTATTTCCAAAACACCTGAATGTCACTTAATATAAAACCTACCACACTATCTAACATACTAAAGAATTGTTATATAATTATACATCCTAGCCTGGGTGCCAGACCCATGGCACACTGGACACAAAGTATCTCAGTGAGCACTGAAATACTTGTGTCCAGTGTGCTATGGGTCTGGCACCCAGGCTATATACATCCTCGGCATGGCAGCATTTAATGGTGATTGGACTCCAAATCACTAGCAAACAAACATTCAAAGTACAATGTCATGTACCTCAGAAATGAACAGACAATCTTAATCATAAGTATGTACTATAGTCATAACATTTTAGACAAGCATAATCCATGCTAAAGTAGCCATTTGACATCATTTCATGTGAAGTTTGTATTTATTAGGTTAGGCATCAGGTAGAGGGTTATATTACAATGTCTCTCATGGCATTAAAATTCAACATAAAAAGTTATTCCAGCATGTATGACTTACAGCCAGAGAAGTGCAGGCATGTGGTCACACCACACTCCGGATGGCAAATCCTGCAAGTAGTTGAACCGAAGATCCCTGGAAGAAGTTCAGAACAATTTTACATAAAAACTAATATAATAAGTGACAACTTGAAAATTAAAATCTAATGTTCATAGTACAAAACAAAAGCAGATGAATGGATAGGTTGATGAATATTGGTTCAAAACTCACAACCAGTTAAGGCTGGTTAGTCCTTGGAAAACATCTGCTTGAAGAGACCTCAGCTTATTCTTTTGAAGATACCTGTTGTATAAAACAAAATGCAAGATGTTAGCTGTACATAAACAGGATAGATCTAGACTTTTGTTGGAGCATTTCTAAAGTGTTTTGTATAATATGGATTAGTCTCCACCAGACTCTTTTGTAGGCAAACTGGTCACCCTCAATGGCCGGCCAACTCCCCTGGCCAGCTGCATTCTTTTTAGGTCGATTTCAACTATTTATTCAGACTGCAAAAGAGTCTGGTGGAGACCATCTATGGTTATGGCATGTATTTAAGGAATATGAGCCTGAGACAAAGACATGTTATTTTGAAGAATCTAAAAGTTTACTTACAGCCATTTTAGCCTCTGTAGTCCCTGGAAAGCTCCAGCTGGCAGAGTTTCTAGCAGGTTTTCTGACAAATACCTGGTGGTGGGAAAAATATCATTAAAAAAACAAGAAAAACAGAAGAAAAATATCAATTAAGGGATTGTAATGATCTGGAATCCCTCAGTACAAATTATTTTGATGTTTAACATAATTATGATAATCATGTAACCAATTCAAACTGACACTGACAAAGTGAGTGAGTGAGTGAGTGAGTGAGTGAGAGTGAGACTGAGTGAGTGAGTGAGTGAGTGAGTAACTGAGTGAGAGTGAGTGAGTGAGTGAGTGAGTGAGTGAGTGAGTGAGTGAGTGAGTGAGTGAGTGAGTGAGTGAGTGAGTGAGTGAGTGAGTGAGTGAGTGAACAAGTGAGTGAGCATGTGCCGTGCTTGCTTGCACAGTAATGTACATGTAACACACATGTACTCGCATAACTCTTCTTGGATGAGTCAAGACTGATAGACATGTACTGGAATTATGCTCTTAATCATTGTCAAACTAATGACAGAAGTACTCCTGAAACTCTAGTCTCCACCAGACTTCTTTGCAGGCTGAATACATAGTAGAACTCAGCCTAAAAAGAATGTAGATGGCCAGGGGAGTTGGTTGGCCATAGAAGGTCCAGTTTGACCCTCTATGGTCAGCCAACTCCCCTGGCTAGCTATATTCTTTTTAGACCGATTTCTACTATTTATTCAGCCTGCAAAGGAGTCTGGTGGAGGCTATCCCGGAGCCTGGTAGAGGCTAGTGAAACTCACAGCTGCCCCAGGTTGGTCAGCCCTGTGAACGCGCCTGCTGGGAGGGTCCTGATCCTGTTACCACGGAGATTCCTGCGAGCAGGGCAGACAAATAAACATGTCCAGCGGGGTCAGTGACCTACAGCTGACCAAGGTCATCCAGATTAAACTCCAAGCAGATGTTTGGTTAGAACTGTAAATTAATTGGATACTGCCTGGCCAGTATCTAATTAAGGCCGATCTTGTGCCCTTAAGCTTGGTAAAGGCACTTAACACGACTTTCCTAACTTCACTCAGGTGGAAATGAGTCCCTTGCTTCGGTTAGGGACTAGCCTGGTATCCAGCCTTGTTAGCTACCCAAGATCTTGGGTACCTAAAAAGGCTGGATACCAGGCTAGTTAGGGACGCCCGTCGGATGTTTCAAACCTTACAGTCTGGCCTCAGGTTTGACATCTTGAAGAGGTGATAGTCACCTGCTATGTCAATCATTCCACAAATGTGGTATATCTTCATAAATGAATAAATAAAAGGCCCTTTTCACACTAGGATAAATTGTCCGGATCGAGCCGAATTGATTCGCTTTGATCCTGCTCGATACGGACAATTTTTAGCCTGGGTACCATCCGGATTTTCGCTACGCAACGCTTTTTCGAGCGTTGCGTAGCGAAAATCCGGATGGTACCCAGGCTAGACAATTTTATCCTAGTGGGAAAAGGGCCTAATTGGATACTGCCTGGCCAATATTTGATACTGTCTTTGCAGCCACCGAAATATCTGCTTGGAGATTACTCTAGATAAGAGATTGGCCAGCCACAGGCAGGCAATAGTGATTGATGGTACACGTAACAGTTTTTAAATACATACGTTTTTGTCGACAAGTCCTTTAATTCTTACGTCTAATTGGGACCGAGAAAAAGCGGTCGTTATGGCATGACCAGATGGCCGGCTTATAAAGGTGGTCTCTTGGTTCGTTTGACTGTAACGATAAAAGAATCCAAAGCAGAGCGCCCTGCACTAGAGAGGCACAGAACAAGAAATAAAAGGAGGAGAGGTCCGATCTCATTCTTGAGAAAGACAAATAAAGTCAAAACCGGTCGAATTCCGTTTCATCACTGTCCTTTTCGCACCGCTACAAATGATATTAAAGAGAATCCAAACTCACAGGCTGTGTAGAGCCGTCAATTTTCCGAGGGAATTATTCTGCAGGGATTCGATCAAGTTGTGTTGTAAGTTCCTGCAAGACAAAGCAAAGATCAAATGGAGAATGGACATTAAAAAAACCTTTCATGTTAAACAGGCTGTCAACAAAGTCTGAGTCTCTCTTTGGCCCTTTTCCCACTTGTATCAAATTTTCCAGATCGAGCCCAACGAAACGAATGATGAACGGCTTCCATCCGGCCGGTCAACTTTACCCCAGTGGGAACGCGTCCGATCCGGGTCGGTTCGGTTTGATTCGGCTCAGAAGTGCTGGACGGAGCTGGATCGGGTACTCTCCAAGCAGAGTTTGGTGGGGGAAGATTCAGTGTGACCTTTCTAATATGCCGATTCCCCACCAACCTCTGCTTGGAGAGTAGGGTCACGAGCTTTTCCACAGGAGTAAAGTTAACCGATTCGAAGTCGGTCACCAAATCTATTCGTCTCGATCCGGACAATTTTATCCAAGTGGGAAAAGTGTCTTTTAGTCAATGTTGAGAAGTTGCCATTAGTCCTCAACTGGCATTGACAATCATTTGTTAAATATTCACGCAAATTTACAGTTTTGAATTTCCATGTAAAATGTATTTTTGTACAATGCTTGTGGTACTTACAACCTGGTGACATCTTGTGATATGTTGGCGGGTACGGAGACCAGACCGACTCTCTCACATTTGATGTGCGTGTAGATACACTGGCAGACGTGAGGAACTACGTGCATGTCCAGATCTGTGGTAATTACAAAAACAACAGTTCAAATTCATATTACAAGTCAATAAGTCTAGTCAATAAGTAAGTATAAAATCTATTTCACTATCTAGCCTCCTGTGCAGAGTTCTTGCAGAGCAGCGTTTGTTTCTACGAGCGGCTAGAGCGATGACGTTTAAGCGACGGTCACAACCCGCCGTACGTGCTTTTTGTCCGTACGTTTTTTGGGAGGCTACGTCTGCTACGTTTTTTCTGAAAACGTAGGGAAGGAGTGGCGTCGACGCACGTCAATCGCACGGTTGCGCAAGGTGTAAGAGTGTGGTCTGCACGTTACGTCTGGCCGTGAGCGGTTGCGTGCACTCGCACGCACGGGTGGTGAATCCGCAGACCGCACGTAGAAAAAGTTTTACATGCACTTAAAGTTCTACGTGCTCCCAAATCCGTAGGATTCCGTACGGAGGTGGTACCACGCACGGATGCCCTACGTTTGCCTGTGTTTTTGCACGTAGACAGCACGCAGAAGCACGTACGGCGGGTTGTGACCGTAGCTTTACCGATATCTTTGCGTTGCATGTGTCCCATCATTTTATTGCTTTCGTCATTGGGTGGGGAATTGGTCATGCGGTTCCAACATCTTCCAACATCTTTGTTCTTTATTACGTTGTGTACTTAATTTATATTAGATTTTTTGTATCAATATCTGTTCTTTTTGTTGTGTGTAAGTGGTAGCGTTAAAATAAGTCCTTGTTACTTGAGTGCACTACCACTATGTGTTGTATTACGTTCGTCGATGTGTGAATATAACAAAAAAAGGTCCTACGGCAGTCCCTAGGAATTCCTGCTGACTCTAACGCCGGGTTGACGACCTGACTCTGCAGGTGATCCGCCCATCCGTTGTTGTCTCCTGGAATAGCACAGGTATGTTCATCAGGGTCTCAATGTACTCCTTATGGTTATGCTAAGGTCACATTTCCAAACCGGAGCCCGGCGGGCTATTTGCATCAACGAAGATTTAACAATAAAACAAATAGTGATCATGATAACTTTCTAAAATATTTTGTGTTTCTTGTCTTTTATATCGTACTTAACGTTCCCGAAAGCTGCCCGGTTTGGAAATGTGACCTCGGCATTAGTGGACCAATGGCTTCCTATCTGTCTATCTGGCCTATTCTAGCCGCTTCCGACGCCTGTTCGAGGCTACAGACTCACCACAGTTGGCCTCGTCCGCCCCGTTGCTGCAGTCCTTCTTGCCGTCACATTGGAGCTGCAGCGGCAGACACGTGGGCAGGTCCCCGCACGGAAACTTCCCCAGCTCGCAGTGAGTCGGCGATTTCGGGTCAGGCAACCCTGCAGACAAACAAGGTAGAAAATAGGACAACCTTGTACCTTGGGACAAAATAGCTCTTTTCAAACAGTAAAGGTCTCTGACTCGGAAGCTCTTACTAGTGATGTGACTCCCCTGCATATGGTACAGAGTAGAAAAGAAAGTGATCTCGAACCAGTTTTAGCTCACTGAAGAGCTAATTTCCCACTGGTCGCAGACAAACAGAGTAGAAAACAGGACAACCTTGTACCTTGGGATAAAACTGCTCTATTTAAAGGTCTCTGACTCGGAAGCTCTTTACTAGTGCGGTGACAGACAGACAGACAGAGTAAAAAAGAAAGTGTTCTCGAACCACTTTTAGCTCACTGAAGTTTTGGCTAATCTCCCACTGGCCGCAACAGAGAAGATGGACGCTATGTACAGGTTCATTGTACCGGTGAAATTCCCCTTGTTCTTTTCAACAAGCACAATGAACAGTGGACCACGGTTTAATGTCCCGTCCTAGGGACTGCGACCCTTTCCAGTAGTGTGCATGTCGGGTGAGCGACAACAGCCGGGATTCAAACTCCCAAACCTTATTAGTCCAGAGACAGGGTCGCTAACCACTGGACTACGCACGCTACAAACAGGACAACCTTGGGATAAAACTGCCCTATTAAAGGTCTTTTTCTCGGAAGCTCTTACTGGTGCTGTGTGACGCTCCTGTCTGCAGTACAGGATAATAGCCGGAATCGCTTGTCGCAGCAAACAGGTCGCGACCTCAGGCCATGCACAATTGATGCTGTTTTTCATCTATCTCTTATGTTTCTTCTTTAGAATTGCAATTTGTTTTCTATTTTTATTTTAAGATTTTCAGTTCAATGTCTAGTCTTTACATATCTAGCCAATGGCTTCGCAGATGTTAGAGAATATATTGTTGCCGCTGACATATATTCTGTACGTACTGAGTTTGCCGCATACATATATATATTCTGTATGTAGGATGACGTTATTCATACATGTATTTAGCTTTGTTAGATCTTTAGTAGACCATACATTACTTGTACCTTTACTTTTTGTTGAGTCAGTAAAGAATGTTTGTATTCATGGCACCAGAAATTACCCACATACTGACACACAACTCTCATTTCTTCCTTGAAATCATATTTTCATTCTCTTGTGTGAAAGAGGGTCGCACGAGGTCGCAAGAAAGTGATTTGAAAATTTGGTGGACACTTGGGGATCATCTACTGATGTTTTGAAAAGGACATCCGGTTCGCAAGAAAATGATTTGATGAAATTTTTGTTGAAATGTGAGCTATGTGTGGCTTCGTTCCGGTCAAGCGGCTCTCCGCTTCTAAACGACCCTCCTCCTTTTGCCTTAGACACGGAACAGCGCATCCATGCTAAATACTAATCTCCGAGCAGATCCCTTTCGCTGGTAAAAAGACAGTATCAAATTGGCCAGGCAGTATCCATTAGACAGAGAAGGCCGGCAGCCACCGACGGGGGTCAGGACAAAAAAAACGGACATATATAAAAATGTAACGATCATTCCCCCACAACCTCTGCTTGGAGAGTAGCTAAATATCTGGATAGAACATCAGTATCTGTCGATAACTTTTCTAGGCCTACAATTATTGATGGAACATAAATAAGCAAAGCATTGTACCACATATTGAAAACTTGTATAAATATAAGCACATGGTTTCCCAGGGGATAGTGGTGTTGTGGGATATCTGTCAGCAAACACAGTCAGATGTTTTTCGGCATGCCAGTTGTGGAACTCGGGGACCGGTTTTTCCTCCTTATCAATCAATGTATGTAGGTTACCTAGAGGCTACGGGATCAGAATTTATAAATAGAAATGAATATGATGAATAGGAATGAATTTATGGCTAGATGAATAGAAATCTGTTGATTTTTTTTTATTTCAACATACACACAATACAATACATAGTGGTGACGCACTCAAGCGATATAGCTCATATTCACGTCAACACTAAACATGAAATAAAAAACTACAACACAAGACAAAACTTGTGTGTATTATATTTGAACGCTATTTAACATTATATATTGATATGATATATGTTGATAATATGTTTTTCTCTGTTGATGATATGATAAGTCAAAATGTTATATTCCAAGCCTGATTTTTCCAAATTTGTTAATCATCATAAGCCTGATAAGAACAATGTGTAGTAAAGTTACCACGTAACATATGTCACAATTTTCTTAATATCAATATCTGTTAAGCCAAGACTGCCAGGGCCGAAGGACCAAACTTCATACCGTCAGTTACATTCCTTTTTTCTACCTCCATGATCTTACGTGTAGGTACATGTATTTTGGAGAACTTTTGGGTTAACATTTTTGTATTTCAAGAATGGCCGCGAACAGCCGTAAGTTTACACATGGCAGAACGCCAACAAGGTCATTTCCCAACGGTGTGGAGGAAGTGTGTTTGATCGGCTTTCAGGTCAATCGGGTGATTAGGGAGGCTTTGATTCGGGGTTATGTCCGAACAGCCTGACCTTGTTAGAGGGCATCGAACCCTGGAAGTCGTGAACCGCCGTCACAAAAGAGCGGGAAGGTGGCAGGTAAGGCCACAGCAAGTAACTTTTATGGATGACATCAACTAGCCTCTACCAGGCTTGAGGGCGCGGCTGGAAATAGTAGTAATTGGCCAAATAGAGAGATAACACGCCGAGGGAGTGGATGGCTAAACTCCCTCGACGTGTTATCTCTCTATTTGGCCAATTTCTACTATTTCCAGCCGCGCCCTCAAGCCTGGTAGAGGCTAGACATCAGTGCGCGCATTGATTTTCGTCCGTTAAAAAAAAGTTTTCGACCACACTGTAAATGGTAAAAAATGAGCGAATATATGTCATATGTTGCAAAACAAGTTATTGGATATCATAGAATACCGAAGAGGCGAAATCATTTCAGGGAAAGAAGAAAATGTCAAGAAACGAAAATGAAGAGTCTGTTATTATTTTCCATACCATAGCTTTGTGTTTAGTTATTTGCTCAACCTTTAGGCCACATTTTTATGGATGACATCAGCGCGCGCATTGATTTTCGCCTGACTTTGAAAATTAAAACGAGAAATTTTGTTGCCTTTTGACAGTGGACAACATGCCGAAAATGGGTAAATATGTCTGTTGCCATGCCGTAACTTGGATGACAGATAAATATGAAGAGAGGAGACAAGACAAGGCTTTGATTAATGTTGCTGTGTTGTATTTCAATCCTTTATATGTGATGTTGCCACTGAATAAAAAAAAATTGAGTCGCCGAAGAGGCCAAATAGCGACGCTAATATGTTGAAAGTTATAAAAAAAAATGACAGTCAAGATGAGAATTTTCAATTATTTGTATTTTAGGTTTTGGCGCAAAAATCTTGCATAATATCACTTTAACAAGGTTTAAAATATCAAAATTTGAAAGTATAGAAATCTTATTTTTTTGGCCCGCCTTGTTTTTTTCGCCCTATCGCATTAGATTTGGAGTCTGTGGAGGATGTCATCCATAAAATTTACTTGCTGTGGCCTAACTGTGTGAGCTCAAATGCGGAACGTCTGGTTGTCGAAAAGCGGGGAATTTCGATGTTATCTGCTATCCAAGAAAAACGTTAACTAACACGGGACTTCCAGTTAGCTTTCTGTCCTATCCAAGTACCTACTATAGGGCCGGACAAACCCCTCGGGCTCAACTCCCCCGTAGCGGTAATTTAGAGGGCGAAGGGCTCTTGGCTGCCGAAGGAAAATGGCTCCCAATACTAGTTTGGCACCCAGGGTATATCCAAGAGGACGTCCCTAACCGAAGCTAGGTACTCATTTTCACCTAAGTTAAACCCCTCGGGCTCAACTCCCCCGTAGCGGTAATTTAGAGGGCGAAGGGCTCTTGGCTGCCGAAGGAAAACGGCTCCCGATACTAGTTTGGCATCCAGGGTATATCCAAGAGGACGTCCCTAACCGAAGCTAGGTACTCATTTTCACCTAAGTTGAGGAAATAGATGTTAAGTGCCTTTCCCGAAGACACAACAATACGGCCTGCCAGGGATTCAAACCCAGAACCGTCGGATTCTATCTGAGTCTGATTCTGGGGTAATCAAACTTCCCCCGTGAAAAACCTACCGGGAAACCTAGCTGAGTCGGGCGGGGAATAGCCTGGATGCCAGACCCAAAGCACACTGGACACAAAATATCTCAGTGTGCAAGTGAGATATTTTGCACACTGAGATATTTTGTGTCCAGTGTGCTTTGGGTCTGGCATCCAGGCTAGGCGGGGAAGAGCTTCAGCAGCCCCGAAGAAAACCTGCCCCATCGCGATATGCTGGATACCAGGTTAGCGCACATGGTGTGCCACATGCACTGAAGAATTGGGCTAGGGAGTCGTGCTGAGTGAAATTCCGGAGAAGTCCCCCCAGACCGCACTACCGAGTCGGTCATGTACCTTAGGCCAAGGCCAACGAGAAAAATACACAAGAAGAACCGTAAACACGTGAGGGTCAAGTTCGAAAGTGTACATCAGGTCACGGCCAAACGGGAACAGGAAGCAAAAAAAAGTGGTCAGAAGAGTTTTATCGTCGTTTCACTGGAGACTTAATGAGATCAAGATCAACGTAACGAGAAAAATAACAAGGCAAACTGTAAACATGTGACGGTCAAGTTCGAAAGTGTACTCCAGGTCACGGCCAAACGTGGACAGGGAGCCAAAAAAAGACCAAACTAAGAGTTTTATTGTCGTTTCGCTGGAGACTTAATGAGATCAAGATCAACGTAACGAGAAAAATACACAAGAAAAACTTACTGTAAACATGTGAGGTTCAAGTTGAAAAGTGTACCCCATGTCACGGCCATGAACGGGGACAAGGAGCCAGAAAAAAGTCGCCCAAAGAGTTTTATTGTCGTTACGCTTTACGCACGATAAATTCAAACTGGCTACAACGCATTACGTAGAATTAATACGCCGAATACGCTCTACGCAAAATATTAGAGCGGTCCGTCTACGCTGTACGTAGAATTAAAACGGCCGATTGCGCTCTACGGAAAAGGGCCCCCTTACAAGCCAAGGGATGGTCGCAATGGCAGTCTGAATTGGCTATCGCCTTTGATGGGCCAGCAATAAAGAAAAGCTAATTGTCAAAGCGACGGAAAATAAGACTTTTCACACAAAAAAATAACAAGTTGAACAACAAAAGCCAGGTTGGATTTTTGATCTAGAAACTGTCATTTGCCTGAACACTTCATGACCAACTAGTCAGGTTGCTCATGTTTAGGGACATGTCCTTTGCGTTGTTGGCAGCAAAAAATAGCTTGACAAAAGTTGAGTGATTGAGTGTACTGTCATCATGTCTAGTGTTAAAAATTGACAGGAGAAACTAAAATTAGCAACAGGGAAGATGCGGGATGTCAGGTGAACCAACTCGTTTGCAGACAAGAAGTGTGACAGATACGGCCTTTGGTATCTCCCTGAAGCTCTCAAGTTTCTTCTCTGTGATTCTGGTGACAGTAGAAGATGAAATATGAAGGTCACGGAGTGTATTCAGAACCCCATAGGGGCACGGTTGGGAAGACTCGTGTATTTTTAGGTCTGAGCGAGGGAAAAACTTTCTTTAATAGCAGTTTCGCCGCAAAAGAAGACTTAAAACCAACTACACACAATTACTGAATCCCGGCCAAAGTCTTCTTAGAAATAGACCTAAATTGGGTCTTCTTGTAAAATCAGATACGATTTACACATGTTCCAATTAGGAATATTCGAATGTGAAGCAGCATTGTGTTCAAATTTCTACCTTCGCCAAGTAGGTTATGTTTTTCATAGCGTTTGTGTGTGTGTGTGTGTGTGTGTGTGTGTGTGTGTGTGTGTGTGTGTGTGTGTGTGTGTGTGTGCGTGCGTGCGTGCGTGTGTGTGTGTTTGTGATTTTTTTAGAAAAATGCATAATTTCGTCAGTCGGAATGGTTAACATCATTTGGCGAAGGTATGATATCGTGGAACTCTTGTTTGTCTCTATCGCACGCGTATCATCAATTATGAACGGACGGACTTATCCAGGATACGGAGCACATTATTCAAATTGTTTACTATGTTTAACATAGTAAACAATGTGAATAATGCAGTTTGCATATAGGAAGCAGACTTGTCAGTTGCGCCCGTCTGAAAACTAGTTCGTGAGCAGAGGAGAAAAACATTTGAAGTTTACCATTCGAATATTTCATAACCAAGACAGACTAGAAATAGATTTGTATACGTTGCAAGCTTGACCGGGCCAACAAGACACAGAGATTGATTGCTGTTGTTTTTATCATGGAGCTATATATAGATATTTGCCTGTGTCTGCATGTTGCATAGAATCCTCTATGTTTATCACACAGACAGGAAACAAAATCCTTGAAATTGAGCCAGGTTTGGAATCAGGTAGCCAAGGTAACCAAGCGATGTAGAGATGGTCTTCCACCGATGAACATGGCAATAATGTACTGTCATCAGATGCTGTGATGGCTAAAAGGTTTCTCAAATCAAACGAGAAGAGCAGCCTGATCTAGAAGACAAGAGGATGGTTGTCTATCTAGAACAGATTTGTATGTTTAGTTATGCACGGTTCCCAGTAGGACAGATCAAACAAAAAGAGACAGATAGCACAAATACAGCGTCAGTCAACTACCAGTCCCTGAAGTTTCCATACGGTTTGATGTTTAGATCTACTAAGTTGGAATTAGAATTCCAGTAAAAACAGTACAGATCGTCACGGTTTTCTACATTTTTATGTTATTTTTTTCTCACAACATTTCGTACGGATTCAGTTTATGTCATTCCAGAAGAAGATTTTAACAAAGATCACAAACTTTTCTCCGTGTCCATCGGTATCAGGCACATGGTTGACCATGATTTGGGAATTGTTTCCCAACACCCCCTCCCCCTTGAGAGATGCCCTAGTTCTCTAATGATAGAAATTGGGGCAAAATAGCAAAGGTTTGCAGTAAAAGATTGCACATTTGCCCTCCGTCTGAAAACGTGCTATTTTATGGCATTTACGAGTTCCCAATTGACAGTTGTTCACCACTGGATTCGTCCAAGGAGAGCGTCCCTGGTTAGTATGAATGAAGACAAGAAACCCTGTAAACAATTAACAGACGAAGCCAAAGAACTGTGTCAGCTGCACCACATGGTCTCGATTTTCGCTGTGTCCGACATGTGTCAACCCAATTTCATATGTGGGGAACGCAAATGAACATTTCAAAAGTACTGTATATACACAACAGCTTCTGGGCTAACGAAAATGCCGCCAACTACTAGTAACGTAGCCTCTCCGAGTACTAGTGTTGCCAGATCGCTACTCGGTCTCTTGACTGTTGTAGGAAGGAATCGAACCCTAAACCATTCGGTTAGAGATCGTGGTTGGATCGGAGAGCAAGATCAAGCCAAATCCGGCACACGTCGTTGTGATCCCAAACTGTTGTCTCACCGAAACTACTAGGATTTTAAACAGAAATGCACGACAGCTAGCATTCAATTTCTGCATGACAATCTTGTACCTACAAACTAACAAAGGCTTCTTCCGCCTTTTCACGGTATTCTGCCATCGGCATTCTACTACATACTTTCAGCGACGCGTCAGGTGTAGCAGCTGTGGAAAACAGAACGATGTAGGCGGTAAGTAGTCTCACCTGTACACACACAGGTACGCAGATACACGGCCAGGAAACAGGCGACATGGCGAACACAGCGCGTCCATCCCATCCTGTCCTCATCAGCGAGAGAACTAGTCAGACTACCGACAGACGGTGGAGCCTCAGTTTTAGCTAGGTCACGGAGGTGTCGATCACCGCAGTGCGCACCAGCCTTGTTTAGGTGACTCCAGCCAAAAATGACCAATGCAATGAATGAAAATTGGCCTCACGTGATTTTTGTGCCAAACTGGCTGCCTCAGGGTCCTAACGAGGGACCAATGGGGAGTGATGCGTTATGAAAGTAACCTACTTTCTACTGTGATGTGAGAAATTGTCTGGGATTTTGTTTACGATCGAGAGACTAATCTTTTTTATACCTTGGCGATTGTAGGTATTGCTTTTGATCCGTGCTTGTGTGTTGATATTTGACAGAATAACTTAAGAAGCCCTGAAAGGATTGTGATGATATCTGTGATGTGAGAAATTGTCTGCGATTTTTCTTTCGAGAAGTTAATCGCTTTTATATATTGGTAACTGGAGGTACAGTTTTTAAACTCCCTGTGTGTGTTCATGATCGGTGTGCGTGTGTATGTGTGCCTGTTCGGATAGTGGTCAGCATAACTTAAGAATACCTGAATGGATTGTGATGATATTTGGTATGTGGGTAGGTCTTAAAAGATTTTGGGACGCCCAGCTTGGTACTGCGGCAGAATTTTTCTTTTTCTATCTTTTGTCCTGGACATGCTAGGATTGTGATTTTTTTCTTTGGTAACAAATAAATTTTGATTTACGATCATGTCAGGAACAGGTGGTAGGTCCCATAGCAGGGACGATTTGGTTAAAATCTTTGAAACAGAGTAAGACTCGGCTCGGAGTTTGCATGTCAATCAGTAGTCCGTGCTTATGAACCTGCCATTCTCCTGCATTCTGTAGTGTCACTGACGAAAGGTAGTGGATGCTACCTGAAACGTCTGACCGTTTCCAAAATCATGTCCAGTTGCTTGAGTGACTATTTTTTGGCGTCGTCTCGGAGTTGTTGTTTTTTACTGGGGCGATCAGACTCTTGATGAAATGGACTCTATGGCAGTCACCCGAGAGCTTTATTTGCAATCAGATAGAGATTCATGCACAGACACAGATTCATGTACAGATCTACAGATACAGATTTTTCCGAGTATGATGACCGTGTCAGTTCCTACACCTGAGTGAGGAGGGTTGACACGGTGGCCTTCGCGTATATTTGTTTAATGTGGATAAGGGGCTATATGTATATATAGTGCTTCTCCAAACATCGCTTTCCGGGCAATTCGATGTTTCCGCTATGTGGAAAGGACACGGACTGCCTTGCCACTGGTCAGCGAACCTTAGGTAGTTGACATTTTCAATATGGATACATGATTTGGGATAAAAGCATCATTTAAATCCATCTGACCTGAGGGTATGCAAGCCGACATTATTACAGTGTTTATAGATACAGTGGCGTCGGCACAAACAGGTGCGATACTCGGCATATAGCTCCGGGGCTTCCGCTAATGTGATGTAGGTTTGTCTTTGTGTTTAGGACAACCCAGAGGACAACCCGGAGTAAAAATAGAAAGTGGGCGGAGACAACACCTTTCGGCAAATTCTTCCTCTCGATTATCTGATCACAAAAGAAGGTGGTCAAACATGTTTACGGATGAGCATTTTTTGTGGATTATGTGGATACAAAAGTGATTAAACAGAGATGATATATTTAGCTCACATTGGACAGTTCTGTTTTCGACTACTCTCCAAGCAGAGGTTGATGGGGGAAGACCCTTTTTATATATGGCCCTTTTTTGTCGCTAATCCCACCTTAAGTGGCGAATTGGACCCTCTCTGGCTAATGGATACTGCCTGGCCAATTTGATATTGTCTTTTTGCCACCCTATGATCTGCTTGGAGTTTAGTTTTCGACGATGTCGGGTGAGAGTTAGGAAAGGCAATGGATGTTAATATAATTTGGGTGAGTGCTTTGGTGCACAGCCTGACTGAAGAGACAACAAGTTAACTTCGGGCCTAGTGACTTCAGTCGGAACTGCAGTTGTCGTTTTGAGGGTGTCACGAAATGCAACAGCGATCCTCGGATACTACTACGTGCCTGCTGCAGCAGCTTGTACTTTCTCTCTATTTCTATGTATCCACTGCCTTCAAAGAAGAAGTCGAACCCCATAATAGCTAGACAGTACTTACCTGTCTCCTGTTACTGTATTGCAATGAGTATTATACTTGATTGTAAAAGCAATTAGCCTTCGGTTATGATTTTGCGAATAAAGTTTCTATTGTACCTCTCTCTTTCTATATAGCAGCTTGTTATTCTCTCTCTCTCTTTCTCTCCTTCCCTCTTCTGAAGTTTAGAACGCCACAAGTACAAATGATTTTGACGACAGCTGACAATGACTCTCCGTCAAACTTGTGTGTTGAGTGGATGTCAAAAACAGAACCACTCCAGACACACGTTAGCACCCTCCCGGTGTTGAGCCAAATCCTTGAGCTGCCACATACGTGAGAGGACAGGTGTTTAGGGCTAGGGTTAGGGTTAGGATTGGTATTGATAGAGTTGTTAGAGTTTAGATCATTGTTCAGGGCTAGGTTTAGACTTACGGCTTAGGTTAGGTTAAGTTTACTCTCACATCACGACTAAACCCCTCCCACCCCTAGTCTCAGGTATATTGGAAACCCCTAAGTTGTGTCCGAGTCATGTATTTAGCAGGATCATGTCTATGGCTTGACACGGCGGTTCTGGTGGCGGGATCCGACCGAGTGAGCAATCCAAACCATCCCGGTATACCGTAGCGGATTTTAAACAAGCTCCCCACTCATCACGACAAGTACGTTCGCACGTCGGTTCGTTCAAGTGTCTATGATTAGCATGACTCTTTGTTGCGTGGTCAACTTGAGCCACGCTTTCCATAACGCCGCGGTCCACTGCAGACTCAAGGGTTCCCGATGTAAGGGGGCTACAGAAAGTGCAAAATTATAATGCATTTGTCAAGTACGATTTTTCCTCCACGAGTGTGACTAAAAATTGGCTTACAGTCTCGTTCCTTCAGCGAAGTTGCTACCCTGTTTCTACCACCAAAGTTCAAATTCGCGGTATCGAATTGAGCAGCTTTCATGTCAAACCTCACTGAGGCTAGGCTGGCGACATGCTGTGGTCTCCGTTCCTGATTCTCGCCGTTTTCATCGAGAGAACAACTTTCTCCACTGGGCTACCATCATGTGAGTCGACGTGGATTTTATCTGTAGTGAGGTAGCTTGCTTGTATTACACTGAAAGGGCTGTATATGTGACCATGTTCTGTTTCCCATATAGTCTGCAACAGACCGTACAAAGTCGGCAGTCGAGTATCGACCTTTGTATTCATGGTAAAAAGCTTGTCTCATACAATCTATTTTGTATTTTCCAACTGTTTCTTTTAAGATGTGACTATAGGGTGGTGCAAGTAGAGGCGTGCTTTAGCTAGGGCAGTCAAAATACAGTATCAAGTTGATAAGTTGCGGGACCGAAAAGTATGGTATAAAGTATAGTCTTTTGTACCTCGTGGGCTAAAGTTATTGTCTAAAACCAGATCTTTGTATATTATCTTAGTGGTTTTATGACGTTATCAGATTTTGTACTGTATTTTAACGGTAATGATACAGACATGTGTATGATTTATGCTAACTTTATCTATTTGTAATAATGGGCGGTATGTTGTAAATACTCGACATATTTCATGCACTTCAATGTGACATGCCAGTCTATATTCACAGTAAATATGAATCTAAAACTAAAACTTAACAAATGTGATAAATACTGTAATTCCTGATTTTTTACTGTACTGTTATATTCACTGTTTTCACTGTAACTTCTGTACCGTGAACTTGTCAACAAATAATTCCTGGACTTTTTCCTGCACCTGTCGCCACCGTGAATATTTAGTTCCGTGAACATGTCCATTTTTCTCAGACCGTGAACTTTTGCTACCGTGAACTAGCCTCTAGAGAATATTTTGCCGCACCAATGTTCTCTCCCAGCAGAAAAACTCCCTTGGCATGTTATCTCTCTATTTGGCCGATTTCTACTCTTTCCAGCCGCCTCCCGAAGCCTGGTAGAGGCTAACTATGAACAAGAAGTGGATTACGATCTGTGCTCTTTTTCCAGACAACCTGGACATCTTCTACTGTAGAACGGATGCAATTCTCTCGGTAGAAGCACCTTCAGGTCACGTGGTGTTCGACTATAGCGCCGGCAAGGACTGTTCTCTACAGATCCAGGCACCCAGAGGGAACCTCGGATCCAGGTTTCTCTTCAACTTCGAAAGTCTCTTGGTTGGATCGCGGAACAGTGAAGGGTGTGGGAACGAGGAACTGCGTATCTACGATGGGCCTATGTCCAGCGGAGGATCGTATCTTTCGGTACGTATAATGAAAATTTATTGCAGATACATGCCCGAGGGCAAATACAAACAATTGAAAAAGAAGATAAAATTACATGAGAGACTATGTACAAAGTTATACTACATTCTAAAACATATGTGGTACTACTTTTGTTGGGCTTGACTTCTTCTTTTGAGGCAGTGGGAGACGAATTCTATAGTACAATAGCCCACTGATTGTATTTGTACATTACAACGATACTATATACTACTTATCATCTACATTTAGTGTTTATTATTGCCTACTGCTTGCACGCTTGTTGACATTTCTTGACATCAAATGTTTTCAAACACAGGTGTGTGGAGACAGCCAGGAACAGGTGCTGTCGATCGGCAATACCGTCACATTCCGCTTGGTGGCGGAAGGAGATGTGCAAGGAGGGCGTTTCCTCATACTCTACACTTTAGTACACGAAGCTGTGAACGGTAAGGATAGATATTGTCCACGTCTTTATGATCGTTTGTAAGCCCCCTTTCGACGTAGCCTGGGTGCTATCCGTTTGTGTAGACTGGTTTACTAGTTCTTAGCAAAAGATATACATGCCTCCTGGCAGCCGTGGAGGGCTGAATTGTGAGGCTATTTACAGAGGTATTAGTCTATAAAATGATGATACATTTACAGTTGTGATAAATGTTAAAATTTGCTTATTCAACATTAAAAATTCTAAGAACAATTACGATCGAAGGTAAATAAAAAAACAATGCTACTTGTGTAACAGTGACTGTCTGACATCAATTAAAAGTTGCTAAAAGTTTAAGACAGATCTAGAGATTACAAATTAGACTGACGTTTTGTTAAGGTTTACAGATAACAGTTTTGTGACGGGGATCATTGCAATCGTGTACAAAACGTATTGCTCCCAGGCTACACTTTCGACGTAGACTTATATAAGAACTCTTCAGTTATTATAAACATAAAAATTCTCTTTCATCATGTGATTGCGCATGCCTGATCTCTACCAACCGTAACATGTCAGTGGACTACAAAATAGTGGAAAAAGCAAAACCATGATAAGTATGTGTCCGGTGAAATGAGTGCGTGTTTGTCAAACAAAAGCGCGAGTTTTGACATATTTATTTATTCATCTCTGTTTTGAACACATGGGTGGTCCCTTCAGCCGAAAAGGGCTGATCAATTTCCAAGGAAGCCCATGAAAAACAGAATATAAAGAAAGTAATACAGCATAAAATAATGATTAAACATAGGAATACAAGTAAATCATTTTGCCAATGATGATGATCATCATCATCATCTGACATCCTCCGTAGAGGTGGAGCATACAAAGTTAGCTCGCCAAAACTGTTTGTCATACATCACAGAGATAAGTTCCTGTCCCTCGAGCTCCAAGCCTGTTTCAGCTTCAATAAGTTTCTTTAGTGTTATGTTTGCCAATGATAACATCTCAAAATCATAATACAAAGATATAATAACCATATTAGGGGATCAAACCCTTCAGACATAGTTTTAGACATAGCTATAGTTTTAGACAAATACCTTCATTACGTAGATTTTCAGGTTATTTTATATTCTTTTCATGTATTTGCAATTAGCCTTCGGGCAGGAATTTGCAATAAACTTATCAATATATTTCCTGCAGGGGAGTGTCCAGAGCATTCCCACCTGTGTCTGGAAGCCGGCTGCCTGTCCGATGACGTGTACGGAGACAGCAGCTGTAACTGTCCGGACGGGAGTGACGAGGCAGACACGGGCGTCTGCGGGAACATTCAGACTGTGCTGCCACGGGAGACCTCTAGCGGCTGGACACAGTACCTGCAGGTCCTCAACTCTCCAACACTCTCCCCAGGTCAGGCACCGTACACGTGACTGACATATTCCGAGCTTTGTTTTTAGCACCTGGAAGCTAGCCTCTGCCAGGCTTCAGAAGCGACAGGAAGAGTAGAAATGTCTATTTGGCCTATTTCTATTCACAAAATCCAGCCGCTTCTGAAGCCTGCCAGAGGCTGCCTCAATTCATGGATAACACCATCCACTGACTAGTGTAAATCATACACATTTCATAATATTCAAAGTACTTTAATAGTACGTTCAGGTTGTTGCCATACCTCGTGTCTATCTAAACTTTACACTGATTATTTCATTTCTACAGACGAATTCAATGGCGATATAACGCTACCAGCAGTACTAGACGATACCCAAGACGCTAAAAAGGGCGCAGAGTTGGATCAGCATCGCAACGAAACGTCGGGGTTGAAAAAAGGAGAAGAAGCGACTGGCGAGTCCCCACCGGCACCAGAAGAGAAGTCAGTCGGTCACATAGCCGCAGAAGTGGGCGGCTGCCTGGCCGCGGGGACGGCCGTAGTAGTGGCTGGGGTTCTAGCCTATTTGAAGCTCAAGGCCAAATCACAAAACAGAGTTGGCCCTTCCGTATAGAAACAACGGGAGATATCGCTAATTATCATATAGCCAGAATACGCTACGCTCACTCGGTGGTTTATTCGGTGGTTATGGCACCTGACTAGGAATTATCTCACCATATACACCTCGGGGCGAGGCATTAACCCTTTATTGAATGAAGACCTTTTTTGTACATGTTTGCCCCACTGGGCTACGCACAGGTCACATGTTAACAAAGTACATAAATGTAAATATAAACGTCTAGAGTGCACCGTTAAAGTACTTTCGACTTACTCTCGCTTCTTTATTATTACGCGCCGAGAAGGCCGACAAGCTTGTAACATGCTGCTTTAATTTTGCTTCTGCTGCTGTTTTTTTGTTTAGCTATAGCCCACACTGTATATAATGATTATACCTTTGAAATTGGGACTACATCATTCACTAAGTCAACTGCAGGTCGATTCACACGACAAGATACTGTACAATGTAACTACATGTTTATATGTCACCATATCCAGTCTTGTAATGACAAATTGGGGCTCCGCAAGCTTTATAATACACAGTATAGGGCGAAAATGATGTACTTTTTAAATATCAGTGTCCAACATGTACAATACATGTAATGTCACATGTCCATTTGTAATTTAATTGCTATTCGAGAGAAAAAAAAAAACATGTATAGAAGATGACAGACTTGTTAACTTGTATATAGTGTTATAGTGAATTGCACTTATCACAATATATCAAGCCAAATACACGATCCTGCCAAATACATGACTCCGATACTACTTGGGGTTTGCAATAATATAGCTGAGACAAGGGGTGGGAGGGGGTTGGTCGTGATGTGTGGGATACTAAATCTTAAAGCTAACCCTAATCGTAAGTCTAACCATATCCCTGAGCAATGATCCTAACTCTAACCCTAACGCCAACCCAATTATTTATTGAACCATTGCCCTAAACACCTAACCGCTCACGTACACACGAACTCTGACCTCTACCCCTTGACCTATTGTACAACTCATGAAGTGAGTGTTGCACTTCCGGGATCTTGCCCTTCTCGTACTATTAGAACGTCTAATAACTTCCTATCAACTACTTGGACGGGACAGCACCCATGCTAATGTAACTACCGAAGTTGTAAGGTCACCACAGAACAAAATATGATGTTTGTTTTCATCTACGTCTGACGATTATTCTTGAGCAAGTGACAGTCTGTCCACCCTGCAGTGAAAATAGTCGACAAAGGTCATCTGGCTCAGAGTGTACTGTGTAGCGGGCAATACTTGAAGTTCCCAGCACCAAAACAGTCTTTTTCAGGTAAGTTTATTTTTATCTGTTCAGAAAACACGAACGCGAATGTTTCGTAGCCTTGTGTCCTACGTATACTCTCCAAGCAGATGTTAGTGGGGAAGATTGTTACCTCCCTAATGTGCCCCGTTTCTTTTCTGTCGCTACCCGCCCTCTAAAAAAACATCGACAGAAGAAAACGGGGCATATTATTAGGAAGGTAACAATCTTCCCCACCATTGAACCTCTGCTTGGGGAGTACTTGCATCCAGGCAACATGACTGTGTGTGCGTTTGATACTAGTAAAACCAAGGAGGTCTATAAAATCTTGACGTTGATTAAACCAATTCCTTCTTTTGAATTCACAGATCGCAGCAGAGGTTCGTTTTCTGTTGCCTCAAACCGACACCAACTTCCAGGGATCATAAGACAAGCAACAGTCGCCACTATGTACCATGGATGAACCAGCATGTGTGGGTGTTCAACTCCTAGGAAACCATGCAAGTACTTCAGCACAAAACGACGTACGCAGCTCACCTTCCGAATCCTCGAATGTCTACCACCATCATCAGCACCAAACTACACGGGAATCGAACAACATTTCCCACTGGCAAGAGATTCTGCGTTGGCGTTGGGTGGACTTTTTGGTGACCATGTTGATCATCGGACCTTTAACTGTGGCCTATTGGCGCGGAACCTGGTCCCTCATGAACGTTTACTTATTTCCCAACAACGATGTAATAAGCGCATGGGCGTCATTTGCTATCGGGACATCGGTGATTTTGATGCTGAATTTCTGTCAAGGAAATCTGACGAACAGGCTTACAAGACGACAAGATGTCCTCTTTCACGTTCTGTTAAGGATCTACATCTACGTTTTCGGATTCTCTGTGGTGAACCATTGGAGAGGATGTTGGTACGTTCTTGATGCACACACAAATGTGACAGTTTTAAGTGCCGTCATTTCTGTCGTTGTGCCCCTCCCCATTCTTTTGGCTCTCCGCGCGTGTGGAAATCTCGTTGCCTCTCCTGGAGTCATTCTTGTGGACTTTTGTGACGCTCCGTTCAGGATAGGAACCCGGTTTGCGGCAGAAGCGTCGTTTTCGTGGGCGTTCGCAGGTGACGTTGTTCTGACCGTTGTTATCATCGGGTCGCTCGTCGTCGTCTCCTGGCGAGGCTTGTGGCTGCTTTTCGACATCTTCCTCTTTCAAACGGACCCGGAACACTCTTCGTGGACGTCCGTTGGAATCGGTTACGGAACTCTCGTTCTTCTCGCCCTGCTCGAAACTCCTGTATCCAACCTTCTCCGAAAGACAAGAGAACTTTTTCCCCGCATTGTACTTGAAGATATCTTCAAACTCGCGGCGTGGCTTGGGGTCTTGTCCGTCTGGAGAGGGCTGTGGCTTGTGTGTGACTACCACATTTTGCCGGACAGGCCTGTACAAAGCTACTTGCTCACGCACGTGGTCGGCATCGGAGGGTTGTACCTCATGCAGGCGGGGAGAAGCGTCCTGGTGGCCGGGTGTGTTGTAGACGGGGACACGGCGGACGGGACTGGCGTTAGGATGGGCAGGTACCTGGAACAGGTCTGCCCTAAACTGGTACGACACTTTCTTATACAGTGTTTTCCATCTCTGTGCAAATATCTTTTAATATGATTACTAGTATTATCATTTCGCAATATCGTCATCAGCCGTTGCCAGCTGGAGCACAGTTCTAATTTTAAGTCACAATTCTGTTTGAATGAACGCGAAAAATAAAAATGCATATTAATAATATGCACAAATCATGCTTATTATTATCCTTAATACGCTTATACATGTATTGTTGTGTTCTTGTTTTATTCTATAGGTGCGTCTATCTACGGAGCAGGTATCCGACCAACGTTGCCATAGTGACTGGGGACAACAAACAACGTCATCTTCACAAGATGTTGTACACTACGAGACAAGCCTGTAACCTGCCGATTTGTGTCATACTCTCCAAGCAGAGGTTGGTGGGGAAGATCTAGAAGATCGTTTATATCTGTCTATATATGCCCCGTTTTTTTTAAATATATTCCAACGTGTAATCGCAAGACGTCCATACCGGCTGTAAATCGTACAAAGTGAGCAAATATATGTCATATGTTGCAAAAAAAGTAAGTGGAAAACAATACTAATGTCATTGTCATAGTATGCCGAAATTAATTCAGGATAAGAAGAAAATGTGAGGAAATAAAAAGGAAGAGTCTACTATTATTCCATACTCTGTGTGTTTAGTCTTTTTTTCGACCTTTATGATCACGTAGATTTCATAATGAAGGAAACTTTTTTTGCCATTTTTTTTATTCGCGTCAGTTTTGGGGTTCGTAGAGGATGTCATCCATATAATCAAATCAAATCAACATGGCCTTATTGTATTACTGCAAGACGCTCGCAGTATCCATTTATTAATTAGTCCACCAGAAAAACAGGTATGTTTAGTTTACTGGACAATTGTATGGAAAGAAGAAGAGGTAGACAGAAGTAGAAGTGGGACGACAATAATAAGGAGTCGACCGACCAGCCCCTTGCCAATACCCAAGCGTTCAGGCACACGACAGAGAGGGGATGGCAGTTTGATCAACTACAAAGTGCCCCCACTCCGGTAAGCGGTATAGGAAAAATTCAACCTGCGACCAGAATAGCAAATCCCCAGTGTTTTAGCGTTCGTTGTCTGCACGTGAGACAACTGGCCTTCAGAATGTCCCTCCCAAGCGAGGTCAGCTCGCATACTAACCCTGCGAAAAATGACATCCACGTCACTGCGGTCACTACAACTTCTCCACAACATCTTGCACGAGAAACAGAAAACACCGAGCGACGCAGTACCACCAAGTACGTTCTCCTGTGTTGTCTTGACGCCGTTATCAATGGCGTCGTCGTCGCTCCTCTTGTCGTGGCCTACTTCAGTGGAACCTGGAATCTTCTCGACATTTACCTTATACCAGAGAACTTCAGCTGGAGTGCTGTGGCGTCACTTTTGATCGGGATTGCCCTCACGCTTCTTATAAACTTGCTCCAGGGCGTGTTGGGATCCCTGTTCGCTGAACGAAGTGTCGTCTTCCACATCGTGTACAGGCTGTACATCTATATCTACGGCTTCGCGGCGATAAACCAGTTCAGAGGACTCTGGTACTTGCTGGACGACCTGACAGGAGAGACCATCCTCGGGGCAGCCGTTTGTGTAGGAGTGTCCCTCTTGGTCTCCGCCCCACTTCGTGTTATGAACAACATTGCTGCGTCTCCGATGATCACCAATGTCGACATCCGTAGTGAAGAACCGTTTCGTGTGGACACCCGCTTCGGAGTAAAACCGGCCAAGACGTGGAAGTTCGTCGGTGACGTGGTCCTGACCGTGGTTGTTGTTATTTCCCTGGTCATACTCGCCTGGCGTGGAACCTGGCAACTGTTCGACTTTCTCATTTTCCCGTCGGACTTCATTCGCTCTACTTGGACCTCCCTAGGCATCGGATACGCCATCTACATAACTCTCTTTGTCTTAGAATACCCTACGTCTTGTCTTATAAGAAAAGTCAAGACGTTTTACCTCGGTCTGGGAGTTGAGATGATGTTTAGTTTCGTGGGTGGAGTCGGGAGTGTGGCGGTGTGGCGCGGGTTGTGGTATGTGTACGAACTTTACGTCTTTCCCGACGATTTCGTCGCAAGTGCCTGGCTGACTCACGGGGTTGGTGCCGCAGGTTTGTTGTTATTTTTGTTTATTTGTTTGTCTATTATTTAATTTGCTCAGCATTTAGAAAAGAGTATGGGAGTTAAACACACACCACTACCAGTGGACTAGCCCCCTGCAGTGTGGCCCAAGGGCTACTGAACCGGAGATGGGGGCCGCCCTATGCACTACGTGCTGCGGGAAGGACTTTAACTTTTAACTAACTAACTTTCACATGCCGTAGGTTTGTTCGTCATACTGGCGGGACGAAGCGCGCTGGTGACCCCATCAGACGTGGACGGGGAGGCCCGGGACGGCAGCGGTGTCGAGCTGGGCCGCTACCTCGAGCAGATCTGCCCCAAACTGGTAAAGAGACCCTCAAGTTGTTGCCATTTATGTTATTCCCTTACTGTGTACAAATAAGTAAATATACCAAAGAATGTAGACCTTAGAACAAGTACAATGTAATTTCATTCCTTTCTGTCCTGTAGATACAGAAGTTCGTCTCCAACAAATCTTCCAGTCCTGGGGCAGCTCCAAGTCCTGATGATGTCAAATTCGAAGAAACTTGCCTATAGTTGCCAACTCCGAGCAGATCTTCTGCAGTTATAGAAACGTTCAAGTTCGAAAATTCAATTTCAATAGCTCAAGCCTAGGTTGACGTCGACGAATTTTCATTGTTTTCGGTTCTTAGATACCTTAAGTTATGATAAACATATAGAGATGAACGAAATTGTGAACTATGCCTAATGAACAAGAAATAATTAGGGTTATTGATAATTACTGACGAAATAATCTTCATACACTTGGCAAGGTAACTTTGTACTCAAGGCAAGAGAAGGCAAATATATACGTCACATTTTAATAATATTTATTCCATATGAGGCAAAAAGGTTTTGATACAATCCTGAAATGTTTTGCCTCTAACAAATATATTTCAATTATACTTCACAAATCACAAACTTGGCAAGTGTGATAAAACTTCTACCTCCTCTCTCTCTCTGCAACCATGTGCTACTTACAGTATACAAAATATAACCTTTCATATGGAACAGTAAAAAAAAAAAACATGGTACATCATATTGGCACCGATGGCGCAAATACACACTAGATTGGCTTAGTCCGACATTATCTTTCGACTACTATCATACATTGCAAACCGAACACAACTTTTTTAAGTGCTTACCCATAAACAGCAGAGTTCAAATATATATAAGCTCTCCACTGGGTGGCTTGTCAATTATAATAATGTACATATTTTACCACTGGAATATAACGTCACACACGATACAACAATGCTAGACTACGGCTACTTTCATTAAATCTCCTTGTGGCAACAGTTAGACTGGAAAAAATTTCACTGCAAAGACGTGAAGACAATTAAAAAAGTGGCACCCCTAATCTAATGATAGTTTGGCCTGACATTCAATAACCAGCACCCCAAGTAGGAAGCGTCCAATCTTGGGGGGGGGGAGAGGTTGTAACAAAGATCTTTGACAATAAACTAAGAGCACTTCAAGAATATGCTAAAAAGCGGGAACAAAACAGAAACTGTACATTTTTCTGGGCCTAACTTGCAGTGCAAAGCCAAGTGATACATGTACATTGCACTCACAAACTAAAATCGGAAAGACAGAATTTTGCAATGACAGGAAGTCACTATTTAAAAGCTTACAAGTCTAAATAGAGATGTATGTTGTATTTCTATCTTGGAAGGCAAAGGTACTTAATAATCATCAGAAAAAGAGTAGAATATTATTTGTGAGAAAAAACAGAGGTACATGTCTGAACAGAAAATTAAATTAGTGTGGCTTTAGTTGTTGTTTCTTATTCATGATAAGGTGAAGACTATAATTGGCCAAAGCCAAGAGGAAAAAAAACAACACAGTACTGAGATAAAAGGAATTCTCCTGGATCAACACTTAATATTGTCTGTACTGCTTTATAGGACAAACAGAGCAATTTTGAAATTGAATATTAGAATATTATGAGAGAGATATGTAAGTGGGATATGACAAGGTTTGAAGCATCTTATAGGACTTTGCAATTTTCTCTGGCAAACTCTGGCAAAACAAACTCGCCAAAGATGTACAACTGTTCCCATGGTACATCACTATCTCTGGATGCTGTAATACTTCTGAGATCACCCCCCCCCCCCAAAGAAAGGACTTGCACCTTCATACTGCTACTTCTAAATAATGGGAGCAAAAAAAAAAGGAATTAAGCGAGTCTTAACCCATGGCTTTTATCCTACTGTGCATAGAGTACACATGATTGTCATTACGCTTTCTGCTTTAGAGTTTTCACAGATTAACAGTAGAATCTGTACATAGCAGCTGACAATATTTCCTGTACGGAATTGCAATATTTCAGATATATAATTCTACAGGAAGAGCACACACTTTTTTTCTCAGCTCCTGTTGGATGTGCTCTACCTACAAAGTCATAATGGAACATTCCACTGGGTTGAAATGGCCAGCACCATGTTGGTCCGCGGGGGTGGGCAGCATGCTCATTACACCCACGGTAGGTTGGATTCTCCGTGTCCTGCAGTTTTACTCACCTCTTCGTGAGTGGGAGAATCTGACGATGGCCGATGCTGTGAGAGAAAAAAAATTAAAACTGAAATCTTATGTTTCATTAATTCACTATACAACATTCATCGATAAAGTTAGACATTCAGGAAATACGATATGCCAAAAAAAAACAGTTACTCAAGCAACTGGATATGATTTTGGAAATAGTCAAATATTCAATAAATCATCAATCAATCATTTAAAAACCTGCTGTTTCTGAGACATCTCCAGTGTCACTGACGAAAAGTAGTGGATGCTACATAAAACGTCTGTTTCCAAAATCATATCCAGTTGCTTGTGTTTTTTGGTGCATAATACATGTATACTATTGTTGTTGTGCAGTTGGCATAGAGTTGCAAAAAAAGACCAAGATTATCAGGGGCAAGTACAAGCCGTACAGTAGAGTAGCTCTTACCTGGCTATGTGAGGTTTGTTGTGTGTGGAAAGGGTCAATGTTGGCAATGTGAGGGATGGTCACCTTCTTACTCTTATCCTTCTTGTGCTCCTTCGCTGTTTTACCTGGAAAAAGTACAACAAAAGTCTTAGGATTTTCTTGAAAACAAACTATACATGACATTCCAGACTTGTACATGTATGATGTACCTGTGTATATCCCAATACATCAACACACGCACGCATGCACAAACATACACACACACACAAACATGCACACACACAAACATCCCTGTCCTTGGTGCTGAACACTATCTGCTAACACTAACACACACATCCCTGTCCTTGGTGCTGAACACTATCCACTAACACTGACACAGACATCCCTGTCCTTGGTTCTGAACACTATCCACTAACACTGACACACACATCCCTGTCCTTGGTGCTGAACACTATCCGCTAACACTGATACATACACCATCACACATGACGCATGCATGCACGCACACACAGAATTGCCACGAGAAAAATGACAGATGGTCACCGAAACGTCGGCTTAATAAACCTCCTGGTTGTGTAAAAATGCTCTTTATTCTATACAAATGTCCCACCTTCAGCCCTCTCAGCACCCTTGAGGTGCGGCAGCTGACTGTCGGTCCCCCTCAGCTGTGGAAGCTGTGTGGTCTGTGTTGAGTACGTGGAGTAATCCCTCTCGAGCTTTGTGCTGGCAAGATCGTCCGTCTTCGACTTCTTCTTCTGTGCGGTCTCCCGTTTCTCGTGGAGAGCACTTTTCTCAAACTGCACTTGGAACGGGCCCTGGGCACGAAAAAAGAAAAAAAAAGTCAATTTGCTGCAAAATCATGGAACCATTTTAGGATCATAGATATGCAGACACCCCAGGGCACAAAATTCAGTATTGGGAATTGCACTTGGAATGGAACGGTCCCTTGGCATGAAAAAGAAAACAAATCTTGCCATTAATTTCATTCAGTGCAAAATCATTGACACCCCAGTGCTCAAATTTCGGTATTTGGAATAAATCTTTGACAGACAAAAATTGTTATGTAAGGATATGGAAAGAGATTTTCTTCACAAAATGCGGGAAATAGCATTTCAGAGAGTCAAGGTTTGAACATTTTCCCAGGGAGTACTGGATCCCCCTAGGACTGCTGTGCCTCCGGTGTGATGTTACATCAAACAAAATTGAGAAAAAAAATTAAGGCTCAGCAGAACATGGTAACTGTTTTGATTTCCTTTTCTCACCTGGGAGCCTCCTGATATGGTGGTGCTGTGGTGGTTTGGAGGAGGAGGGGCCTGCGCTGGCTTTTTGTAGGGATTGTGGGATTTCTTCTTCTCATTTACTCTGAAAAAAAAAGAAAAACGAATCATTGATGAGAAATTAAAACACAACCCAATTATATCACTTCAAATTTGCTTTTACACATTCAAAAGGCATGGTTAGTGAAATAAACAAGGACTAAATACGAGTGCTTCTGTTAGGGAGAAAGAAAACTACTATCAGGTTTATCAGCATTACTAGAGCATTCAGTTCCATTTAAGAGCACCACCAAGCACTTAGAAGTAGTACTGCAGCACCTATGCATTTTAACAGTAAAAGAAAACAGGTGAAATGCAATCAAATTGAAAGGAAAACACAACTAGTCTCTGGAAAAGGGAGAAATATACAGTAAAGAAAACAGAATGACCACTTATAACCAACAAAAGGAAATGTAAACCAAAGCCACGACAGAAAGAACAGAGCACAGTACAAAGTCTCCATGTATATCATGTACCTCATATTGTTCAGATCCCTCATCCAAGCACTAAGTGAAAGAAGAGCACAGTTTCAGAACACAAAAAAAATGGAACATAAGTTAAAATGATCCCATTTGGTAAGTTGGGGGAGAAACATGTGGTCCATGAACCACAATGCATGTAAGAAATAAAATTTAATATTTCAAGTGCCATCCAACTTGAAATGCAGAGTGGTGGTGGTGAGTTTACCTTTTGTGTTGGAACAAAGCTTGAACTCTTTAACTATTGCTTAAGGCTGTCCATCGATTTCGATGATGACGTCCCGTTTCATCTATGACTATACACCTTTTGTCTATAACTAGTTTACTGTCCTTATAACCTACCTCAATGGTGGTGGCCCTGTCGACATGCCTCCGCCCATCCCCATGCTCAAGTTGTTGATGGAGGCTTGGCTCTGGAGAGTTGACGCCACGTTTGCCGCGTAGCTATGGCTCATTTTGGTGCCCTGACCGGGAATGGGGGGAATGGGCGTAGTTAGCATGGACCCGTGGTGCCCAGGCACGCGCGGGGAGTCCGTGTGCACGGTTACCACGCTTTCTGCGTCCGTGTTATCCGTGACTCTGTACACGTCTTTTGTCACAGCAGTCTGAGTTGCGGGTTTGGCTTCCGTGTGCGAGGCCGCCGTTGTTTTCGTTGCTGCCGCGGTGGTGTGGGGGGGAGGGGTGGACTTCTGGGGGGGTGGGGTGTTTTTCTTAGGGGGTGGCGTGGCTTTCTTGTTGAACTTTTCCCCCTCGGAAAGCTTTTTCTTGGGCTTGTCGTGGACGCCGGCATCCTTCATTGTCGTCTTGCTTTCCTTGTTCTCTTTTGAATCTTGGTGATCATCCTGTAGGAATGATTTTTGTTTTTATTAGTTACCAGCCGAAAGACTGAGGCAAGAAAATTGATATAATTCTCCTTTTCTTCACATTTTTCATTTGCTTTCTGTTCCTTTTATCTTTGCTGTTTAAATTGTCATAATGTGCATCTTGATCCGACTTACACATAGTATTACACACCTTACTTTGCAAATGGTGCAACATTGTATGCAGTACATGTAACAGACACAAGAGGTCTCTTCTGACTCTTCCACCTTTATCTAGAGCTACTGAAACAGTAATCTATAATATTTCACACTGTCAGCTGAGCCAGCCTCATGCAAAAGCTAACATTTTCCCAGTTGTTGGGAGCTATAAATGTTCCATAGATTTGAGAGAAACTCATAGATAAAATATCTACCTTTTCCTTCTCCTTTTCCTTTTCCCGCTCCTTCTCTTTCTCTTTCTCCTTTTCTTTCTCCTTGTTCTTTTTCGCCTTCTTGGCTTTTCTGTCTCCTTCCCCGTCTGCTGACTCTTCCTTACTCAGCAGTGGATTGTTCTGGTATTCCTACGTGGCAAGAAAAATAACCCTCAGTTAGAGTTGTGTACTGATTGTTGTCAAAATGCCATCCTTAAGATGCAATTTGCCTCTTGTTAGTGTAAAAGACCTTCAAGTACAACCAAGGATTGAAATTAAAAGCTCATTTTTTCTAGAACTATCTGAAAGCATGGACTAAATTTCTTGAACTGTCACCAAATACAGAAGGGGCATTATCACTAGATAGTTTTAAACAATGATTGGATTTAGATATGCATTTAAAGGCTAGGTGTAACAAGTCGTTTGGTGTTATTTTATGTTGTTATACCTTCTGTATTTTGGACTTGAGATCAGCCTGAATCTTCTCAGCAAAGTTGTCCTTCTGGAAATACTTGTGCTTGAGCAGATGAGTGCCGCTGGGACGGTCGTTTGCATCCAGCTGGAGACATTGCTAAAAACACCACGGGCAAAGGCAAGTCAGTAACTCTTAGTCTTACAGCAATGGTAGAATTATGGAATAAGAATGACACGTAATATGTTAAGTCATCAAATACAATTTCAGGGTGGCAAAGCAAAAGATATTCTGGATGACGAAATCTGCCTTATAAATATTGACATTTCCTGCCATTTCTTAGCATATTTTTGTCATCATCTCGTACATGAAGCAACCAAGCTACATGAGGAGTCCCTCTATTTTCTGGTACCACCAATAAAAAGCTAGAACCAGCCTACCATACGTTCTGTCATCAACATCGCATTCTTACCTCACAGACATCAGTACACTACATTAAGAAAATGACAAGAAAATTGAGTCCAGGTTTACTGCCCCGAAATTGATTTGTATGTCTTTAATATAATATTAAGATTATTAATATAATATTAAGATGTTCTTCAGTCCTGACCTTCATGAGGTCCACGGCCATCGGGTTGACCTTGGGAAACTTCTTTTCCACCGGGTCAACGTCCTTGACCTCAGGTAACCTCATCCCGACGAAGAGCGGGTTTTTGTGGAAAATCTCTCGGTGTCTCTGGGTCAAGTTTCCTAGGGAGGGAAACACAACCATTAAAGCGATATTATGTAAGATTTTCACTATTTCAAACATCGTTGTTTTACACATTTTCTTGCGCTATAAGCCTACCCGGCTTCATAATGACATTTGGGGAGTAAAAGATCGTCATTGCGCCGCAAAAACATGTTGGAAATTGCCAAAGATACCCAAAAGAAAACCGCTGTTTGTTTACATTCTTTTCAGGAGCCTTCATTATTCGTTTTTAATTTAGTACCCCAGTACAGTGCATTTTTTTCGTTATTCTTTTTAGTACCCCAGTACAGTGCATTTTTTCATTATCCTTGTATCCTTGCTTTGACAGCAGCTGCCACACTGCCTTTCATAAACCCTCAAAGGGCTTCAGGAAGTGAAGCTGATTAGACATGCTAAAAACAGCTGCTCATAGATCATGCCTGGTCGTATGACGTCAATGTGACATCAATATGTCTGCTTTGCACTGTAACAACATGAGCGCATCCAATCAAGGCTTGGGTAAGGCCACACCAATTTAATTTCTTGGTTAACGGATTCGCCCGCTTCATTTTTTTCTGCTTGCAAATAAAAATAAAAATTCAGAATTGGGTGCAAAATGCTCATATTTTGCCCTGAACAGTTGAAAACAGTACTTTTCTTCCTAGTTGTTACAGTTATTCCATCTTTCAATGCAGTGGCATCATTAAAAGTTCAAAATTCATTGTTTAAATTTTGAACCAGCATGGTATGTTGACTTCATGGCTCCTATCGTACCATTTTGGGCCATAATAGGATGCCCAGGCCTGTTTTTATTTTTTATTTTTTTCGCCCTCCCGCTCCATTATTTTTCTTCAAAAATCCGTTAACCAAGAAATCAAATTGGTGTGGCCAAAGGCCTAGGAAAAATGCTGCATTTCATGTTTTAGTCCTGAAAAAAATTAGGGTCGGTAGATAGGGATAATCTTTTTTTTCTTTTTTCCTTAGACTTTGGTGACCTCTATATAGTGATCCAACATATTCAATACACTTGATATTTTCAATGTCAATGTTGTAAAACCGATTTTACAACGTTTCATCACTCAGGTGTCAGATTATGGAGGTACAAAAGGTCAATCAGCTCAAAAAAATTTGCAGGCTTCCACACACACACACAGACACACACAAAAAAGGCTAGGGTAGGCAGTTTTTCTAGGGTCGGTCGGGAAGCAGGAAAAAAAAGCATTTTTTTCCCTAGGCCTAATTGGAACATCTTGTGTCTGTCTGTGTCAGGGTGAATTACTGTGTTGAAGAAGTAATTAACTGTGATGTATTGATCATGAGTGTGCTTCAATCTCCAGTCTTCCTGAAGTGAATGAAAGTGGAAGTGATCTTGAATCAGTTTAGGTGATCACTGACATTACTTCATACTCAGGAGCATTAACTCTCCTTTGTTACTTGTCAACAACTGTAAAATATTTGATGTGATTTTCAACTTATTTTGCAGACAAGTCGTTTTATTTGAGTTGTACACCAGCTCATTATGTACTGTACTTCTTTTTTCTCTCTTTGTTGTTACTACCTTGTTTTGTTTTCTTGTTGATGTTAGTACTTTTACACTGCACTTACCTAAACACTTGGTGATGTGGTAAAGTTGGTCGATGTCGGAGTCCCCTGGAAACAGAGGCTCTCCCGTCAACATCTCGGCTAACAGACAACCAACCGCCCAGATATCAACAGCCCTGTAAAAAACAAGAAATAAGGGATTTCAAACCTCTACGGTGCTTGAGGTACCTTTTTCTGACATTGAAAATCACCTGCACCAGACAAATTTCACCTGCACCACTCAGAATTTAAGAAGTATGGATACTACTAAAAACTGCTCAAGAACCATTACTATTTTTCCTTTTTTTCTTCATAGGTGGCAACAGTCAATGCAGAATTAAAATCCACATACACCTAAATGCACATCTGTCAAATCTGGTCAAAATCCTCATTAGTACGATGCGAGTGCACCAAGGTGGCACAAAAGGGACATTAATGAAGATATGCTTGAATAGGTAAAAGCAGCCACACAAATCTTTGCACAATCAATCTGGACTTAATGTAGCACCCACAAATGTTGAAGTCCATTTTACATCTTTTTGGGCTTCCACAAACATAAAGTGATGTATAGCAAATGTCAGATTATGACTCAGATATATATAGTGATGCATACCTAAATCCAATTTTAGGTTCAGGTCCAGATTCAAGTCCAGAGGTTTAGGTTCAGTTCCGGACTTGTAAGTCTGGACCTAAACCCATGGCATATACATGTACAAAATTGCATGTTGGCAACCTTGCAATGTTGTCTGGGTGAAACTTTAGCAACATAACATGGAGGCCGACACTTAACGATGCCCGAAGGCAATGTTTTCTTCATTTTGCAGCAAAGATTTTACAATCTACGGAAGGTTTTAGGTGGTTTGGAAAGAAAAGGGGTATGTGAAATGGTCTTTATGGTAATAAGTCCGGACTCGGTTCGTGACTTGTAGGTTTTTTTTTTACTTGAACCTAAACATTCTTACAAGTCCAGATCCAAGTCCAGTGAACCGGTATGCAGCACTAGATATATATATGTCTGAGGTGGCTCTGATGTGACTTACCTGCCATATTTGGTGTCCCCTACTAGCAGCTCCGGCGCTCGGTACCACCTCGTGGCGACGTAGTCCGTGTAGACCTCTCCCGGCGCGGCTAACGTCCGCGCGAAACCGAAGTCACACAGCTTGACTATCCCTGACTTGGAAACTAGGATGTTTTCTGGTTTGATATCTCTGTGGATGATCTAAGGAACGAGTAGAAAGAAATTTGTACATTAAATTCCAAAAATGCTCGTTTCTTGAAATAAGCTAGGTTTGTCACAAAAAATAAAAAATAAAAAAATTTGGATTTGTCAAAAATTTTTGTCCTGATTTCTTGGAAATTGTAGTCTCCACCAGACTTTTGTAAACTTAAACTCTATATAGTGATTTCCGGGCATATTTGGTGAGATACCCATGAAGTTTCTGGTTATAACTTTAGATGAAAATTTCTAAATCTCTCCCCTTCCCCTTTGGTTGTGTACTATAGTATAAAACCAAATAAGGCGAGCCGTATCTACGTACTGCCCACGCCCCTTCACTCAAAGTTCACCAGCTTATTTAAAAACCACTTGTATGTGGAGAAATGTACACAGAGACAGTTTACTGACTTTCCCCCACCTAAAGTGTAAACAACCAGCTCAGGCAAACAGCCAAAAGATAGGAGACAACAGAATTTCTATTGACAGACATGTTTGACCAACGTCTACCAGATATGAGACTACCCCCCAGTAAGTGTTAGGTACTTGTTAACCTAGTAACCAAACTACACCAGGGCTCGAACTTAACGATGTCCCGATGTCCCCTGGCCACTAAAATTTCGGCCGGGACAACTGAAAAATCACTTTGGGACATTTTTGGGACACTGGAAAAATAACGAACATTCACAATCAAAATGTCAGCCGTTCATACGTTTGTCAGGCGCGCAACCCATTTTTGGGCCTCACCAAAAGCCGCCGAATTCGATATACACACAGCTGAGCAGCGCGTGTGGCACCCGTGTACGCATGTGGCCACTATTTTGTCGCCCCGCCCATCGCCTTTGATCTATTGCAGCCCGCCGCCTTGGCGCCACTTTCCCACGCCAGTTCCCAGACATTCTATCCATGTAAACAACATTCAACCAATCACAGCTTCCATCCAATCAAGGCATCTGCCATATATGGCGAACTGTAACTGTTTAATGTTCGGATATTTCCGGAGATGCTCGGGAGATCAGCTGACAATGCCAAATATAGTGAACCGGCAAAGCTCGGGAATGTACGGTGTCTTTCGGTAAACTTCGCCTAGTTTCCCGCGAAATGACGAATGGAATGCCGAAAACAGCCGAAATCAGAAAATTTGAGAGTCATGGCCGGCATGGCACAGAGGAAAATTTCCTCTTTTTTTCTCCTCGCCGCGAGCGGCCCCGGAGTCGAATGCAGTCAATGCTGTCGATCCTCAAAGACGTTCAGGATCATCTCAGTCTGACGGCGTGGTTTCAACAACTGAGTGTCAGCCTCCAGATCGTACGGCCGGTACGAAAGAGGGATGCGCCGACGGAAGGGGGGAGGGGGGCTTGAAATGTAAAACATTTAAACATGTAAATATTTGTGAATTGTAATACATACAGTATAATATATATTACTGCAGTGTGCAGCATGCAGTATGCACACTTTACAGGGGCCACTTACTGTAGCCTACACATAACAAGTGGAAGGAAAGTTTGAAAAGAACTTTGGCTTGTCTTTGTTACATTTGTCGGCACAATAAACCAGCCAAGACAAGTTTCAATTTGAGTTGATTTTGTGTTTATTTCAATTGACAATTAGCTTACACAGCAATACTGTTCTCTGACTCAGCTTTATTGTTGTTGTAATACATACTTCCTGAAAACCAGTTTGGGACAGTCAATCCTCACTTTGGGACAGTTGGAATTTATTTTTGGGACAGTTCTGGGACAGTAGGGAAAAAAGTTAAGTTCGAGCCCTGTACACGTGTAGTAATATCAACATGGAAGTGCTCAAAAGCCTGTATCATAAATTTGAAAAAGCTACTACTAGTAGTATACAACTCCCCCTCCTATGAATCAGTGAGGAATGTATAATGGTTTCTTCCACCAGTTGCTAAGCTGTTAGGTACTTGTTAACCTAGTAACCAAACTACATGTGTAGTTATATCAACATGGAAGTGCTCGAAAGCCTGTATCGTAAATTTGAGAACGCTACTACTACTAAGTATACAACTGACCCCCTCCTATGAATGTATAATGGTTTCTTCCATCGGTTGCTAAGATACTGTTACTATGGTAACAATAGAAAGGCAACTTACGTTGTGATTATGGCAGAATTCTGTTCCTTTCAACACTTGCCACAATATCCTCTTGGCGTGAGTTTCGTTCAGTCCGTTTGGATATCGTTCTAGATCGTCTAGAACTGTGTGGTCCACAAATTCAAATACTAGATATAGTCTCTTCTTTCTCCGGAAAACTTCTATCAAATTCACAAGGTTTTCGTGACGTAGTTGCTGGAAAACAAAGAAACAATGCCATCGTCAATGAAGTAATGAATACAATAACACCTGTAACTTAAAAGTGTAAGATAATAACCACTTTTGCCTATCTGTAATAATTGGCTTCAAGAATACAATTTCAAGAAACTGCATGCACACATAAAAAAGATTTTACTTAAACATTCATATTGCTTCTTTCAGAAATTATTCAATAAATATTCTAGAATGTACAACATCATCATCATGCCGGGTTGCTTGCCCGGTCTTGCTTGCCAGGCTACATAGTAAGTCTTTTATATTCCATTGTCTAGAATGGCCATATAATTGTAACCTTTATTGACTTATAGACATGGTTAAATACACTACGTACAATACTCCTGACACCAGTGTACATGTCTGCTGTGTGGTACATATTTAGATTCCCATGAAAGGATGCCAAGTTTCTGTGGACTTTTCTTGTGCACCATTAGTGCTGTGTACCTAAACTTTTAGCTAGGGGGTGTCCAGGGTGTCTTTTGGACGCCCTGTGCTGAAAATACTAAGAAATTGGACGCCCTATAGGCCTACTTTTTGGTAGGACACCCTAAAGACGCCCTATTTTTTCCACTCCCAACCCTTGCCATGCACACATGTCTCCCTTCAGCCTTACTATAAATACAAAAATGATGGTTTACTGAAGGAAAAAAACTGAAATTCCTCAAAATGTGCACCTAAAAATGCAAAAAGTAGTGTTTGAGAGCATTATGAATTTAAAAAAAGCCCCCCTAAAAAGCTTGCACTCCGCACGTCTTTGCTGCATAGCATACAATAAAAAAAATGGACACCCAACAAAAAAATCCTAGCTAAAAGCCTTACCTAAACCCATGTTCAGGTTCAAGTCCAGAGGTTTAGTTTCTATACAAAATATGGGACTTCCCAGCGAAATTTCCCAATGGAAAATGGGGCATCTTTACCGCAGCGAGCACTGCACTACCAGGGTTTAGAAGCAAGATATTTGTTTACGGGGCACGTCTGTGCAAAACTGTGGCCACATATATTTTTTTACGGAGGCCGACACTTGATGATGCTCAATGGCAATGTTTTCTTCATTTTTTTTCTATAATTGCAGATTTCAGGTGATTTAGAAAAAAAGAGGAATGTGACATGATTTTTTTTGTAAGTCCGGAGCTAGTTCCAGACGTTCAGTTTTTTTTAGATTTGAACCTAAACATTTTTTACAAGTCTGGAACTAGTTCCAGTGAACCAGTACACTGCACTACATGTATACACTGCTGCTCAAGCACGTAGGTTTCCCTGACCCAGAAAACCGGTGCAAACACCAGGTTATCATCCATGCGCTGTGTTGTTAGTATCTCCATGGGAACATTAGAAGTTCAAAGGCCATGTGCGTGAGGAAAACTTGTCTGGAAGCATTTAAACTTTCAGGCAAGAATCTGGCAATGAAAACAAAATAATGCTGAGAAACTTTAAAGGTTCTTGTTTCATTGAACAATCCACACCAATTTGATTCGTTGGTTCTTGGATTTTTACAAAATATGGTTAACTGGAAAAACATTTTTTTTGTGAAAACAATGCCTGAGGACCAGGGTGATGCCTTGGTGCACTCAGCTTTTTAGACTAAATGCTGTCACAATTAAGTTTTCCTCCTACTATCCAGCCCTCTGATTTTATGATGGCCGCTTGCTGTAGATTGAAGTTAAAATGTCTTAAAACTGAGGTGGACTAACCAAAAGCAAATAACTTGATGACAGAAGATCTAAATAAGGACATAAACCCACATACATGGCCCTGATTGTGATAAAGTGAAGTTAAATCAAGAAGTTTACTAAACTGTTGGTAGGGCCACAGGTAGAGTAATGACCAAGGTTGTGTATACATACATGTGGATAAGACGTTGTTCAAACATGGCAAGTTGGTATGCCAAACATTGTTAACCTTTGAGTCCGCGTAGCCAGTGTCATGCTTTCAACTTTCAAACAACTCGAACCGCTGCCACGCTGCTATATGTAAATACTGTAAATTGAGTTCTTTTCTACTCAAGCCAAAGTTTGGAATCAGCAAACATTTCCAGCAACCTTCCTTAGATGACGATGTACATGTATTAAATCATTACTGAGAACTTTTGTACAACTTTTGGTTGAGTTACTTAGCAAGGAACTTACTGTACAGTAATCTAACAGGTGGTGCAAGTTCCAAATGAAATTACCTGCACCAGACAAGTTTTACCTGCACCAGTTAAACTTAGGAAGCATCATGCATTAATGTATCACACTACAAATGTTCGGAGACCATAACTAGACTTGACTAGACTAGTATTTCTTTTACACTTGACAGGCCAATTGACAGTCAATACAGCCAATTATGAAAATCCACATACACCTACATGTATATACATGTATAATTATAAGTGAGGAAAGTCGTGTTAAGTGCCTTTCCCAAGGGCACAAGGTTGGAGACTAGGCAGGATTCGAACCCGGGACCTGGTTCTGAGCTGAATGCTCTGCTGTTATGCTACACAACCCCATATTTGCTTACATGCAGCCAGCGTGCACACACTGCCCTTTATTTACATTTCCTAAAGCGCACACCTGCAATCTTTATTTGATCAGGTAAACTTTGATTCCTTGCTTGACTGTACTGGCATGGTTTGGACCCAACCACAGACAAAATACTTCTTGTTTGTAATATCTAACCTGTTTACGGAAAGACTCCTCTATAAACTGCAGTCCTAACCCTAGTGTTAGCTTAGCGGAAAGAACAATTTTCGGCTTGTGCTGTTGTGAAGGAAGGTTGAGTCATGTTGGTAACGAGAAACGCTCGTGTAATCGACCAGGGCGAGGGTCAAGCAGACACAAACACCCGACGGCGTAACCGGCACAAAGGTGTGGAGAGGGGTCTAGGATTACAAGCACAAGCCAATGTCCCTTTCTTTCTTATCCTTGCGGCTTAGAAAGGATCCTTAAAGAGTTTCATCAAGTTCTTATGTGTCAAGTCTCGGATAACAAATTAGGGCTATTCAGCACGGCAATACATAAACAATACGAACAAAAAAACACTCTCAAATATGAAGAATGGGCCATTAGAATCTGTATTAATAATGGTTACAACTCTATATAATATATGTGTCCTGCCTATGTTTGTGACAGTTGTATTAGGCCATTCACAATCAAATGGTTGGTTAATGGGACGTGTTGATTTCTACAATCATATTCAAAAGGTCCATAGTCCTTTCATTTCATAATTGAGTATTACTTGCTACAGGGCTCTAAATACTTACTTTCTATTTCTTTTCGCAAAACAAGTTTTGGCTCATAATAGTTTATACTGAGCCTGTACAGTTGTATTCTTTTATACTGACAAACTGATGCATAAATTACACAAAACTGTTTGGACCACTCCATTATTCTCCCGGGTTAGTTTATATCAATAGGTTTGAAGATTAGAACTTAATTGATCCGTGGACGACAATCAAAACCATTAGTGATCACTTCCGTGGAATTTAACAGTGGGCCACGGCTGAACGCACCACAAAGCGGTCCTAGCAAGCTCGCTGCGTCTTTCGTGCGGCTTTTCTTTCTTCCCTGCTGGAAACCGACCCCCATTGATCGAAAGGACAACAAAAGAACGGTCTGACACGCCGAGGCTAATACTAGGCAACATGGGTTCCGCCAGAACAATAGAAAATAGACGGTTTTATCAACACTGGTATTAAAAGAGTAAATTGAGATTGTAATAGGTAACTGTTAACTACTAAATAGGGTGATGAAGGGAGATGGACAGGTGGTTGGTAGATGCTCCAAATTGGAGATGACAGAGCTTGAATTTCTCCTGCACTTCTAGAGTTGGCAGCCAAGTATGTTTTAGAAAATTATGAAATGTATGTTACACCTGCAAATGACAGTCTATATGAAAAGGTCAACATCAGGTAATTGCTTTATGTCATACCTCTAACCCAGTGTTTGATACAGGTGTTAGGAATAAAAATAACTAGCCCGATCACAGTGGGTTCTAACTTCTATCCAGTTATCGCACAGGCTTCCAAATGTTCCATAGAGTAATTCGAATGCGATTCACAGGTGCCACTTTTAAAAATTTGAATATCCAATTTGGACTTTACAATTGATGTAGTTAAAATGTTTTACATTACATATCCTTTGGTTTGGGAGTTGTATTGTACAATTGCCCATTTATCATGGCAATGATTCATTGATATGTGTTAATAAATAAGAAAATTAAATTCTATTGACATTCATGTCCCAGAGGGTTAATTTGTCAAGTTGTTACAAAATTTACAATAACGAAGAACACAAAGTAATCTGATATAATAACCAATATCAATTTGTAGGAGTGCATCTTCTGAATCAGTTCTGATATTATGTTTAAAATACTTAAGTCTAGTCGTAATAACACTGTCTTAATTACTAATCATCATTATCTAATAATAGTATGCATTCCTCTTTGTATGATGTTACATGTATCTGCTCAAAATATGATTAAATTGACTTTGAGATTGCAAGAAATCGTTTTAGGGCTTGCAACTTTGCTCGAGTTAAACATGGGTACATGTATTACCCAGTTATTCTATTATCATATACTAGTAGTATTGCGGAAAGTATTTTCAGCACTGAATACATTATATGTATATATATTATACAGAAACATGTTCTGTTTTTTTTTTCAATTTTTGCTACAGAATATTTCAAGTCACTGTTCTATAACTCAAAGGCTTTAATTTACTACTTCCAATTTACATTACTGAATGAACACAAAGCTTCCGAAATATACATTAGGCCTTACAAATTCATGCTGCCAATCATCTAAAAAAATTCACTAAATAATTCACAACCTGTCACAGACATAATGTCAAATAATAATGTATCACTTTCGATATCATTCCCTCTGTTTTCAGTAAGTACTCTAGAAATTTCCCTAGAGGGGGGGTTGGTTTATTGGCTATTGGGGTAGTATCTTGAAGAGATTGGAGCTTATAACAGATTAAATAGATTTTTGGTGATTAGGATGGTGACATAGTAATCAGTCAATGGAGAGTTGATTATCACTGTGTAACTCAAGCAAATAATCTAAGGTAGCTTATGGTCCTCTGGCTTCTACGAGTTCACCTGTATTACTCTCCAAGCAGAGGTTTGGATTTAGGGGTATCTTTAGGCTTTTTATTGGGGTTTCTTTTTTGATAGTGAGTGAGTGAGTATGTGACTGGAATGTTTTTTCACCCCCAATTCCAGTGCAAAAAAGACTAAGCCTAAAAACATGCCAAAAATAAGCCAAAACCCAAACCTCTGCTTGAAGATTGCACCTGTATAGGAAGTTTTTAAAAGAATGGTCTTAAAAAAGTTAAAGTATTATCTGTGGTACATATATTTTACATTACTTGTGTGGTGAGCAATTGGACAAATTTTGCTAAAAACCAAGTATTTTGTCTTATGAAGTCCATTTTCACACCTAATTTTACACCCAAACGACACCCCCACCCCACCCCAAGTTTACCTGGCAACAAAACCATTTCATTGTGTCCAGTCTAAAACTGAAGTAAACAACTGGCCTCGCTACTCCATAACCTGGCTTTACCGTTTCTAGATTCCTGATAAGATAGCGTACGGTGTGGCGGTCTTTTGTTCTGGTAGCACACAGATATGACAATGCCTCATTTGCAGATAATTTATAAGACTGGGAGCCATAATTCAGCAGTTGTTGTGGGTGAGATTGCATGACTTCCTCTCACAATACCACAATGACCTGGGGAGTTTTGTAAACAGGTCCAAAAGATGGGAGTTTACGCGGCTCTCGAGTGCTTTATGGTCAAGATAACAGTTCATAAAAGAGTGTTTATCCCAAGAAAAGAAGCTGGCCCTCTGCAGTGTCCTGGTTGTGTATACATAATGTTCAAGCCGGTATCAGCTTCCTTTATATACTATCTTGCACACAAACTCTTTTGAAAACAAGCTTACAAGGGCTAAAGCATAGATATCCTAATACTAATAGTAATAGTGCTGTTGACTGAAAAGCTTCGTAAGTACATATAATACACTATTTCTTCTGATAATAAAGATATGAATTTGTATGAATCTGCCTTCTGTTAACACTGTCAATCATATTTTTTTGTGATTGCTTGTTATAGTGATTCATGATGAAGAATAACTTAGACATATTTCTCTGTGCACTTCAGATAGTATTCAATGAATATTCTGTCCCTTTCAATTTGCTCGGACGAAAAAAAATTTAAATTTCACTCTGGATGGAAAACTTTTTTTTTACAATGTCTTATAGTTAGTTACTCCAAATGTCTTGCAAAAGCTACATATGATAGCAATGTGCTTGTATCAGCAGAAAAACTTTCTGCTGTCAATAAGGTATGAAGCTTCAATTTTACGGTGGCAAAACAAAATAATATTCGTCATTATTTCATACTTGAAGTGTTTGAAATAAAAACAAGCTATATGTAAGGCGTCTCTTTTTGGGTACCACCCATAAATAGCTAGAACCAGCTGCCTATGATACAAAACAAGCAACCGTTTTTCATCAGTGACATCACATCTTTGCCTCACAGATACCTGTAAGCTATAAGATAGGGTTGATTCAACTTACTACATTAATGACCAGAAAACTGACTTTGAAAACCCAGTTTTGCTGCCCTGAAATTGCATTGGAACAGCACTGTAATACTACAATGGAGCATAGGGTCTGTTTAGGTTGCCTAGAGAACTGTGTGCTTTCCCTGTGCATGTTGTACACTGGTTAATGTGTTTAAGTTCGCCCGGGGCTATGTTCATGCTTGTAGACACCACCTCTAATGTGTGAGACTCCTTGACAACTTCATTCCAGGCTGTTCAGGCCTTTGGGACTAAAGGCTTTACGTTAAACAAACACAAGTCCACACCAACACAACCATTTAACAGGTCCTACAAGTTAATTTTCAGGTCAAAGAACTCACCTTTAGCATCCTAACCTCTCTCATGGCGATCTTTTTCACCATTTTGTCGTCTTCACTTTCCAAGAATTTCTTGATGGCGACCAGTTGTCCTGTGTCTTTGTGCCGACATTTCATGACCATACCGTAGCTGCCCTCCCCCACTAAACCCAAGTTCTCATATTTTTCCATCGCGGCAAAATCCTGGTCTTGTCACCTGAGCCCCATGCTGAAATCTACAGAAGAAGAAGAAAAAATACATGAGAATTTGTGCATGTTTGTTTTCATTCAACTCAATCTTTCTGTGGGTTGACTTACACATTTCATAATGGTTTTCAAGTCCTGAGGAATGTATTGTTATTGCTGACACTAATCTGTTTAAGGTGATTAAAATAGCACAGACTATAATCTTAGGGTGTGAACTAACTTAAGGCAGCCCTAAAGGTTGCCAAGGCTCCAGCCAAAAAACACAGCTTGCTTCTGCTGAACATTCCACTTCTTATAAACACACCTGTCATTCTAGAACCGTCTTAACTCCTGAAGTTAGAAGACTGGAACTGTAAAAACACGAAAGTTTGCTGTTACAGGTAAGAAATACGCGAGGAAAGCCTGAGATTTCTCTCAAGTAAGGCAGGCATGCAAGGCGCACATTTTGTGTACAGTAACTTGGTAACCCGATCGGCCTGATTTCACCCCTCAAAAATGGCCGCTCGAGCTGACAGGTAGCTAGCACCTGTTACCTGTGCCAGAAACGGCTCAATTCTGACACCTGTCGCCACCTGTAGGCCCACAAAAGTGTGAGGAAAGTGAAGAGTGAAGGTTCCTTACAGATTTGGCGGCTCTCGTGGTCTGACTTTGCTCAACAAACTACCAGAGGCTGCAGGTGTTGACTGGATGTTTGGAGAGTCTGATTTTCTCCATTGTGCCGCGGACACACAAACTTGCTCAACAAGCGGCTTTATTTATAAACGTTTGTCACCTCCACACAATAAGGTTTATAAACTCAGCTTATTTTCAGAAACAACACGACATAATCGCGAGCCTGGGTTTCCTTTTTGATGTGTTTGAAGAGATTGTTGCGTCAAAGAGTGTTGTTAGTTTGAGATTTGTGACGGTTTCTATAATCCATTGTTACGGTGTCTGTTTCATCAATATAAATAATTCAACCCTACGTAATTGATCACAGAGTTTTACACTGATTGGAATCATAAAAATATCTAAACTGAGCTGTCACGGCTGAGGAAAAAAATATAAATTTGATCTTTTTTTCACACCGAAGCGAAGAAAAACAACAAAATGTTGGGGTCATGATGGCATCTTGGTGTCATTTTCCCCCCAGACGTTTCTAAAATGTTTTCCCAAGCAAGCCCGTGAAAAACACTGCGTGGTAAAACCACAGGGGTTTGAAAAATTTAAACGACTTTCAGGCTCCTTTATGTAGGAGATATATGGCCGAATAATTCACTGAGAACACACACTCTGGCTGTATAAACAGACTGGGGTAATGAGGGCAAGTTTACAAGTCGACTCACCTCACCAGATGCGTCTATAGCGTCTGAGGACCGAGTGGAGTGCCTCTCGACTCGCCTGGTGGAACAAACCGGGCACAATCGCGTACCAGAACGGCTTTTTCACCTGCTAATCCCCCTGGAAACACCCTCAACAAAGTCTGAACGCCGAATTGTGAAGATTTCCTGCGTCTGGGAACCGTGGATCATCCGACTAATAAAAAGCTTGTCCGGTGGGAATCTCCTACAAACAAGATTTCTTTCACGGACGTCCCAGACTGCGAATCAGGAATGCTGGGTTCGAATCTTCTCCAATCCAGGCGGCAACCCTCCTTACTGGCCGATCTTCTGTCTTCTCTAGGTCTTCAAGACAATGTTGATGCTCTTGTGATTGTTGTAGACAGGCCGAAGAAACTAGTAAGACGAGTCTGCGATGTACGAAGTGCCAAATCCAAGCCAAGCCTCGCCAAGTTGACCAGAAATTTTTGCGGGTTCGAATTTCCAAAATCTTGATCGTCCCACCACAAAAATAATCCACCGAGCAGCCGAATGTCTCTTTTCTTTTTCCTCCCCAGACACTGCCAGTCAATAAAGATCTCCGTGGATTGCCGCTGATGAAGGTTGATCTTCAAATAATAAACAACCTCAGCTAATCATTACAACCTGGGGGATATTATGTTGAAAAATACCTCGTTTGAGATCGTGAAACAAAAATCCTCTGGAGTTCCCTTCTCAAATGCACGTGCCGGGCCTTGTACGTAACCTCTCCGTGAAGTGTATACTTTCTATCCGATCGATTTGTTTCCCCTTATACAGACGTGATTTACTAAAAGCTCAGGCTATGGCGGGTAGACTGTTGTTTAGCGGGTTGTCCATTGGAGAGAAGTGAGCGTGGAGAGAGGATCGTGCGCTGGGCGGCCTGTTGTCTTGACGTGGGGTAGCCACGGACAACACGCCGTCACAACAGCCGGCTACACCCCCGCCGGAAAACGACTGTTAATTCTCCAAGCAGATGCAATACTTCTAAATATAACGTTATACCGTAACGCTTGATTACAGAAAATTTGCAGAAATTCAAAAGCAGCATAGAAAGAAACATGGAGAATATTAAACCCACAAAAATCGATCATATTTTGTCACAGCGGTCTTTGACTTTGAGTGTAGCCTACGTTGTGTGTACAGCGACTCCTTGCGTTCATAATTCAAAGTGCAGCTGAAAATTGAAAATCGACGTCGAATTCGAAAGCCCGCGTTAGCTTAACTTTAATGCAAAAAAAAAAAAAAAGATTAAGAAATATTTTGCTACAATAGAAAGATATCTTTGGTAATACCTAAAGTGTTAATCAATCCTCGACTAAAAATGAAAACATCCGTTGTCCTTGATACCGCATACTAGTATGTCATACGTACACAATTTTATTTTACCACAGTATGCGCAAGCGAAACAACTTATAACTGGAATTTGTTATTCTTTCTTTATCATCATCGACAAAATGTTAGGGTTTTCGCATTTAATCAGTTTATCGCTGCTATGTACTCTCAAAGCAAAGGTTTGGGTTTTGGTTTATTTTTGGCGCGTTTTTAGGCTTTTTTTTATCGGGCTTTCTTTTCTGCACTGGTTTTTTTTTACGCTAA